ACAATAAATAATAGTTTCCTGTGTGACATGCCCTATTCCAAGTGTTTCCTCATTGTGATCAAATGAGGGCAGTCACTATTGTCAGTCCCATTGTTCCAAGGTGAAATATCAAAGAAATTTAGTTACTTCACTGATGATGTGTCCAAGATTCAAACCACCCCTTGTGTGAGCCTTCACAATGGAACCATATCATCCCATTTAAATCAAATATGTCCACAGAAAACCCTGCTTCTCTGTCACTTCTTTGTCATCTTTCCTCTTAGCAGCTCCTATGATGTTAAGGCACTGTGATGAGTGCTAGAGATGTGAATGGTTATCACAGCACACATAGTCTCACGCTGTGATACATATGATACAGAAACAGATAACCAGCTTGTCCACAAACTCCACTAGGTGCTGTTATGAGGAAGAATGAGGTTCTAAGGCACTACACGGGAGAGGTATAAAACCTGGAGGTGGGGGATTCAGAAAGGGAGTAGTGATGAATGAGACATAATTGAGAAATAAATAGAGCCTACATTTAAAAACAAAAACTTTGAAAACCATCTTTTGATTTCAAATTAATGAGAAGTTATTAAAGGACTTTAAACAGCATATAAGTGACATTTCAGCTGGGTACCAGTGGCTCACACCTTGTAATCCTAATACTTAGGAAGCTGACATCAGGAGGATCTTGGTTCAAGCCAGCCTGGGCAAATATTTCTTGAGACACTATCACCAAATAACTAGAGAAAATAGACTGGAGGTATGGCTCAAGCAGTAATGTACCCATTTTGCAAGCATGAAGTCCTGAGTTCAAACCCCACTCCCACCATCTACAGTTCAGAAATCACTTCAGATAAAGAATATACAAAGAATTGGAGTGAGAAAAAAATGAAGACAGAAGTGACTCAGATAACCATGCCATTTCTCTGGGAGTACCTTCTTGGTAAATTGAAAAATTATATAAATAATGATAGGAAACACAAATATTTTCCTTAATTAACATTTTTATATACACAAAGATTATAAATTTAAACTTAAATCTGAGTTTTTCCAAAACTAATAAATACTTAAATATTTCAGTTGGGGGGTGATTTGTGTTTATCTGCACCAAACCAAAGAGATACCAATATTTTTTCTTTTTCTTCCTATAAAATATAATGTGTATATACCAGTCATTACCACTCTTTATTTCATCATTGCATTTAGGAAATAACATTCCCATTTTACAGAAAAGGAAAGTAAGGCTAGAAGTCTCCAAAGACTAAGAGATTATGCACTTGAAGTAGAGCAGCCTATTTGGAATTCCTAAACCAGTGCTCCTTGAGGTTAAGCACAAGTCTCTTCCCTTCTTATAAACATTATTTTAAGAAATTATTAAAAGCAAGAGGAAACAAAAAAAACTATTTTTGTTGGTTGGGAAATTTGTACAATCTGCTTATCTTTTAATCCATATAAAGTTAGTTATAAGAGCCAGACTTTTGAGTTTTTGTTTTCCATTATGCCTATTTTAGTAATAAGAAGGTCTGAACAGACTGTTGTGGACTCTCAGAGTCCAGAAATCCCGTAGTTAAACTTGGAGAATAGAATCTGACTTCAAAGGACTTTGTTTGTTGGGAGAACTGTTGTTTGTTTAATTGCTGATAAAGTTCTATAAGGACAGCAAGAAATCACAGAATCTGTTCAGAGAAACAAAGTGAAGGAAAAAGCTAAGAAAACACGTCACATAGTTCAATGCCAGGTACTCGTTGTAGGAGCTCAGTAGATTTTTTTTTATTGTTTTATTATTCATATGTGCATACAAGGCTTGGGTCATTTCTCCCCCCTGCCCCCACCCCCTCCCTTACCACCCACTCTGCCCCTTTCTTCTCCCCCCAACCCCCCTCAATACCCAGCAGAAACTATTTTGCCCTTATCCCTAATTTTGTTGAAGAGAGAGTATAAGCAGTAATAGGAAGGAACAAGTGTTCCTGGTTGAGATAAGGATAGCTATACAGGGAGTTGACTCACATTAATTTCCTGTACATGTGTGTTGCCTTCTAGGTTAATTCTTTTTGATCTCACCTTTTCTCTAGTTCCTGGTCCCCTTTTCCTATTGGCTTCAGTTGCTTTTAAGGTATCTGCTTTAGTTTCTCTGCGTTAAGGGCAACAAATGCTAGCTAATTTTTTAGGTGTCTTACCTATCTTCACCCCTCCCTGTGTGCTCTCGTTTTTATCATGTGCTCAAAGTCCAATCCCCTTGTTGTGTTTGCCTTTGATCTAATGTCCGCATATGAGGGAGAACATACGATTTTTGGTCTTTTGGGCCAGGCTAAACTCACTCAGAATGATGTTCTCCAATTCCATCATTTACCAGCGAATGATAACATTTCATTCTTCTTCATGGCTGCATAAAATTCCATTGTGTATATAGATACCACATTTTCTTAATCCATTCGTCAGTGGTGGGGCATCTTGGCTGTTTCCATAACTTGGCTATTGTGAATAGTGCCGCAATAAACATGGATGTGCAGGTGCCTCTGGAGTAACCTGTGTCACAGTCTGTTGGGTATATCCCCAAGAGTGGTATTGCTGGATCAAATGGTAGATCAATGTCTAGCTTTTTAAGTAGCCTCCAAATTTTTTTCCAACGTGGTTGTACTAGTTTACATTCCCACCAACAGTGTAAGAGAGTTCCTTTTTCCCTGCATCCTCGCCAACACCTGTTGTTGGTGGTGTTGTTAATGATGGCTATTCTAACAGGGGTGAGGTGGAATCTTAGTGTGGTTTTAATTTGCATTTCTTTTATTGCTAGAGATGGTGAGCATTTTTTCATGTGTTTTTTGGCCATTTGAATTTCTTCTTTTGAGAAAGTTCTGTTTAGTTCACTTGCCCATTTCTTTATTGGTTCATTAGTTTTGGGAGAATTTAGTTTTTTAAGTTCCCTATATATTCTGGTTATCTTTGTCTGATGTATAGCTGGCAAATATTTTCTCCCACTCTGTGGGTGTTCTCTTCAGTTTAGAGACCATTTCTTTGGATGAACAGAAGCTTTTTAGTTTTATGAGGTCCCATTTATCTATGCTATCTCTTAGTTGCTGTACTGCTGGGGTTTCATTGAGAAAGTTCTTAACTATACCTACTAACTCCAGAGTATTTCCTACTCTTTCCTGTGTCTACTTTAGAGTTTGTGGTCTGATATTAAGATCCTTGATCCATTTTGAGTTAATATTGGTATAGGGTGATATACATGGATCTAGTTTCAGTTTTTTGCAGACTGCTAACCAGTTTTCCCAGCAGTTTTTGTTGAAGAGGCTGTCTTTTCTCCATGGTATATTTTTAGCTCCTTTGTCAAAGACAAGTTGGTTATAGTTGTGTGGCTTCATATCTGGGTCCTCTATTCTGTTCCACTGGTCTTCACGTCTGTTTTTGTGCCAGTACCATGCTGTTTTTATTGTTATTGCTTTGTAATATAGTTTGAAGTCAGGTATTGTGATACCTCCTGCATTGTTCTTTTGACTGAGTATTGCCTTGGCTTTTTGTGGCCTCTTGTGTTTCCATATAAATTTCACGGTAGATTTTTCAATCTCTTTAATGAATCTCATTGGAATTTTGATGGGAATTGCATTAAACATGTAGATTACTTTTGGGAGTATAGACATTTTTACTATGTTGATTCTAGCAATCCATCGTTGTAGGAGCTCAGTAGATTTAAAAAAAAAAATAGTGTCAGAGGTGAACAAAGAGGTAGGAGACAAAAAGTAAGGAGTTGTTAGTGAAAAAACAAACATTGTGTGAACAGTTCTGGGGAACCGAAACATATGTATGTGCTTCATTGAGAAAAGACAAAGTATTTATTTGCAAATGCAAAAGTGTTGTGAAAAGCAAACCTTAAACTTGGTGAAGATGTGGAAGAACAGGTACTTGCACACACTACTGGTGGAAATGTGGAATGGTACAACTACTTTGAAAACTTGTGTGTATGCCTCCCATTCAACCCAGCCTCTTTACTTGTGAGTATTTAGTGAAATACTACTCAGGAATGAGAGGGTCAAACTATTGATATATGCAACACAGCGGAATCTCAGAACAGTTGCACCACATAAAAGCATCCAAATGAAGAAAGAGTGCATGTCACATGATTCCAGTCACTTAGAATTCTACAAAACTGTGATAGAAAACAAGCAGATCCAGGTTGCCTGCTTGATGGGGATGGGTAACAGGTGAGTACAAGGAAAATGATCAAGCTGATGGACATATTTGTTGTCTTGGGGTGACGATGTTTACTGAAATGTCATAACAATACTCCAAAACAAACAGGAAAAGAACAGAAATAGATTTCTTGTATCCTAGTGGAAAGCAGTCATGACTTAACTTAGATTAGCTAGTTAGTGATGTAGCCAGGAAACTTCTTGCTCTTAACCAAGCAGGTTAAACAATCTGTGACTAGTTCTGCTGCTGCATTGCATAGAGAACTTCCCTTTTTTCCTGACTACTTTAACTTTCTTTTTAAAAAAGTTCAAACAACATACTGCTATAAGGATACAAATAAATGCAAACATTTTAAATACACAAATGTAATTTTTATATCCTTTCAGACACTAGAGTTTGAGTTTTGATCCCTTCTTTATGAAGGGTCAGTGAGTACAGTGGGAAAATGCTTTGAACCAGATGGACTTGAATTCCGAATGTCAGTAATGTACTTTTGACTCGCTTTGTACCTTTGCATTTGTCAGTTAGCTTCCCTGATCCTCAGTTTTCTCACACATAATAACATAAGGACAGTAACTTTATTTCAAGGGTCATTGTGAAGACTGGAAATAACTACCTATCACAGTATTCAGTAAACCATTTGCTTGCTTTTATGTATTGCACATCAAGCCTGTAGACCATGCACTATCTATACACCTATACTTACATCAGCTCCCACAACAGCTGAGTATGTGAGAAGCCTAGAAAAGCCAGGGCAGATCAACATGTAAAATAATTTTCCTTTCCATGCACTTTGGGCTAATATGTTCACTCTGCTTTAATTGTAGTGCACCTGGTGGACATTTGGAATGTCATAGAAGCATTGCGGGAAAATGCTCTGAACAACCTGGACCCAAACATAGAACTCAATGTGGCCCGCTTGGAGGCTGTGCTCTCCACCATTTTTTACCAGCTCAACAAACGGATGCCAACCACTCACCAAATCCATGTGGAGCAGTCCATCAGCCTTCTGTTAAACTTCCTGCTTGCAGCCTTTGACCCGTAAGCTCCCTCTATCAGTTCTCCTTTTTATGTTGGGTTTTTAGTTCCTTTTACACTTTCTGTGGTCATTTTTTGCAAGTAATTTTCTCTCTTTTCTTCATCAAATGCTTATGTCAATAAATCTCCATGATTGATGTAAACTTTAAAGGCTGTGGAATAGACTAGAGAGCAAAATAGTGCCACAGGACTAGGAGGACAATTGTATTTTATGACCCAACTCTTATTTGACTCCTCCATCCCCTACTTCCTAGCACCTGTGGATACTTGAAAGCATGGCGTGATGGCATGCATGTGGAGCCAGGTTAATGAAGCATGAAGTGAGAGGATGTTTTTAACTCTCTTCTTTGCAAATTGTCCAGGACAGTGTTTCTGAGGTGTCATAACAAGACCCTAGAGCAGACAGAGAAGAAATTGAAAATCATTTCTTGACTAGCTTAGTCAAAGTAACCATGACTTGAGTTAATTGGACTGGTCAATTGTGTGCCACTGTAAAACAGTACAGTGCTGTCCACTGACAACTTGAAACACAGCCTCATTATTGAATAATTTCCCCTCATAGAGTCAGAGACCTGCAAAGCTGGCTGACATCTTAAAGACTGTTCATCCAAATCTCTCATTTTACAGATGAACAACTGAAGCACAAAGACATTGTCACTTTTCCAGTCTCACAGTTATGGTAGTGACAGAGTAGGGACTTTGGCTTATTTTCCAAGGTATCTGTGACAGCCTCCTGAAATGCAAAAAATTCCCACAAATTACATTATCTGCCTGAGATTTCAAAAGGGCTTTGCCCACACCTTGCAGTCTGAACAAAGCCTTATCACCTCTGCTTTCGCCACTTGTTCTGAATATTTAAAAGGAAAATTGCTAACCTGACCTTTTGGCAATCACATTTTCAGACTCCCTGAAGATTTTCCTTAGTTTCTTTGTCTGACCAATGTTTAGAAGCATTTAACTCAGCAATGGAGATGTTACAGCCAAGCTAATGTCATTATGCTACTCACCAAAATCACCAGCTGTCACTTTGCAATCTAGAGTGACAGTAGAACAGTTCCTGCTTGGTTTTGCCAGCATTCATTATCATCTCCATGATGTTTGTATTGTAAGAAATTCTCAAGGTTTTAGAAGGAGCAGTCCAGCTTGGTAGATTCCTTGCTTCACCTATGCAGGTTCCAGAACTAAATGTTCTGCTATAGTGGGGGAGAGAGGACTGTGGATCCACATGGCAGGTGGCAGAATGGAACCAGGCCATGAAATTTCTATAACAGCACTTCCATCCTGGGCCCTTAACAAGACCACGGCAGGTTTCAGACTTGCCACCAAATACTTCATGGGACTTGTTTTAAGTATGTGTTAGTTAGCTTTCTGTTACAGTGACAAAATACCTGAGGCAGTCAACTTATAAGGAGGAAAGATTTATTTGAGCTCACAATTTTAGAGGTTTCAGTCCATGGTTGCTTGTCCCCATTGCTTTGGGGCCTGTGATGAGGCAATGTATCATGGTGGGCACATGTGACAGAGAAGGTCAGTTCAACTTACGATGGCTAGGAAACAGAGAGAGAGAGAGAGGAAGGTGCCAGGGTCCTAATATCTGCTTTAAGGACCCCCAGTAACCTAACTTCCTTCCACTATGCCTCACTTCCTAAAGGTTCCACCACCTGCCAAAAGTGCCATAGGTTGGTGACCAAGCCTGTAATATATGGAGTTTTAGGAAGCAGGAGAGTTGGATTAAAGATCTAATTCATAGCAAAATGTAATGGTAGAAAACACATAAAGAGAAATATAATTTCCCAATAAGTTCTGGAGTGTTTCTGGAAGACCTATGGATCAAAGTTAAGGAATAATTTGTATCCACTGCATAAATACAGAAACAGGACCAGATTAACAATAGAGAAGGAGGTGTTTGTGAACTAATATGGCACTCAAACTAAAAGAGTTAAATGTTTCACTTTTTTTTTTTTTGGTGGTAGAAGGGTTTTGAACTCAGGGCCTCCTGCTACCTAAATGTTTCACTTTTGTTGAGAAATATAGTTGGATTGTTTCAAAAGACAGAGGTATTAATGTTCCCTAGATAGTTACCGATAATATACTAAATCATTTCAAGACTGGTGAATGCTAATGTAAGGACTAAATGTAAGGACCAAGATAAGAAGCAATTCACACAAATGTTCAGAAGAAATGTTTATTTATTGACTACTCTTCCTATAAATAGGAAAGCCCCTGTTGTATATTTTGATGATCTCAATTATAGGATTTGTAAATGCATCCACATAGAGAAATCTCATTGCAGAGATTTATAAACATGTCCACATCAAGATGCTGGATCTGGATACTTCTGATTTCTCTCTCTTGACATAGCTAATGTGTCCAGGCAGTGCTATAGTACTCAGATTTTCCATCTGATAGCTTTTGGAATTTTGATGTGAAATGTATGCCATCAGGAAGTACAAGTAACTGGAAATGTAATTTAGAAATGAATATAAGAAGAGAAACTTAAGAATAAAATGAATGTTTGACTCTCTTTCTTATAATAGTAAACCTCTGTTTACCCAAATGAGCTCCAGTATGGAAATCTGATGTCACTTCCTAACACCCATCATAGAGTCCAAGTGTTTAAGACAGACTTCTATATTTTGGCACAGATGAATGAGCCTGATTCTAGTAAAACAAAGATGTACCACTGCTATTATAGAATTACTGAAACATTTAGAGGATTTTCTCCCATTTGCTTTATTTTAATTGGACATTTAAAACAGAGAAAATCCAAAATAAAAAAAAGTAGAGATGACTTCCAAACCTGGACCCTAAAGAGGTTATGTTTAAAAAAAAAAAAGAAAGACAGTGTAGCAATTTAAATTCATGAATAAGAACTTGTATTCAAAGAAACTTGCTCATTCTTTTGGCAGAGCCTTTAAAATTCACCAGACTCAGCCAGTTGGACTCTGAAATGGTGATCAAAGCCCACTTCATGTGGATGTATCCGTGGAAACCAAATTCACCTTCCCACAATCATAGTTCCCCAAGAATAGAATTTCCCACACCTCCCAAAAATCTGGACCTTAGTTCTCATACAAGGATGCTTCCTGTAGACAATAATCAGTTTCATGGCTGCAAAGTTTCTCCATTCTTTGGCCAAGTTAGTCTCTTAGGAAGATACGGTACATAGCTACATATGTAGGGTGCCTCATGCAATGTTAGGGGGTAGCACTTGACTCCAATGGTCGGTGTCCAGACTTGCCACTCTGTCCTGAAGAGACAGTCCCTTGAGTCTAAGATGATTTCTTCATTACTTTCCTTCTAAAACCGGCTGTTTCCCTGGGGTGGAGGGGGCTCAGCTTGGGAAAAATTACAGCCAACTTCTAAGCAGATCCCCACAGACACAAGCTGCCTTTTCCAGGGTCTCTGTGGAAACGGATGCATCTGCCTGAAAAGTAAGGGAAAAGAGGTATCAGAAGGAGCAGGGGCTGAGAAGTAAGGAGGTATATTAAAAAATAGCCAGAGCTTGGGCCAGGCTCTTCCTCTTATCTCCTCTGCATCTTCAGAAGTGACCTGTCACCTTTCCTTCTTTACTGCCAGTAGCCACCCACCTGCAGCACTGTCCCTCAGAATCCACTGACTTACTGGCACAGCCTTTGCTCTCACTTCTGTACATCCAACGGTGGGGGTGGGTCTTTCTGAAGTGTTAGAGGGGTCTTTACTGTTGTTATTATCTGCTAGGAAATAGAGAGTAACTCAAAAGAAAAACAACATGATAGAAGGTACAAATGAAAATACTTCTGAAAACTCTATAAAGCACAGCCTTTTTGAGAGGTGTGGTTACCAATGCTGATAGTCTGTGGAGCCCTTCATCTCTCATGGTCCTTTTCCAGATCCCACTGTTCCTTCCACAAGATTCTACTATTCTCTTCAATGAATGACTACTTATATGACTTCATCCCATCAGCTGCTTTAGGATGGGACTCTGGTTTATTCTTCTCCATATGAGCAGTCCATGAGACCATACCTAGCACAAGAATGAATTGAGCAGAAATCAAAGGTTGACCTTTCTTAGCTCTTGTCATACACATTTCCTTTCATTCTTTCTCTGAGATTAAGTTCTCTTTAATCTCTACTAAATTACCAACACTAGTGAGTACTACTCACTTAAATTCATACCCTCTGTACCAGGTGTTTAACAGCTAACAATATAGACGATTCTCTTTTCACAAGCTTCTCTTACTTTCTCGCTACTTCTCTAGGAAACACTAACCACAACATCAACCTTGACCTAAACTTATTTCAATTCAGTAATATGTTTCCTCTTAGAACATTTTCTCATTAAGTAGATCCTGCCACAGTAGTTTTATTTTTAGCAAATATCATTTCCATACATATTCAGTCATTCAAAACTCATAGTAGGATGGTGACAAATATTAAATGGATTGACTATTTTCCTGTTTGCAGGAGTCAAGCTGTGCTTTTAATATCAATTCTTTAGTGGTAATATAATAATTATAATAATATCTAACAGATATTCAACATTTACTGCTTACCAACAATCCCACTAATTTAGCTCTGTATTATTGTCAGAATGTTCCCAGTGGAAGAAGTGTTGAAGCTGAGACATGGAAAGGTTAAATAATTCATAGGTCATAAAGCTTCATACTAAATGAGGTGAATGAAGAAAAGATCTTTTCATTTTAGGAATAGGTTTGAATTCCACGCTCCTCGTGCTTTCTGTTTCATTTTTTCTCACATGAGAATTAATGTACTTTTTTATCTCAGACTTACCTTGCTTGTTATAAAATATTAAGATTATACTTGTAAACTTTCTAGTCTATGAAATTTAGACACATTTGACAGAGTGTCTGCAAGAGAAATATTTGGATTTTAGTTTTATATTATAACATTAGAGTCAGCTTTAGGACAACTACCCAGCATGACAGATCCATCATATGATAATCTTATGTAGAGAATACAAACTCCCAGCATTTTCTCTGTGTGACATATCACACGTGGCAGAGCCATCTGAACAGCCATTCCCACTGCTGAGTCCCCAGCACCCTGAAAGAGACCACGGCACCCTTTCAAATGTGGAGATATGAAATGATCCTGGAACTCTGCCAAAACACTTCTGCCTTTTGAATTTTAAAAAGAATTCTGATATTTAATGCAAAGGGAGTACAAAGTACACAGCCATTTCTCTGTGCACCAACAAAATGTATTGTTCATGTTTGAGACTATATGGATGTGTGACAGCAAAGGAAAGAGAAGAATTTTATAAAAGGCAAATGTTCTTTTCTTCTATTATCTACTTGGCTACAACGAGATATTTAAAGCAGTGTCCATTTGGCTTGGTGGTTTTTTTTTTTTCTTAGCACATCCTAAATTTAAGATGTCCATAGAATGTTCTCTATTAACTACAATTTTGTCTTACTGAAAAACACTTTGTTCAAGATTTGTATATGTTGATAAAATAGAATTGTTTTTCAAAGAATTTCCATAATTGCAAATAAATTGAACATCCTTGATGTCACTCATCTCTTATCAGACTTACACTTATGATAAGTAGCAGATGGAATTTTAAGAGGTTTAAGGGAGACACCCCAACAGTATTGGCCCCTCTCATTCTGGAGTCCCTGGGAAATTCACCTGACCTGGGTGAGTTTGCCTAGATTTTTGGTAACATTGCAGAAAGTACAAAGAGATGCCAGGACCAAATAAAGGGTTTCTGTTTGATCAGAGGTTAATTCTACTACCCCACAAACAAGAATAAGTATGTATGTCATCACCTTTAAATTCAAGGCATCATAGAGCAGCACAATTGAATATTAAGATCAAAAAGTCAATCCTTGTAATTTTACTCACTTTGTATTTGTCAATCTAAATCTTACATAGTAAATTTGAATGTTTTATCCATTTGTGCATTCATTAATTTAACATAATTAACATAACATAACATTAATTTAACATATTAAGAAGAGCCTGTTATGTGCTAGGTGCTGTGATAGGCTGAGAATAAAGGATAAGGAATACAAGATAGGTGAGAGGAGATGCCTTTATTTTTATTATGAGTCAAACTTTGACATAATCCATTTTTTTAGTGCAGACACTAAACAAGTAACCATGTGTATTTTAGCCAAAGAATAATTGCTTTCCTCTTTCCATTTTCAACCAGTTGTCCACTAGAAAAATTGGCAAGTTTGCAGAGTGCATCAACAAAGTGCAAAGAGGAATAAAATGTTGATTTATGAAGCAACTACAGTTTGTAACTTTGATATCTTTCTTAGACTTGCCTGGTTTTCTGAAATACCTTGTTGGGTATTAATCGAATGCCACTAGAACCATTTAATTGGCTATCAAGCTGGGAGAGAAAAGCAAAATTTGTACAGGCAAAGGCTCCTAAATAATTGGCTTAAAACCAGAATATATTCAATTATGCCAGAGGACAACAGTGGAAAAGATGAGTAAAGTATACATCATGCATTCTGTTCTCCCTCGACATGAAAGGGAAAAACACTACAATTAGGGGGAAAATTTTTTATTTTTTAAAATAAAATTATTTTAATGAAAATAACATGCCAATTGTAATTTCTTTTTAAAGCTTTTCGGTGCCTTTCACCCTCCTAAAGAACCAACTGCACGGCTTTAGTTCACAAAATGCTTATGTGGCCGTGTCATTAATTACTGACTCCCAAATCTGTGCCTCTAACGCGTGCGCTGCGAAGTGTGCAGCCCTTTCAAGCACATCTGGCTCAGTTCGGTCTTTTCGAGGTGGCGATCAGGAAACCGAAGGAGCACTGTCATAGCTTTTAATGAAAGCAAGAGTATGAACTTTGTGTGCTCTTCCTACGTTTCCCTTCCCCGGCTGCTAGGGAGGATGGATTTCCTCTTCTGCACCCTTCCTCAGGTCTACTGCTTGAGAAAGGCTTACCTCCCACATGGCATAGGTGTAGTTGTACTACCTCACTCTTGGGGGCGCTGTTGTGCACGTACTGATTTTGGAACAGCATGCTAATTTCTTGTTTCTTTGCGCAAGGTTCCTGAGAGCTTCCTGTTTTGTTTTTCTGTCCTCCTGAATTTATATAACAATATAAATAACAATTTATGGTGAGCATAGCTCTTACATGTCTCCATTTGGGATGTACCACCACCTCTCTACTCCTTTGTTCCTGTGTCAATGCCAGTTCTTTTTTCACAACAAAATGGAAGCCCTCATCCCAAGGTGACTTTGTTTAAGCAATCAGCTTTAATATAGAACTTGGTCAAAGGCCTTTAGAAAACCTTTCCCCTCTTTTGTTCCATTCTGTTACATCTAAAAAAGACCCATTTGCTTTTACTATTTACATCTTAGGTGGAACTGTTCTCAGTTGTAGAACTGGTCATATCACTCACTCCTTAAAGAGTTATCCAATGCCTGGGATGACAAGGTTTGAACTCAGCTCTTACAGTGAGCTCCTCATGATCTAAATCCCTGTCCAGGCCATGAGTCCTTCTTCCTGACAGGGGTCACATTTGCAATCTGTCACACTGGCTTGCATAACAATAGATTCCAGCAGCCTAATTTCACCCTTGAGTTCCTGCAACTCTCATTCAGCTGCCCTCCAGTTGGTGATTTCTCTGGATTTATGGTGTCGATTTGGCAGAATATGTCTGATACAACTACTGTTGAATTTAATGTCATCAATCTTCCCTTTCTAGGAAAAATATAGGATTGGCAATTTCTCTATGATCTTCTTTATTAAAAACTAAGGTTTAGTATCCATTTATTAATGTAAGATATATATTGATCACAAACTGAGTGAGATGAACGTGCTAAGCACTGGAAATTCAGAAGAATCATCTCTGTCCTCAAGGATCTCACAGTGTGGAGTTGAGTCACATTGTAGATATGTAAATAAGCAAATCAAAGTCACTTCATGTGATAAGTAAAAAGAGAAGTGGGGAATGATTGTTTCCCCATCCAAGAGAAAAGCTGTTTTCAGAGTGGGTGAATAACAGCATTAATCAGTGTCCTGAAGACAGGACAGAAGGTATCCCAGGCAGACTGTAGTGGAGAGGGCAGGGGGCAGGAGGGATTGAACAGTGTGATTGTGGTGTGCACTGCAACAAAAGAAATGATAACAGGTAAGATGGAGAAGACTGTTAGGTATGCCATGAGAAAAAGTTAGAACTTCTTCCTGTGGGCAGAAAGAGGCAATGAGGGTTTTAAACACTGGAATAATTCAGCAAATTTGTGACATGTGTATGCAAGCAGAGAGATCATTTTGGAGGTCATTAGTGTTGAAGCAAGGGTTGATGGAAGCAATGACAGTAGAAATGGACACAATACATAGTTAACAGGTGCATTTGAGTCTCTTAAACATTTGTTCAGGATGGTAGTGAATTAAGGAAGTCAAGAGTGACCTCTGCCCTAGAATTTGTTTTTGGGTAACTAGGTACATGGTAGTTCTAGCATCTGCGCGAGAGATGTAGGAGGGAAAGCAGTTAGCTTTAGGGTTGGTCTGAGTAATAGGGAAAGGTTCTGTAAAGTTCTATTGTGAACATACAAGGTTTGGCATGAGATAACCACATGGAGATTTCCAAAGTAATTGCCTAAGCGTGATGCTCAGGCTTAAAAATATACTAGGAAAATCACTAGCATAGGATTCAGTCAGTTTTGTATTCTGGCTAGCTGTATTTCAGTTACTATGCTAAGACTGATAGCAGCAAAGAGAAATAACTAATGACCCTCCTCTAGAGTCTAGCAAGGAACAAATACACAATTATTTATTATATGTTGCTCTTCCAATATATCAATCATAAGAATCTTAAATTCATATGAATGACTTATTCTATGTACTAAAGTCTTGTCAATACACTTTATTTAACTTTCAGCCACATTATTATTAAATAACTCTCTTGATCATTCTTATTCATATGCATGTATGAAAATCAGAATGATGAACTCTGTTAAAAATTGTTCAAAAAGAAGAGGGATTAAAGAGGAATAGAGGGGGAAATTTGATGTTACATTATATGCATGAATGGCAATATCACAATGAAAGCCCTCTGTACAATTAATATTTACTCATAAAAAGAATGAAAGAATAGCAACCATAAAATAAGGAATTACTACTGTGATATTCTTTCTGATTCCAAGAATATAAGAACAAACAGTTTACTGCAATGGAAAATAGTTTCACTGACACATTGTATTTCTTACAGTATGTGCTTTATATCACATTTTGTGAAGAATACATTTTTTTATACTTCCTAAATCAATTACGATTTGAAAGTATTTGTGTCATTTTAGGTAGAAATAGAACTATTCAAACAGAGCTCTGCTTTTGCCTCTTTAAAATACTGGTTGACTTTGAAAAGTAACTATATCACATAAGCACAGTTGGCTTGTGGGATGAAAATGATAGCTGAAAAACATATGTGATTAAAAAAACCCCATTGTTACCCTAACTTCAAATGCAGAAATTCACTGACAAAAAAAAAATCTGATGTTTCTAAAGCCAGTTTAAATAAATTATAGAGATTGGCGTCATCATGCACAAAATTATTATATGAAACGTAAAGGGAAAAGCATATTCTGTTAACTTAAATTCATAGTTAGCTAATGCATATCCCTTTGGCTACCAGCCCATGTTTTGAGCAGGTGACATATACAAAGAATAAACTAGAAGATGCTGATGCCTCTTGAAAAAAAGAAAACATTGCATAGTCAGTTTTTCAAAAGTGTGCATTGAATTGTATTCATATTTTTCTAAAATGGATGTGCTCACATAATGCGTGCAACCACATATCCTGTGATTTCTACAAAAAAGAAAATGTCAAGCTTCATTATTGGAAGTACTCCAAATGACATTGTGTGTTTTTTTTTTTCTCTATTATCATTAAACAGGGAAGGCCATGGTAAAATTTCAGTATTTGCTGTCAAAATGGCTTTAGCCACCCTGTGTGGAGGGAAGATCATGGACAAATTAAGATGTAAGTTATTATTCTTCGTGTCTCTCTGCTTGTCTCTGCTATGCACCATGTTCCCTCTCCCTGATTCCTGCCATGTTCCCCTACTAGCTGTGTCTTTCCTCATTCTGTGGGAGCTGTTTAAAATGCCATCTTCTTTGATCCTTGGATTTTTGTCATAGAGCTCTTTCCGTATTAGGTAAATGTTAGTGGAATAAGTATATCCCTCTACTTATGTATTATTACTTATAAATTGTTGAGTATCACCAACTAGATTCTTTCTAATACTAAAACAAGGTAAATATTCTTAATTCAATTACACCTGAGTAGCTAATCAGTGTAAGGACCCAAAGCCAGACTGGGCAACCTTCCCCTATGAGCACTCCAAGACGAAAGCTCCTGGCACCTTTCCTCTTTCTTCTCAGGCAGAGCTACTTGAGCCTCAAAGACTCCAGAGCTGACATGACCAGAGTATCGGCATAGGCATTGCATGGAGACAGTGTAGACAGAATTAAACGGATGCCAATTAAACTGTGATAGCTAAAGGACATCAAGGGATAACGAGCCCTTGTGAACATTTTGTCACTAAATGTGGCACAGTTTGTTAACCAACAACACAATAGAATTATTTTGTAGTTGTCAGTGCTTGTCTGTTTGCTTTAGTTAAAGAAGTTGAGACCCAGAGTGTTAAATCACATAACTAAAATGGTACCAGGATTTGAGCCCTGACTTTTTTTTTTTCTACACCAGTTGTTCTCAAATTTTAGTACACATCAGAATTACCTGGAGGACTTTTTTTTTTATGGTACTGGAGTTTGAACTCAGAACCTCTTGTGTAGTAGGCAGGCACTCTACCACTTGAGCCACTCCACCAGCCCCCTTGGAGGACCTTTTTTTTTAAAACAGACTTTCTGATACAATATTTCACAATTTCTGATTCAGTAGACTCAGTTTATAGTAATGCTGATGCTGCTCTTTAAAGCAAAAGTCCCATTTGGCCCTTCCTCTTACACTAAATATTATGAGTTTGGGTTATAATGTTATGTTAGGAAGGACCCTGCCATAGCAATTGAGAGTTCCAGGTTGAAAGCCCAGCCCTGTGGCTGATTTGATGAGTTACGCCACTGATGTTACTTCACTTGATTAGTCCTCAGCTTCCTATCACATCCCAAATTTGGGGATTTTATTAAATACCATAGGGTCCCTCCTGGGAGCAAACATCTGACTCAGTCAGATGAGGCTATTTTCTCCTCTGCTGCCTGTCAACTTGAGAGTGTATCTCTTCCTTCTTGGTCAACAAGAGGGGAAAAGAGAATGAAGATCTAGGCAAACCGTTGCTCCTTTGGAATTCCCCAGAGGTGCTGCAAGGAAGATTTCTTGTTGGTCCAGTGCATAAGTGGAAGGCACCTCAAGGCCCAGGTAACCACCCAGCTTCCCTCACTTCCAGAGACTTCCTTTCATGAAATAGTCAAATACACCAGAATTCAGAGAAGCCAAGCAGACCTTACAACACTCAGTTGACTTTCTCTTTGGATAGCCTGCAAGAAGATATAGAAAATGAAAACTATCTACCTCAGTGCTTGATTGAGAGATAATGGCCCAATTAGAAGGTGCTGAGGATGGAAGCAATGACCTTTTTTAAAAAGAAATGCCAGGAGGCTTTTCCTTCAAGATGAGGCTGAGAAGAAAAAGTGCAGCAATATAGCCTAAAACAGAGAAGAAACCCTTGAGGAACTTGCCTGCTGACCTCATGTCATAAATCATCATTTATGTTTATGTTGATGACAATTAATGTTAAAAAAATATTTTTTGAGAAACATTTTCCAAATACTTACCCAATATTATATTATTGCATACCTGGATAAAAGAACTACATATTAAAATTAGTTTGAGGAAAACTGACAAAAAACAGTTTTCTAAACTTTAGAATTCCTCCAAACCTTTTCTGTATCAGGTTAAGCCTGTGCTCTAGGACCACACTTCACATCCTCCCTGTCACTTTTCCTCAGTTTCGGATTTCATCCTCCTGCTGGAGGGGAAGCCTCGAGCAGTTTCAGTAGTCATCTCACTCCAGCCTTTAAGGCTCATTGCCCATCTCAGACTAAACCACTTACTGACCACTACTGACCACAGTGGGCATGATCAAGAATCCACTTTCACCTTCTAAGCTGAGAAGGGCCACTCTTTCTTTAGCCCATGAACAAATGTAGGGCCACTAAACACAAAGGGGATGGTTGTTAAGCAAGCAACTAACAATGTCCTCATAGTTACAAAGCACAAGCTAGCTGTGAGCAGATCTTTACCAGTTACTGAAGGAGGGTGTGTAATTGGTATAGTACTTTTTCCTCAACCTATCCCATTCCCTCCAAAAACAGCACAGTCAGTGAGCAAAGCAGGCCTGCTCTCTAGTGACCAAAGTCAGTCAGTCCTTTTCAGTACAGCAAAGGAAGCAACCACAGCAGGAATCCTACTGGAGATAGACTGTGGTCTCCAGTCTCTGGAAATAAGTCTTACCACATCACAAATTCTGTAGAAAAACAGAGGGCATGACCATGATGCAGAGTCAGTCTTCATACAGATAATCCCAGGAAGATGATTTTAGTGACTTCTAGATAACTTGGTTGAAAACAACTTGACCAAAACCAATTTAGCTGAAATCAGTTTGGGTCAAAGACTCTCTCCACAATGTCAATCTGTCAAAAGCAAATATCCTTAGAGTTGCAGTGGCTACCTCTTGGCAAGTGGAATTATGGGTATTTTCAATGGTTTTCTTTTGCTGTCTTTGATTTCAACAATCAAGCAGGCAAGGTCCTGGGTTTTGCATTACTTTTATAAGAAAAACTAAAATGAAATGACATGCAACAGTTCAAGGTTTGGTGGTTTCATTTGTCCTTCCATAAATTTTTCTAATTCACTTTAAGCCAGTATGCCAGCTGTACTTGCTTGGAAATATTTTTTTCTAGTTTCGAGCCTAGGATTGAAGGATATTTAGTTTGTTTTAACTGGCAATTTTTTATTGGAGAGCACAAAGTAAGAATAATTGGCTGAAATTTTTAAAAAGCAAAAAAGGAGAAAACAAAAAATCTTTGAAGCTGATATTTTTATGTTTTAAAATACATTTAAAAAGACAACAACTCCACATTGCATCAAAATTTCTAACACTCAGGGTCAGAATTTACTGATCAGTAGAGCATTCCCTATGTAATTCCAAGGGGCAGCATTGACCCAGCTGAAAGTATGAGGGCGCCCCCTGCAGGTATATGATATGACAACCTAAGCATAAACTGACCTGATAGTACACTCTCCTGTCCAATTGTTCTCCATCTGATTACGAACTACTCCTTTAATGAGTTGGAACACTTGTTTACACTTATGCCATATGGCTCCTGGACAGTTCTTGGGATCTTAAGGAATTTCAAGTCCACTGCTGTAAGCCTGGAATGTCATGTAATGTTCCACAGCTTCTGGGAGGGGATTGTTTCATTCCAAAGAATCACATTGTGTCAAACACCATTTACTGAGTTTCCATCACTGAAGTGGCTAATCTGCATCCACGACTACCTCCAGGGCAGGGTTTCTGACTCACTAGCCTGCTTTACACTTGTCCATATCTCCTCCAACATCCTCCAGACATAAAACATAGATATATAACATATTAATATATAATATTACATATGTAATATTGTAATATTGCAAGCACATTATAAAAGGCCTCAAACAAAGGCATGAACACATCATTTTGTTATCCTCTGCAGGGTCCCCTCATTTTTTTATAAAACCTGAGTGGCCATTAACAGCCACTACCCATTAAAGTCAGTGACTTCACCCTAGTTTGTCTATTGCTAACACACCTTCCTTAACACAAACGAGGTTAATATTGGTTCAAGTCCATGGATGTCATTAATGATGTTACTTCTGCTTTTGCACTAGTGAGAATTTGTTGCCTAAATTCTTTCAGTGGGTGATTTGAAAAGCCTAAGCCATGTTTCAAAAATGTACTTTGTCCTGGGAAATCAGAGCCTAGAAGATAATCAGGATGGCCATATCATAACCAAACACCCTGCCTCAAAACCGACAAGATGGTAGTCCTCATAAGAAAGTCAGTTAACTTTGCCTGGGTTTCCATATCTCCCTTTTGATTAGCATTCTTCAGCTTCGGTATTTGGAATTATGTAACAAGTTTTGCTATCAGCAACTTCTTTTTATTTATGTATTTATTGACTACTTTTAATAGAATAGAAGATAAAATTCAGTAAGGAAACAACATTGCAAAAGTGGATGCGAACAACTTTTTTTAGTTCAGATAGATTTTTTTTAAATATGCAAAAATTGTATATACTTATTGTGTACAATGTAATTGATGTATATATAAATACATTGTGAAATGGCTAAATCTAGCTAATTAACATATTTACTATTTCACAGTTATTTTATGGTGAGAACACTTAATACATATTGTCTTTGCATTTTCAAAAATGCATTATATTGTCAATAATGATAGTCCAGCCATGCTGTGCAGTAAATCTCTTGAACTTATTTCCCTCATCTAACTAATTGTGCATCCTTTCACCAACATCTCCCCCACCCACCTTCCCTCTCCTCTAACCATCCCAGCCTCTGGTCATCACCATTCTACACTCTACTCCTTTGAGAACAACATTTCTGGGTTCCACATGTGACTGAGGTCATGTGATATTTGTCTTTCTGTACTTGGCTTATTTCACTTAACATAATGCCCTCCTGGTTCATCCAACTTGTACAAATGACAGGATTGCCTTTTTAATATAATACTCCACTGTATGTATATGCCACATTTTCTTTATCCCTTCATTTGTTGATGGACACTTAGGTGGACTCCCTTGCTTGTGTACTGTGAATGATGCTGCAATAAACATGGAAGTGCTAAAACCTCTTCAACATGCTAGTATGTCTTCAACAACTGATTTCATTTCCTTTGGATATATACCTGATCATCATATGGCAGTTCTATCCTCAATTTTTTTGAGTTACCACCATACTGTTTTCCATAGTGGCTATAGTTTATTTTTCTACCAACAGTGAATAAGGCCTCCTTTTTTTCCAGATCTTTTCCCACACTTGTTATCTTTTGTCTTTTCATGTAACCATTCTTACTGGCATGAAATAATATCTAGTTGTGGGTTTCATTTGCATTTCCCTGATCATTGAACATTTTTATGTACCTATTATCTGTTTGCATTCCTTCTTTGGGGAAAGATCTATTTGGGTCTTTTGCCCAATTTTTAAACTGGTTATTTGTCTTCTTGCTATTGAGTTGTTTGAATTCCTTACTTATTTTGGCAGTACAGGGGTTTGAACTCAAGGTTTATAACTTGTGAGGTATGCCTGCTAACTTGAACCATGCTTCCAGCGTGAGCTGCTTATATATTTTGGATATTGACTCCAGAAAGAATTTTGTAGTCTCCTAATTAACAAAGTATTTGAAACATAGTAGAAATCCTTTATAACTGGAATGTTTAATGAAAATGAGAATCAATTCACATCCTCAAAACATCATCCAATAAAAGCTTATAATATGCTTAACATTTGATTGCAGTACAAAAGCAATCTTCTCAGATTACATTTTGACCTTAAAAATTAACCCCAAAATGAATAGAGGTAGTACATTGAACTTATTACAGTTTATCCTAGCAGCTGTGCTGGTCTAGTGACAATTTGGTTAACATGGAGATGAACTAATAGCAAATCCTTTCACTCAGATAGTGATTTCCAAAGAGGATTATAAAATACCTTGGGAAATTATGGTATTAATATTCATGAAGTGCACGTGGTGGCAGAAACTGAAGATTAGAGGTTCAGTGAAGCCAGAGGCACTTTGGAGAATAATCCAAGGTCTGACTTTATCTCACTGATCATCCGCAAGGCCAGGCATCCTCCTCAGTACACAAGTCAACAGATCCTTCCCCATAAATCAAATGCCTTCCACTCCAGCACTTCGATTTATATAAAGTTTTCTGCTTCTGTGGGAAGTTAATCAAATGTTTTTCTTACATATTTATCCCTATTGAATCTTTCATTTTTCAAATATCTTAAACCAAAACCCAATAGTTTGGGTAATAATATATGTGGATAAATTACTAACCAGATAAACAGATGCACCCACATACGCATCAACTTTGTAGTAAAATTCTCATTGTGTGTTTCAAATGAAGTCAGTAAATTTCTCACACATACAAAAATTACTCCTGTTGAGTTATATATGAGTTGATAATTGACCACAGAACAAAAACATGATGGTCTCTGTCTTATATAAATATGTTAATTTTACCCAAATTACCAGTTAAGTTATGTTCTGGAATCAGCTACAAAAAATTCATCAGATAAAACATTGTGCTGGGAATATTTCAACATAAAAATTAGTGTTGATAAAATGCAGTAATATTATTGGACACAGGTCACATTAAGGGGAGACTGATCACGGGAGGAATAGGGAAAGGGAAGGAAACCAAAAACTTGAATGTGGTTGATATGCTCACCGTAGAGGAACAGATATAGTAATCTTAAACTGGCAGAGACCACTATGAGAAGGGAACTAGGAAGTAATGAAGAGGTCTGGCAGAGATGAACCAATTTGGATTGTAATACACTTGTGCATGGAAACAACACAAGGAATCTCCCTTTATAGCTATCTTCATCTCAAGCTAGTAAAAACGCCATGTTTTTCTTATTATCTTTTATGTTTTTTTCTTCTACAACATCGGAGACAGGAGGGCAGTCGAGGGGGGGAGGAGGTGGCCCAAATAATGTACACACATGGAAGGAAATACAAAAATGATAAAATAACAAGAAAGCCTAAGCTCTAGCTCCTATACTGCCAATAAAAACAAAACAAAAAAAAACCTTAGTGTTGATACATGATTCTTCCACAAAAATAATATTTATTCTGCCGCATTGTTTTCTTTGGTGAACTAAAACTATAGAATGTTCATGTATAAATAAATATTTCCATCCTTTCCCTTCCTTCAGATATTTTCTCAATGATTTCTGATTCCAGTGGAGTGATGGTTTATGGGCGGTATGACCAATTCCTTCGGGAAGTTCTCAAACTACCCACAGCCGTTTTTGAAGGCCCTTCATTTGGTTACACAGAACAGTCAGCTAGATCCTGTTTCTCCCAACAGGTAAGAATTTTAAGGACTTCTTTCTCAAAATAGTTGTTGCTCTCCTGTGTGTCATTTTTCAGTCTCAGGTGCCCAGACATGTCTTCTTGATGACACTTCCCCAGGGTTGAATTTTCTGGCCTCTAACAAATGGCCTCTGAGCCAGTAACTAATCTAACACACCTGCATAATAATAATAATAGCTGATGGTCATGGGACATAAAGTAGGCACCATGCTAGTCACTTCTCTTGTCATATTTAATCCTTACAATAAGCAACATCCCTAGTATCATCATTATTATCATTGTACTTCCCAAAAGGCTGAATCGTCAGTCTGCATACGAAACACGTCTGACCCAGCACCAAGCTTTACCAATGCTCAGCAAAGGAGATAAGAAGTCACCTCACATGTCACATGTCGATCTGAGCAGTCCAAAGTGTGGCAAACACAGCTGGCTAAATCTTCCATGGCATAATGTTTGTAAGGTTACACCTGATGCATTTTAACTAGATGTGGTACAAGGGAAGTTGATTAGTTTGAGGGTCTCTCCAGTTCATACTTTTCTGGTCTTATAGAAACACTACATGCCTATTTCCTACCACAGCAGAGTGGTAATTTATAAACTAGGATATTAGGCAGGAGTGGTGATACACATCTTTAATTCAGCTACTCTGGGGGCAGAAATAGGAGAATGGTGGTTTGAGACCACCCCAGGATGAAAGTTAGAAAGACCCTACTGAAGAAACAAACCAGATGTGGTGGCACACACTGTAATTCCAGCTTCTCAGGAGATGAAGGTAGGAGGATCATGGTCTGAGGCCAACCTGGGAAAAATTCATGACCTTATCTGAAAAACAAACTAAGTAAAAAGGGCTTGGTGTGTGGCTCAAGTGGAAAAACATTTTTAAGGCCCTGAGTCAACCTCAGTTCTGGAAACAAAATTCATACATTGAAGATTTGTTAATCATTTTCTAAAAACTCACACTAGCCAGTTATGCTCTCTAAAGAAATCAGTACAATTAAAATACAAAATGAATGAATTAAAAAAAAAATAAATCAGTTGATAGCATCCATTGGAAAACCACACTGACTGCCCAGCGAGTAACCATCCTCAGTCTGCTTACTCTATGATCTGGGAATTCAAATTGATCAGGCATCCCTAGGAGGCATGGATTTACGTTAACTCATAAATATATCCATACAACTAGCAAAAAACACATGGCTTGCTGCACCAAGCTCTAACTCTGCTCCTGTGTCATCACACCCAGGGGTCCTTTCTGACAGTCCCGTTACTCCCCTCACCCCGCCTGCCTCACAAGCAGGCATGCTTAGATGCTCCTTGCATTCTTCCTAACCCCTGCTGTGAGCTGCAGCATTCTACTTTCTCAGTAGTTTCCCACTGGAGTTCGCATTCCTTCTATCTGAATTTGATAACATTGCTGGGCACCAGTAGCTCATGTCTATAATCCTAGCTGCCAAGGAGAAAGAGACCAGGAGGATCACGGTTCAAATAACCAACACCATAAAGGGCTGACAGACTGGTTCAGTGATAAAGTGCCTACCTAGGAAGTGTGAGGCCCTGAGTTCAAATCCCAATACTGCCAGTAAATAAATAAATTTTATACCATTATCCAACCTTTCTCTATTCCTCCTCCTCACTATAATTCCCAGCCTCTAAGAACCACTATTCTACTCTCTTTTATTTCTAAAATCACTTTTTTTTTTTAGGTTCCTCAACAGTGGGAAACTCAGTATTTGTCATTCTGTGCCTGGCTTTTTTTTTTTAACTTGATAGAACCTATATATTCAAAAATAATTATATGTGATATTATCATACTAAGATTCCTTTTCAAATATCCTATAGATTGTCCCATTACATCTTCATGTGTATACCCTTAATTATGAGAAATGCATGCATTTCAAAGTAACAGTAACAAACCTGTCATGGTGATACATGTCTATAATCCTGGTGCTTTGGAAGCTGAGGTAGGAGGTTCACAAGTTTCAGGGCCAGTTTTGGCTACATAGAGAGACCCTGTCTCAAAACATAGTAATAATATTTTTGGAAACATCTAGGAGTGATGTTTAACCAATATGGTGATCAATATGGATAAGATCATTTGAAATACAAAAGAAGTAACACAAATAAAAATAAGATCAGTTTATTTTTGTCTTATTTTTTTATAACAGCAATTTAAAGGTTGAAATTCTGAAAGTATTTGGAATGCTTAATTGGAAACAGTCAAGCCACCACAAGTGCTAGTTCTTTTAGACATATAAATTCTGGGAGCTTTAAAAAATAGCATTTCTTATACTTTCCATAATATATATTTTAATAGCAACATTGGTATCAACCATATAGCAGACTTATGTGATTTGTTATTATGAGGGAAGACTAAAATTGTAAATTTCTGCTAATAATAAAAACCAAGCGGTCCTAAAAAGTTGTTTAGTGAATTGCAAGGACTAATGTTAAAAAGACAGTATACTTCCTTAGGACTGATTTATTATTTAAAAATATTCTAGGTCAAAATTTCACATAAAATAGTGATATCTGCACATGAACTGTAATTTTTGCTATTGATACCATAATATATATTAATATAGCTTACCTATTTTTTACATTTTTGAAAAAAATTTATAACATATCCCTCTTCTATATCAGAGAGTACGAGAAGGAGGAGACAGAAGTAGACTGAAGTGAGAGGAAAGGTAAAGAAAGGAAACAAGTTTTTAAAACTTTAAGACATTCTCTCCTAGAAGAATCCCCTTCTGATTTTACAGACGAGAGCCATTCACATTAGTAACATTTGGCACTTCAACAAGTTGAGAAAACCTGAAAGTTTCACAAATCCGGAAGGGAGATTAATGGGGGATTAGAAAGTGTGCCATGATACACCATTGGGTAAGATTACACGGAGAATTTCATTCTTCTTCTTCCTTGGCATCTCCACACTGTCCCTCATTTGTGAAAGTGACACTCTCAGAATTGATTTTCTGTTGGCAAATATTATTGACTCGCCTTTGGTGGAGATAACCCAGTCTCCCGTATGTTTACAAAAAAACAATCAATGATTTCAATTCTGAACTAGTTTAATAACATTTGGCAAGTTTTGTTTCTTCCTATCTGAGAAGTCAATTGAATACCTTATTTATTCCATCTCAAGTGATATTTATATATCAGATAAATTAAGATTATTCTCTGTCCTTAATTTTTGTGATTTTTTTTTTTTTTTTTTTTTTTTTACAGAAGAAAGTCATGTTAAATGGTTTCTTGGACACACTCATGTCAGATCCTCCTCCACAGTGTCTGGTCTGGTTGCCTCTCCTGCATCGACTGGCAAATGTAGAAAATGGTGAGTGGTTTCTACTGAGCAAAGCAGTCTTTAAATTATTGAAATTAGGCTATGGAGTCTACAGTTATTAATACCATGTCAGTGCTTTAGGGAAGTCTCTGGAGGGATTCTTACTTTTGCTTAGGATAGAATCAAACTTTCTGCCTGATCAATAAAGCTTTCAAGGACAGCTCCAAAATTTGGGACTGTCAATGCTAAAAACTTACCAAATCTCATTGTGTACTTCACAGTTACAAGTCAAGTAAATACAATATCAGGACCTCAATAAAGAATGTGACATTTTCTAGTACTTATTTTAGATTTCAGTTTCTAATATTGATGTGGATGAGACTGATTATTTCTTCAGGGAAGTCAGCAAGGGCTAGGAGACATGGAAAAAAAATCAAATGATAGCACATTGCTAGTCTTGAGTCCTATGCTCCAATTTTAAGCTTTCAGGAGAAAGAGTAAGTAATAGAGGGGAATAATCTAATTAAAGTACAATATCTACATGTGTGAAATGGAAAAACTCCATTTAGCAATTGATATACACTTTTAAAAATGAAGGACAGGAAAGTAACACAGCTTCTATCTGGAGGTAGGTACCAGTAGGAGAGGGAGGGGAAATGGAGAGTGTGAAAGAGGATAAGTGTGACTGATGAGCTTTATATATTGTATGAAAAGAGAACAGTGAAACCTGCTGAAATTGTTCTAAGAAGGAGGAAGGGCGATGAGGGAGAATGATGCAATGGGTGAATCTAATTAAGATCATTGTAAGCACATATGCAAATGTCACAATGAAACTCCCCTCATGACTAATATATGCTAATAGAAATGTAAAAAAAAAAGACTGTAAACAAATATAGCTATCAATAAAAGTAATTTTTAAGTGAAAAAAATAGCTTTATTTATATTAAAGATAAGACTAAGTAACTTTTGTAACATCTTTCTTTAAAAACAAAAACAACCACTTCTATGATACAAGTGTTTACTATTGGCATATCCAGATTTAAATATGAAATACAATTTAAAGCAAAAAGTTAAATTTAAATACTAAGCATTTCAGTGCCTGCCTCTAATCTTTAGGTGTTCACATTTATTGTTTAACTCTAAAATTTCTCTGACTTGAATAAAAAGTGATTTATCACATGTCTCTTATTAGAATCTTAACATGTAAATATTTCTTTAATATGCACTAGGGTCAAAATTGGCTTCATTTTAAATTCTCATTCAGAAATTTTAGCACCTGGCTTTATTACTTCTCATGGCTAAAAATTATGAAATTTACCATGTTTTGCTAATGGACAAGATGAGCTTACTAGTTTTATCACAATTACTAACAATCACAGATTTTTTAATATGCTTCTTATCTGTATGCAAAAGCAAAAAACTATCCAGTTCCATACTATGATGCAGGCTGGTTTTCAGTTACTGTGAACCATCTCAGGACTAGTCACTTTCCAGCCCTAATGCTGTAATTCCACTCCTGCTGTCTCAGTGTTTCCTGGTGCAGGAGATCAGTTTCTTAGGTTCTTGCCCCAGAGCAGTTACCTGGATGCAGTCCCATCCCTGTCTTTCCCAAAAACCCAGAAAGGGAGCCACACTTGTGTGGGAGGCAGCACCCAGAACCGGTTGTGTTCTTTGGTTTTTCTCTTCATTTATTCCTGTTTGCATTGCTTTTCGTGGCTGACAAGCCAGAGCATAACTTTACCAAAGGCAAGAATTGTTCTTGTTGTTGTTGTGATTTTACCATTTTCAGCTCATAATATGTAGAAAGTCACTTGGATTTGATCATTTTGTTAGTTTCCCATCTTAAATATTTTACCTTGTCTGCTTTGTAATTCTAATTTCCTGACGAAGAAAGTTGTGTCTCCTAAACCATCTGAATTAGAACTGTGCTCAGAGGATTTACATATCTGCCTAAGAAAAGAAAAAATAGCTGTTATATAAAGGCAGTGTCATTCATTAACCCCATAGCCACTCCATTCTTTAAAAAGTAATTAAATTCTCTCATCTAGTTTCTGTGCTCCCACCCTCATTTCCCCTTTTTTCTCCCTCTTGTTTTCCATTTCATTAATATTTGCTCTCTCTACTGGACTCTCAACTGTATCCATCCATTGTGCTTCTGAGTCTTCTGGGAGCTGTGCTGGTCTCCAGGAGACAAAACAGATGGGGGCAAAGGCAAGGCAGCTTGGGTAATTTATATTCTTGCAGTGTAAGAGATGGGAGAAGAAAGAGCAAATGGCATTACAGAGTTGCATGCTGTTAAAAGGACTCCAATTCTCCACCCCCTTTCATTTTTTCCACTCCCACACACATGTTTGCAAAGGCTAGTGAGATTCCAGGAATAAGCTAAATGCTTTTGTGAGCCAGAGTTGACTATGGTCTGAAAACATGACACACAGCAGAAAAAAATATAGCTCTTTTTAAGCTGTATTTTTCCTTATTTTGGTTCATACTTTGTTTCCCTATTTTTTCCTCATTTTCTTCTTCCTTAGTCTTCCATCCAGTTGAGTGTTCCTACTGTCACAGTGAGAGTATGATGGGATTTCGCTACCGATGCCAACAGTGTCACAACTACCAGCTCTGTCAGGACTGCTTCTGGAGGGGGCATGCTGGAGGTTCCCATAGCAACCAGCACCAGATGAAAGAGTACACATCATGGGTACGTGAGGCCCCAGCAATACTTAAAGTTGGCTGTGTGAATGTTGCCCAGAATGAAAGGGAATATCAAGGATGGTGACAGAATTAAGAGACAAACTTAACTTCTACTGCAAAGCCTAGCATTCCTTCTCCCTTCCCTCATCATACTTGGACCTCTTACTTCTTCTATCTGAACCTAGCATAGCTTGCTGGAGCTTAAAATATAGACTATATGTGGACTGTAGACAAGTCAGTACTGACATAAACAACTAACTGATCGGTAAGCACCTTCTGCAACTTAATCTTATTTTCACGGTAAGTGAAGGGTTTTTCCGAGTTTTATTTTGTTTTGTTTTGTGGAAATTGCTGAAAAACGTTGTTTATTTCATTTATTGTAGATGCTTGAACTATTTGAAGTGCATGACTGGAGTACAAAGGAAAGAAGTATGAGAGGGTGGACCCAATAATGCTGTTCCACTTTACTTATTTGCTGAGAGGAGAGATTGTGTTTACATTAGCAAATCATCTTTTTTGTGAATAGTGTGAATGACCAACTTGGCAAAGGTGACATGTGGGTGTCTGTGACACATGTATTCTCAGGAGCGTGTCGAGCTGAGTCAATGGGAGGAATGGTACTCTTGGTGTGTTTGCTGCTTGAATGGCTTGCCGTTTTCTGACCTCTTATCCCAATTAAACTCAAATATCAGTTCTAGTCATTCTGTTCTCGTGCATCTATTCGAGTATTGCCCTAAATGTGGTTTGGTTTTTGTTAGATGAACCATGAGCCCTGCGCCCCTCTTGAAATGGTTCTATCACAAGAAAAAACAAAGTTTTATGAGCTTTTCTATATTTAAAGTAAACTGTAGCTTTTACTTAATGAGTAAATCACTGTTCTTTAAAAAATAATAATAATAATGAAGCCCGGCGCTGGTGGCTCATTCCCATAATCCTAGCTACTCAGGAGGCAGAGATCAGGGGGAATCACAGCTCGAAGCCAGCCCAGGCAAATAGTTCGCAAGACCCTATCTCGAAAAACTCTTCACAAAAAATAGGGCTGATGGAATGGCTCAAGGTAAAGGCTCTGAGTTCAAGCCCCAGTACCACAAAAATAAATAAATAATGAAAAGCTGGGCATGGTGGCACACACCTGTAATTCCAGCGCTCCAGAGGCAGAGGCAGTAAGATTGAGAATTTGGGCTACGTAGTGAGAACCTGTCCCAAGAAAAGAAGAAAGAGGAGGAGGAGAAGTTGTTCAAAATATGCATCTTAAATCAAATGCTCTTTTTAGGAATTATTATTGGGCACTGATATATTCAAGATCACCTCGAGTAACAATTCTTCACTCAGGTCTGGTGTACTGACAGCTTCATGTCAATTCAAACATCACACCTTGGTGTTGGTTATATCATATACTGAGGACAGATACATGAATTCCTATTGTGAACTATGACTTTGATATCGAAAATAGGAGCAAACACTTCCTGTTTTTTATTGTCAACCTACTACCAATCTTCAAACTTCTATCTCAGATCTTGCAGGGTTGATGTTTGAATACTAATCACTTTCACTTGTTTTGTTTAAATGCTGAAACCACATAAGAAGCCTCTTTTTTAGGGATCATGGGACTCTAAAATCAGATGGCAGGACACTGTCTTTGCAAGTTGGGTCAGACTCTGCAAGAGGACACAGTAGCCCAATGGTTTACAAGTAAAACACTATTCCTGCTGCTGATTTAAATGGCCTAACAATTAGGTCAGGTGCAGTGCATTACAGGTGGTTCACATCTATAATCCTGCTACTTGGGAGGAAGAGATCAGGAGGATCATAATTCCAAACCAGCCTAGGGAAAAAGTTAGGAGAACCCCTCTCAACCAATAAAGCTGGGCACAGTGACACACTCCTGTGATCCCAGTTGCAAGGGAGGTGTAAATATGAGGATCATGGTCCAGGCCAGCCTGGGCAAAGATGTGAGACCCTATTCAAAAATAACTAAAGCAAAAAAGGGCTGGGGGCATGGATCAAATGGTAGAGTGCCTGCCTAGCAAGCATGAGGTCCTAAATTTAAATCCCAATACCATCAAAAAAGTAGAATTTTATACCTCCTAACAGAAGTTAAAAAGGGAGTTCTTAAACTATGCTCTTTTTACTTAGCTTTTAAATAATGAGTTATAAATTCACTTCATTATATTGCCAATTATAAATTCCAGTTGTAAAAGAAAATGACAAAATTATAAATGTTTGCTCATGGCAAAAGAAAATTTGATTAAAGATTTATTATGCAGATATAGTATTCTATATTATAGAGGTTTATTATATTTTTACAATTTTGATGGTGTCATATTAAGATAACCAGACCACCAGCCAAAGAAAAAATGGGTAACATGGTGTGCTGCAAAGAAGATGAATCTTAAATGAAAAGATGCAGCTCAGAGGTCCACTTTCCCTCTAACCGGGTGTGTTGGGCTACACCAGAAGCACCCTGTGCCTGCCTTCTTGGATTCCTGAAAAACCTTCTGCTCATCTCCTTCCTTCCAAGCATCCCCCACCTCCCCCCAAGCTGTCTTCTGTTCTGAAGTGGTAGCAGCCCTTCTGAAACCAGGTCTCATCCTGTCACCCCTGTGATTTAAAACTCTTATGTCTCCCTTGTCCCATGGATGAACATGCAATCCTTGTCATGTCACATAAGGACTTTGGTGACATGTCTCCTGCTTTCCCTCCAGAAGAAGGTCTCCTCTTTCCCTCCCTTACCAGTTGCTATTTCCTCCATCTGTAATGACCAACCCAGGGCACTGGGACTCAGTCCCCTGAATTTTTGTCAGAAGGAGTCTAGTGGCCATGAAGTCCCAGCTCAGGTTCCTCACACACAGTGATGGCTTCCGTGTGTCATGATGTTTGCTAGCATTAAGCAGTGGGATGTGGGTACCCTGGTGACTTGATCCAGCACTCTAGTCCCAGCCTCAAGCAAACTTTCTGACTTGGAGTATGTGCTCAGAGATGAATTCTTGGATGAATGAGTGAACAAACAGTTTTTACAAAAAGTAAATCATCTACTAAAATGTTGCATCCAGATTAGTGGTTACCACTCGCCCTCTCTTCTTTGCAGAAATCACCTGCAAAGAAGCTAACGAATGCGCTAAGCAAGTCCCTGAGCTGTGCTTCCAGCCGCGAGCCTTTGCACCCCATGTTCCCCGATCAGCCTGAGAAGCCACTCAACTTGGCTCACATCGTGTGAGTATCTCTGACCCCAATCAAGACACATCTTCCTCACTGACCTGTGTCTGCAGTAAGTCATACGATGCAATTTTGTATCACTTGTCAAGGAGCACATTTTAAATTTAAGGTTTTTTTTAAAGTTCAAGTAATGCATTATTGGGTTTTTTTTATTGAGCTGTACAGTATTGCTCCCTGGCTGTACAAGTAAAATGCTAACATAATTCACCTAGAAATAGAAATTTTTCAAAAGCCTAGTTTTAAAATATGAATGTTACTGGAATTTGCACAATTGGAAGTTACCAATCAGTGGAATTGAAATTGTTTTTAAAACTAAAGCATATTATAGCCTATCATCATATGTGTTTTGAGTTCAAAATCTAAAAGCCTTCTATCTTGTTTCTTATCAAAGGCAGTCATCTGAAAGACGCTAGCAAACCTACACGTTGCTTTCTGTTTTTTATTCCATGACACATAACTTTAAAAAAAGCCTGTGCACAGGATGGTTGAAGGAAAGGGGTGAAAAAATTCATCAGAACATCCAAAAAGAGAGAAATTCTCCCAAGTATGTGTGAGTTTGGTGGACAGAGGGGTTGGGCCAGCTAATGGAGCAGCCATCACCCTTCCACTCCCACACATCTTGAGTCCTGGAGCCTGTCTCAGACATGGCCAAGATAGCAAGGGATACAGAGAAAAGAAAGGCCTTCTCCTTTGGTCTTAACTTGGGCTCAAAAGAAGGAAGAAGCTTTTTACTTTCTTCTATGCATAGTTAGGAATTACACAGCCAGAGATGCTCTGGAGGCTTCTGGAATGGGTGTTTCCTCCTTCTTAACAACCACCTTTTGTTTCCCACAATCCAGTGGGACCAAAAGGCCAATGTTTGAGATGTGTGCATCTCATGGAGATCCCAATGTCAGGAATTCACTGATGCAAAGTTCTTGCTTTGTGCAGGCCAGAACTCTGTAAGAGGCACTGTGGTGGCTATGAGACCTTTATGAAAAAGATAACTCTTTCCTCTGCTGGGCCTAGGAAAATTCCATCAAGTCATCTGTGCTGCATCATGTCTATGAGTTTTGCTTAAATACTGCAAGACTCTGTGCTGTTTGCTCCTCAGTGTGCTTGGAGGGATCACTGACCCCAGCAGTGCACACAGAATGGAGGCTTCTGTCCCAACCAATATATTGTCTGAGCTGAGCATGCAGGAAACTGATCTAAAACCAATTCCGTAGAGTGTAGCTAGCTTTTTTGGAATTTTTTTTTGAAATTATGCTCCTAAAGCTAACCTGCTAAATCTGGGGAATATCCTGAAGGGCCAATTGCTCACAGAAAATGCTTCAGAAGAGGGGTTTTTATCAAGGTCCCCATTTTCCTTTGCATAGCCAATTAGAGACAATAACCAGCTTGTTAGTGAAGGAACACAAGTTAAGAATGAGCCTCTAGTCTGTGAGCCCACTAGGACTTGTACCCAAAAGCAGCCTTTAGTCCGTGCTGCTGGGCATGATGAAGCTAGAGGATGGGTGTAGTGGCCTAGCCTTCAGATTGTTGTAAACCAGAAGGATGCTGTCCACTTCCAGAAAGAATTAGGAAGGGAGGCACTGTGAAGTAGCAAGTCACATCACACTCAGCTAGCCCAGGCAGTTGTACACAGCTGGTGCTCAGGATTGATGTGTGTGTGTGTGTGTGTGTGTGTGTGTGTGTATTATTTAATTGACTGATTAAATTTTTTTAATTTTAATTTATAGGGGCAATATGATTCACGCTGAATTAATTGAGGGCAGCATCTACACAATAGGTTCTTTGGTGGGGAGCGGGGATTGCCGGAGATGAACTCAGGGTTTTGTACATGCTAAGTGCATGCTCTACTAGTGAGCTACCCCCCCTTAGATTCCACAGTAAGTTCTTTGGGCTCTGTGGAGAAATTTCAGGATTCCCTCGAAATTCTATACAAAATGTAACTTTTATGTATATTTAATCAGATTCTCAAAAGAGTTTTTGAATCGAAAAACTAACATATGCTCTCTGGTAAAATATTTTTTGACAGTGAATGTATTAATCTTAAAATGCAAATTGTGTGAGATATTTAATTGTTAGAATAACATACAAGAAATTCTGGGTGCAGAATATCCAGTCTATATTTGAACAATTTATTTTCTATTTTTAGCTACAGAATATTTCCCCATATTATTTTTTTTTAGTTAAATGCTTCCATAATGAAGAGATATGCATGTCATTGCTGGAGGTTGAGGATATTTTAAAAGCTAGTATTAAACTATTCTTCTTATTTTAAATTATTGTAAGCATACAAGTGCCACTTAAGTGGCATATGCTTTGATCTTTTACAAAGGATATCCTCCTTGTCTGCTATCATGAGCATGTATTTGGAATTAGTGAGTATTCACACTTCTTCTGAATGTATATAGATATAATTTTGATACATTATATAAAAGTATATGACATTTCATAACATGTCCTTTTTATCACAGGTCATTCTGCCACATTTATAGAGTGCTGTACAATAGGAATAAGTGAATGAACACATTAAGAAATAAAACACACCAATACTCCCACCACCCCCCCACTAAATTCCCTTAATTTTTCACTCCCAAGTATGGCTTAATGCATCAGATCTTCAGCAGAAGGAATATTACCATACTTCAAATAGATGTATAGTATGAAACTTCATTTTTTCAGTCTTCAGTGAAGGCCATCCTGAAAGTATATTCCCTATCCTTTTCCAGATAATTTATTAATAAATTTTTAATTGTGATACAAACCACATCTTCATTATTCTTTGGGCACATGATCATGTAGATTTGCAAAAATATCCCACCCAGTCTGTATCACTCACACACATAGATGAGCTCACAGACGAGGGTGAAAAGGGGGCAGTGAATGAGGCTATGAGCACTCACAATATTGATCTGCATATTCTGACCTAGGGGGTGGGGCATTGAGAATTACAGCATAGGCTCAAAACAAATCATTTTTTATTTGTTAGTGTGAAAAAGTGTGCTAATTTTGTAAATTAATGTGAGTTTCTTCAAAGATACTGCTTAGGAAAAAAGATCACATGATGCAAATGGTTGGTGAAGGATAATTGCATGTCCTTATGCCGTGATGAAAAATATATTTAGTGTTATGAATGTATTTGGAATGTAATACTGAACATTATACAGCTTAAATGTGTACATCTTGTGTTTGTGATTGTATTAAAAGCTGATACTAGCTCTCTAATGTGTATATCCAATCTTTAGCAGTAAAAAGTCATTCTGAGGTATATAGGCATAAACTGAGACAAAAATACATGGCTTATGCTTGATTAATACTAACAAATAAATTAAAAAATATTTTCACTATTTAAGACTCCAGTTTCAACTTTTTAATGGGCAAAAAATGGCAATCTTGCTGCATAACTAAGTGAACATTTTATAGGAAGCCTTAGCTATACTACAAAAAAAAGTCTGAATCAATAGAACTTTTAAATAAGTTGTTGTTGTGGTACTGTTATCTCAGACATGTACACACATTTGCATATGAAAGTGAAGCAGGTTACACAGAAACTGCCTTTCCCTTACTATAGCCTTGGAATTTTATGCATATATATTATAGAGGCACTGCCAGTGGTGAATTATTCCTTACATAGAAATGAGCAGGTGGTAACATTTTGGTATTTTGGCATTCGTTCTTAGCTACTGTATTGTGTGTAAATGTTGCCATGATTAACAACAGTTTCTGTTCTGTTCAATTTTTTTGCTGCCAAAAGTGATACTTGGTAAGTAGTTCAATAGTCCTCTGTGTACTTTTAGACTTATAATCACAATTAAAAGTGGCTTTGAGACATAAAACAAGTGAACAATGTGAGGTTACTTTAAAACTAATTCTGCCTTGAGCTAAACTCTTTTATTAGAAAGATACCATTTTTTAAATTTTTCTCTGCAAAGATACCATCCAGAAAGAAACCTTCCCACTAGGCCCCTGTGCCTTACTCAGTCTTGTGGAGCTATTTTTGTTGTTGTTCACAAGAGCAGATATGTTTAGCATCCCCAATGTGACCTATTTCCTAGATAAGGAAACTTGCCATTTAGTTCTGAAGGAAATAGGAACTTAGTGACCCTAAAAGCTACCATCTGATGCCAAGATTAGCCATTTTGTGCCCAAGTTCCAACATTTTGATGGTGAACCTTAAACATGAAGCCATTGCTAAGAAACCTTAATTTGGACTTTACACTGACCAGGTTCAGTGAGGAAATTTCCAAGCTAGTTAAAAAGTATTTCAAATCTACTTGTCTTCTCATTTCCTAGACATAGAACAAGGTGGAAATGTTAGGGGAAAAAAAGGTAAAAGAAAAGCAGAAATGTGGAATTATTTTGTTTTCAACTTTTTGCAAAACTACAATGAAAACATTTCATTCCATTCACTCTTAAAATCTGGTGTACCTAATTTCATAATTACAGAGGGTGTTTGCATAAAATTTGCATCCTTCTTATAAAGTATTCAGTTCAAGTCACAATTAGTTTTAAACTAGCCTCATGTTGCTCACTAGTAGCAAAGCTACATCCCAAAGAAGTAATAATGAAAAACACTAAGATTAGCTTTAGAACTTCAGTAAACATATCTAGAGTAGATGAAATAGTAAATCTGCTGTTTTGATCTCATCCAGTAAAAAAATGCATCTTACAAAATCTTAGAACACAGTGTAGCCACCAGCTACTAGCAAAAAGTTTCAATGAATTTTTACATATAGGGCTGACATTTTTAATCTGTAAAGCATCATGTCCATTTCAACAAATGCATTGGGATAAACAAGTCTACCTTTTTCCTGAAACCTCTTCATTATAAAATTTGAAACTATGGTTCTCTAAGTTAAAAAACATTCACAAATTTGAGTCTTAGTTAAGCCAACATGATCCTTCATGTCTTATCCTCAGAAAAATTCCATAATGTCAAACAAATAGATTCAGAATGACACGCTGCCTCATCCTTCATCTTCTGAACTCCAGATCGCATCTCATCTTGCCATTCAGTATCTTACAAGGAACCTAAGACTAACAAGTACTTAGAGATGAGGTAGCGATCTTGGCTCTGTAGATTTCTCTGAACTAAGACATTCATGATAAGTAAGGCTGAAATAAAGGTAAGACTAGGGAAGACAGGGAGGGGGTGGGGGGTAAGGGAGGGGACAGGGGGAAGGGGGAAGAAATGACCCAAACATTGTATGCACATATAAGTAAAAGAAAAAAAAAGGAAGACAGACCAATGCAATTGGTTTGTAGGTACAGGGACAATTCTGAGGAATATTGAATCCTATTTTTTTTTTACTCATATGAAAAAAGTGAAGTTTATGGAATGTCCTACCCTATATACCCTATCATCTGAATCAACCAAATAGCAGAAATGTGCTGCTCTGTGTATCCGCACTTAGAATGAAAATTAAATGAGGCAAGATATGATGTTGCAGCCAGTGTCCTTCCAGGCCAGGTGTATTAGAAAGGGCCTCCATTCTAGGGAAGACTCAGAATCCTATCTTTCCAAGAGGTGTAGATTCTAAAACCCATGTTGTCAGTGTCTCCCTTTAGATGACAGTAGAAATAAGGCTGAAGCCTTCTTCAAAATCCTAATCCATTCAAGACTCAAGGAAACACACAGGTTCAAAGCTCATGGATGTACATTTTCATGTTGTCCAGAGAGCTTTCTCCCAGTGTTTCACTGAGCCTCTATATTCTTAAGGAAAAGTAATTTTAAAACATTTACGTAATTTAATCAGAATATGTAAACTTTCATGTTGATCAGGGCAAAGTAGAGTTCTCATCTTCCCATCTTTCAAGGGAATATAGATAGTTTTTTAAATTGTGACTTTTCTTTGCTTTAACTTTCCACACACACTGTCTTGTTTTAGGCCTCCCAGACCTGTAACTAGCATGAATGATGCGCTGTTCTCCCACTCTGTTCCCTCCTCAGGAAGTCCTTTTATAACCAGGAGGTAAGTTCCAATTCAAGTATGAAATAAGGAATAAAATAAGGCTGTTTGTGAATGAACCTTGATTAATGGCCAGAAAAGTAAGCCAAGTGCAGAAGATTATTATTGGCAACTAGTTTGTAAATACACATCACATGTTTTAAATTTTCCTCATTTGGATGTACTTAAAGAGAGCTTGGGTGGCTTTTGAGGCTAATGTTATTTCTGGAAACCTGCATTTATAATCTCCCCACATTAAAAATGTGGGGTGTTTCAATTGTACTACTGGCACACTCATTCTGTCACTGAACAAGTTAGTTCCTAGCACTTGGAGAGGTCTTTTGCAGCCAGAAAATCAGAAATTCAAGATGCAGTGGTGTCTTATTATTCAGGTTTTAAAATATCTCATTATTTAAGGCTCCATATAAGAAAATTCTTTTCTTGGTGAACCTTGGATTCTTGAGGCTAGAGGCTGAAGTCCAAACTTAGAAATTCAGTTTCCAAACAAGTAATTGCATGGATAATAACAAGAACTTTTAAAAAGAGTGGATATGCATCTCATCTTGTTGCACAATATCCAATCATGTGTGAACAAGGACAGAAGCTAGGAGTTAGCATTAGAAACATAGAGTTCATGTGGTGCTCTGAGTCATTTGATCAAACATCACAAAAGAGGCACCAGCAAATTATTTTATAAATACATGGTGAAGGCTCACAGGAAAACAGGAACAAAGGTAAGGAAAACTAGAGTGAGTAATTGAACATAAGATTTCAAATGCCTTTCAGCACAAAAACTACATCCTCATATTTTACAAAACACACCTAGTCTACCGTTTCCCTGAAGATGTCTGTAGGGTGCTAGTTTTACTATACTCTTCTGGTACATTCTAGAGGGAATTTGAAGACAGTGAGACTCAGCACACTGCTAATTATTTTTCTTGTGCTCCTGTATTTGCCCAGCAATAGGAACCTATTGTTCCCCCTAACTACAAGCAGTAGAATAAAGAGCATGTGGCAGTTCGTAGTGTTTCTGATATCTAAATTAAGTCTGTAACAAGTGAGAATGAGGAGGCAGTTGTACTGTAGAACATTCACAGTGAAATAATATGATGTAGGCCCTCAGCAACTTCCTGTGATCATCCCTTCTCAGAGCCACCAGTAAATTCAACCTTCTTTCCTAAAAGAAAATCATTAAGTCTGTAAGAGATACATTTTTGGGCCTCTGTCTCGGGAGCACTGATTTGATGTTTAGAGGGATGTTGTGCTTTTATTAGGAAGCTCTGCATTCTGCAAATGCCACACAGAGGTAGACCCTATCCTCACTGAAGGTCATTTTATATCATTTCAGCTCGGACGGTGCTTATGGTGGCTGCGTCTAGATGGATAACATGACTTCCAATACCCTAAATATTCCTCTAATACTTTGAGCTGTTCTGCTTCCTCCAGGGTGCATGGTACCCATTAATCCAAAATATGATCATTTCCCTTTCTTCCCATTTTCAGTCCTTTTGGCATGTTACCTGTGAACCACAGACATGTTTGTAGCTCTTGTTTCTTCCTATCATCATGGAGATTGGACTCTGGTTTTTGTTTTAAGGGTGCTGTTCAATAAAGCTGTATACACTGAATGCCTTTTCTCTCTGAGTGGGCCTTGCTCCGTCCATGGAAGGTTTTAATGAGGTCGCATTGTTTGCATCCCTCAGGTTACCTGAGGTGAGAAGTGCATCCAGCCCCATAGCTGAGGAGCATTTGTTCATAAAGCTGTGTATAAATCAGCTTGACCATGGTACATGGTCAGTATTCCATATCCCTAAATCAACTAATCATAGCAGTAGTCCCATAGTGAGACGCTAGTCATTCTGCTCCAACACTAAAATCCTCTTGTCGACTATCCTGGTAGAAACCTTTGAGGGGTTTAATGAGATTCTGTTGAAAATTTCCAATCTACAGTAGAGGTCTTAGCTCTTTCTTCTGTTTATTGCTTTTTTGTAAATTAATTTCATAGCTTCATACCAGTGCACATGAAGTGTATTATGCAACTAGTACCAAGCTGGGTTTTGTTTGAATAAGTCTGATTTTGTACAACTTGCAAGACCTTAGATGGTGATTTCTAAGATTCTTGAATTACGGAGACTCTTGAAATGCTCTTTAGTACTAACTAGTGAGATTAGGACAATGACCTATGGATGAACCTTAAATGTAGTTAAAGACAGAGGACTTAATAAGCCTTAAGACATTTCTGTCTCACTGGGTCAGGGCCATACCCCATCCCATTTTTCCTCCCAAGGAGAACAGTCTGATTCCTAGCAATTTCAGAATCAGTTTGTAGCTACCAGTGCTTATGTTCTTTCACTTGATAATGCTGCTGGTGATCCACTTCAGCTTCCCTAGCCATGTCGGTGTACTAAATTTGGTAGAAATCCACCAAGCTAGATGAAGGCTTAAGCTAAAGGTCATGTTTTTTCTATAATTGGAATAAGAATTAAGAAATTTGACCTAGAGCTCTGCTCTCACTGCCCCCACCACACCCCAACTTCCCATTTTAAAATCAAATACCAAGAATAGTGCTGGCCAGTATTAGGGCAGCATTAAGAAAGTAAGGAAGCCTACCCTGCAGATGTTTTGTTTAACCTAACTTGTCAGTCTTTTGTATTGTGACTTGGAAGTCATAGAGATCTGAGAAAGTTAAAGCAGAGTGAGGACGGATTGAAATAATTCCTGCAAAGACCTCACTACAAACTCCTGTCATTACTTACCTAGAGCCCTTCATAAGCCTGCACCTTTGATCTTCAAAAAGCACTAGAGTGTATCTTTGAAGTATTTTGACAGACTTATGCAGATTTACGAGTATGTACCTCTGGTTACCACCACCATCTGTAGCATCCCCTGTTCTTATATCTTTTTTCCAGCTGTATTCTTGATTCACTTTTCCATTACTTAAAAGAAAAGAAGGATTCTCAAAGGCACTCCTCCTTAGTCTTTTGAAGTGTGTGTGTGTGTGTGTGTGTGTGTGTGTGTGTGTGTATTGCATGCACATGTGTACTCAGTGCTGGTTAGCAGCTAGGTAGGATTGGGGTCAAATAACATAATTCATAGACCAATTCATCTCATTCATTTGTTCAGTCGTAAACTGTATTCTGAATAAGCCTAGATTGCTTTGTTGTAAATTTATAGGAAAGAATGGCTGGGTCAATGAAAATCTATTACCATCACTAGGAGAAGAGCTACAAGAGCTAAACATGGCAGGACAGCAATATTATCTAAAATCATGAAAGATATCACAGCCTTTTTACAAATACTATTGCAAAGACTGATCTGCAAGCCAGGCTTAAAGGGCCCTTTGTCTCTTTCCCTGTCCATAGCATCATACTTCTCAGGATCTACTTTCTTCTTTGGCATCATGCTTTCTGTGTAAAATCTTAATTATCTGGATGAAATCCTTGCTTAGTTTATGTGAGAGAGTTACTAGTTCTTTTCTCTGTTTAATGAGCTGCTTTAATATGGCCCATCTTCTTCATTAGCCACAATGAGACACAAAGTTTGAAGAGCTCATTTATTTTACCTCCACTATTAAAGACATTGTTTAAAGACTTCAAAAGTATTTTCATAATTACAACTTCTAAAATGGTAACTACTCACAAATTGAATCACTTTGGCTATTAAAAATAGTGCCCACTATTATATATAGTATCACTCTACCAAATGTTAGAAAAGGTTTATAATTCACATAGTGTATTGAACACAATCTAATTTGCTATTTTCTGGTTTATCACCATAACATTTGTATTATTGACCCTGTATTAGCTTTGTATTACCTATGGAGCGGACACATCACCCACTCCAAGTACTTCCAAATCCTTGTCATTCCCAATAGAGTATCATTTATGAGTTATTTTTGCTCATTGACTGGTAGGTCACTTGGTTGATTGGCTTAAGTTTTTATTCAATGAAAGGCTTATTTACTATGTCTTTTTTCAATGTGTTTTAAATAGTTTTGCTACCCAAAGATTCTTTATTTAAACACCCAGGTATTTCATTTAACTTAAAAGGATCAAACTAAATTTTAAGTATTTGTGACTTGGTAATCAAAAAATGAATAGAAATAAAATTGAGTTATCAAATCCTCTAACCTTGCTTCTGAAAAATCAAAATTTTCTCCAGGGCTAATTTTTGTCTACAATTAAATCCCATCTATTTTCACTCATAAAAATAGATAAATTTGTACATTAATGTCTAACACCATCCTGAACATTTCTCTGGTCTTTTCACACCTCCTGGGCATGTTGTGTGAAATTACATGAAATACGAACTAAGCATTCTTTGTAGATAACTCTTTATTTCATGTAACCCTCCCTCTAGAGTTCCACTTCTATGCTACTTGTTTTTTACAAACTTGAAGTAACCTATCTTCATACATAATTGTAACCATTTCCTAAACTAAACTGTCATGCATAGTTAAAACCATAGTCACTGTCTTCATCACTCCATCAACCCTTCTTCTCTTACTAGAATGCTTTCTCTTCAGACTAGGTGTTTGCACATACCCTGTGACTGGCAGAATTTTCTACAAGCTCTCTTGGCAAGAAATACAATTGGAATAACTTTATGATATCAGAGGATAACATAGTCAATGTGATAAATTGAATCTAACCTAAGGGTCTGACTTCTTCCATGGTGACTCTGTGAGATGATTCAGTGTTCATGCCAGCCTGGATTGATGAACAGCCAATTTTCCTGCTGAGACACTAACGCTTTTTTATGTGTTTACTGATTTTCATGTGGCAGACATTTTATATTTCAGACATAAAGTTTTTGAAACCTAGAAAAGGAAAGAGAAACAGAATGCTTCAAGAAATTCTGTCTTGATGAAATTATCAGTAGACCCTTATTTGCATATATTAATTGTGTGGAATTAATGGGTTACATCATGACATTTTCATAATGTACATAAGGTACTATGATCATACTCAGATCATATTCACTCTCGTGAACTCGTACATTTCATGTAAATTACCTTGATGACCTTCTTAGTAGATTGTATAAATTATAGAGCGAAGCACAATTTTATTCACAGTTGAATGTTTCCTAAGGAGGAAACTAACTTGCAAGTCATTCTTCCCAAGTCCCAAATGCCACATGAGTTTATCAGTTTTTTGAGAATTAATAGAATGTCTTGATCTGTCCTAATTTGTCATGATTTAAATATTGCTTTCCTAATTTACCATGGTGATGATAGGTATTCCACATCATTTATTTATGTAATATTCTTACTCCATGAGACTGAATCCAGATTTATTTATTTAGTTAGTTTATATTATGTTTAATAGAATAAAAAAAAAAAACTTTGACAAAGAGAATAGAGTGACCCAAAATAAGCAGAAGCAGTTTTTGAAAATGCATTTCAAGTTTTAAGCAAAAATTCAGGGAACATTTGTATGTATTTTTGTTACCTTTAGAAAACCCCAAATGCTTCCACTGAAATAAAAATACTAACATCATTTGTTACCCTTCAAAACTAAGGGGAGAGTTTTTAAGATAAATCTGAGGTATCTTGAATCTAAACTTGCACAGCCCGTTGTGTTGTTATGCATGTATGCGTATGTGAATGCATGAAACATTTCAGAAGACTAGTTATCATTAGACATACTATTTTCCAGAGGTTTTCAGAGGAAATTTGAGAAATTTTTAGAGAATTGAGAAAATTGAGAATTTTTTAGGAAAAAAGCAGTCTGAAAGAATATTCCCTGTCTTTTTGCTTCTAGTAGAACACACAAACTTAAAAATTTTCTGTCATACCCTCCAGGGTACCCAACATTGATAATATGTGTGTGGAAAGATGTGTTTATACCTTTGCAAGGCCCTGTTAGAAAGAAAATGAGATACACATGCATACAATTTGGGAGGGTAGTCTTGCTTCTCCTTGAGACTCTGATCAGAAAAGTTGTATCAGCCACACCAAGCTATGTGAAAGCCATGGTTGCATTCTAATTCCCTGATACGCTGGAGTTCTCATTCCTGAGTAAGGAAGTAGGTTCCATGTGCCTGATTCTAAAGTCCACAATCAATTGGGAATATCACTTATCTCCTCCACACATTGTTTTGAAGGGATCATAATAACCTACATGTTATTGTGAAGTCACTGTCTTCACAACTCAGGAGAAAGAATATTCACACAGCCTCCTTTGTTCTTGGGAGCTACAGAAGAGATTCTGATGGAAGGGTCTTCATGTGAAACCTGCCTCCCAGTCAGCTCTAAGTCCTTGGTCCATTTCAATTTGAGAGTGGCTTTTATGTTTCATTTCTTCTTGTGCACTTCACTGTCTCTATGCATGGTCATTTTTTTTTTTTTGGCTTTCCAGAGCAAGTAACCAGAGAAGAATTTGAGGATGGTTCTAGGAAGTATAGAAACTATATGGATAGTGAGTGCCAAAAGTTAGAAATGCTCCTAGCACCAGAAATTAATAGCTATAGCAAAACAAAATTTATTTCCACAAACTCTTAACTGTTCATGGTGTAACCCCCACATTTTCCAAGAACTGGTTTCCCCAATAATTCATGTGGAAAAGGAAGGGAAAATAAAGTTTTAAATGATTCTCTAAAACTCACACTGGGAAGAGCCAATGAGAAGGAAATCACAACAAAAGGAAGAGATGTATATGTGTAGAATATCTGCTCCTCCCTTTGAGGAAGGGAGGGGCCTGGAAAGAAGAGGGAAGAAAAAGAGAAGAGGGAAGACAGGCAGTGGAGAAGAGGAAGGAGGAAAAGAGCACACAAAATTGGAGAGAAAGAATAAGGCCACTAAAGGAAATCTGGCTAATTTGACCCTCCTGTCACTCTGCCCCTTTAGGTGGTACTGATGTTAATGGGGCATATCAGTGCTTGTGTGGTGGGAATGTCACTTCTGGACTTTACTGACACATCAACTTCTACCCATGAAACATCACTAGAATAATTTGTAGCAAGCACATCTTTGTGGTTGATCTTCCTCGGTTTCTTTCTTCTGCTGTATTTTTTTTTAATCTAGCACATTCAACAGCAGCAAATGTACCTAGATCATTATTAGGCATTTTGGTTAAAGGAAATACCACTACAATTTCTGAGATTCAAAGAGCAAAGCATAAGAAGACAGAGAAAGCATTTAACTAAGGGGAAAGAATCATTGATACTTCTCAGTGTTTTGAAGGTGTTGCATGCATCTGAAATCAGTTATGCAATACATACACCTAAATTAGGGGAAAAAAGAGGTGGTGAGAATGTTGGCAGCAGACGACAGATCGGTTACTGGATAATGAACACAGGGAGAATTACTTCAGCACACAGGTTTAGAGTTCTGTTTGGGTAGATAAAGGAACATCACAGACAAAAAAAAAAACAGTTATGATAGCTTACTGTGGTTATTGACCCTGATGGGGAAGTTTCACAGTCTTAGAAGATAAAGATCAGAATGCTAAAAAATATCATTAAGGATCTCAGGAAAATGAATTAACAAAGAACATTAACTTACTGTTTTTAAACTTGTAGTGATTATATTGCTGGGCATGGTGACTATAGTTAACAATAATACATTGCAAATTTAAAAACTGCTATCACCACAAAAAATAAGTGTGTGAGGTGATTGATACATTAATTAACTTGGTCTAATCATTCCACAATGTATGCATACATCAAAATATCACAATGAACCCCATATTCTAATTTATTTTTAATGCCAATTTTGTTTATGTGCAGTTGTATTTTTTTAAGTGCAGCAGTATCTGTCTAACAGGTGCCTTCCTAAAAGGCTGAGTGAAAATGTCCAATGTTCAACAAACATGATTGCCCACTCTGTGCTAGTCATATTCTTATAAATCACATTTGATATATATTTACCAGAGGCTTCACTGTTTAAGAAATCTTTAGTATATACTGTTACAAAACAAGGATTCAAATTAAAATGTAGATAATTCTAATATGCTATTCATTTGTATAATTTGCATGCTTTTAGGATTTCAGTGTGAAAGAGTGGTACTTCACTGTACATCCTTAAAAATTGTAGTTAAAGTCTTAGATGGCTTCAATTACCTTACAAACTACTTTATAAGCCTTCATATATATATATATATATATATATATAGAGAGAGAGAGAGAGAGAGAGAGAGAGAGAGCTTCTTGAAAATTTGTGGTAGGACCTCATAATTTAGTTCCCGATAGTTAATTATTTGATATTTAAACAAAGTCGGACAGTTTATTTTTGTATTTTCTATGAATGGGAAGGATAATTTTAGGTACACAAATATGTAGGGCAAATTCTTAACCTACAAAGGAGCAAATTCTTAAACACATTACCATTTCAACTGCAAGACAAAGAATTTATACCATAGTTCCCAATGAAACATGTCTGTTCAGCACAGTAGATCTTGGGTGACTTTGACCTGACAACACTTAAGTAATTGTCACTTATATTTTTATTTGTACATTAATAGGCCCATATTTTAATTCATGAAACTCTCAGTTAAGTTACTAAATAAAACTAATATTCCTCCCAATGAATCCCAAATATTAAGAATTTCTTTAATAATTGGGCTGTCTTCACTAGTTACATGTTAATATTGACATAAGAATATGAATATATTTTATAGGCTTCCAAGGTGTATTTCTCTGTTTCTCTGAAAGTCTTCCTTGTAGCATCACAGCCAAGGTGTTTTACTAGTAAAACACTTCTAATATGACAAGTATCGCTAGGTAGTTTTCATCTTTGTTCAACAGACAGATGGAGAATTTAGGAAAGGCTGAGAAGTAGACTTCCTGACTAGAATCTAAAGCCTGGCAGGATTTAGTGAACTACTAGCTATTTGCATGATATTTTGTATTAAGTGTTGAACAAATTCTTATGATGTCTTGTCATATACAATATAAATGCTCACATATTAAGCAAATTGCAGAAGTCAAAACTGGGGTCATAGTGACTTTGTAATTGTGATTATGGTTCGCAGGCAAGGTTTCTACTTCTAGTTGAACTCATAGAAATTTGAAAACATCTCGAACATTTCAAAATAATAAGAGATCTGTCCAAATAGAACTTGGATCTAGACTTGGGAGTTTCTGTTGCCAGTTTCTATTCTTGAATGCGTTGCCGTGTTTACGCTCTTCTTGGCTTTCCCATCTTATTAACTAGCTCTCCTCCCAAGGACAGTGAAGTAGAGCAGAACAAAATGCTGGCTAGGGCTGCTCCAGCTTTTCTGAAGGGCAAAGGGTAAGTTAAAGCCAGAGTGTGCTGCAATCCTGAGTTAACTCAACTAAAAAATGAAGTCTCTTTTGTCATAGATGCTGTGTGTGTGAAAGATCATCTTTGATTTAGTAAAAGCAGCTCTGTCCTAACCCAATTAACAGCACCAGCTAGTTACTTTGAGTAGATGTGTCCACGTTTGTTCTTCACTAACCCTAATTTTCATTTTTCTTTTTTCTTTTAAATAACTGAGCTGATGATTTCATTTTCCAACTTAATCTTTCTTTTGACCCATTTCAGTGTGCTTACTGTACAAAAGAATTCCTTGGTGTTAGTGATTAAAGACTCAAACTATTCTTTCTAAAAAAGTTACTCAACCTAAATGGAAGTCATTATTTTTAAAGTTAGTGGAATGAAATTGTGAATTTCATTGCTTGGATTTTGCTTGCATTTTTCATAGATTATCCCTTACACTAGCTTGCATTTCTAAATGACTTTTCTATCCCAAACTCTCTCCTACCTTCTCTGCTTATTTCCGTCCACCTCTCCTAATACCCATTCTTTCCTCCTGCCCTGTTTTAGGATACAGTACAGCCTGAATGTGGCAGACAGGCTAGCTGATGAACACGTTCTCATCGGGTTGTATGTGAACATGCTGCGGAACAACCCCTCATGGTTAGTGGAGGTTTGGCTGCTAGACTGTCCTTAGAGAGGGGCAATCTGAGCTGGTAGCAAGCAGTCTTAGCAAAAGGCTAAGTCACTGCATGCCAGAGTTGTCACTAAAGCACTTTTTGCCTAATTCAGTTCCAAAGTCTTTTTTGATATTAGTCTGGATACTTCCCATTTAGCATGTCACAGAACTCATATCCTCGTTTATATCTTAGGTAAGGTTAAAAACTTGTGTGAGTGGTTGCTATGCCAAATACCACATTCTAATGGATGCAGAACTGGATGTTCTGCCGGTGGGTTTCATGCCATGTGTCATGTCAAGTTATCACAGGATGGTAATATAAGACTTTGTCTTATTCCAAGGACATGGATGGATATGCTGATTTGGGAAACAATGCTTCATTTCACTTAGGATAAAAGTGAAAAAGAGGAAAAGTGATGTGATAGGATCATAAAATGGAAATCATTTATTTAATAATGACAACCGTGGAAGAAATTGTCGATCAACAATTCTGTCACTTACAAATGTGTCTGAGTAGCCATCCTGATGAATCCTACTTCCTAATTCCAGAACATGCAAAGTTTATGTTCATATGTGTTAAACCAAGGTCTTCAAAAAGCCTTTGTTTTATGGCAAAGGACTTCATAAATGTTTTCTATGTTTGAATTGTGATGTAGGAGATTGGTTAAAGTTAACTTCATTTTAATAATAAATGTGCATTTGTAATTTGAATAAAAGTAAACATATATATACATACATATATTTCAGTCTAGTTTAGACGACTATAATATAAACATAGTTAGCTAGCCAATTCTTTGGAAATGCTTAATTTCCCTTAACAAGTCCACTTTTCTGTGATTAGGTCTATGGATTTTCTGAGGTGATAATTAAGTGAACTAGTGGGTTAAATTCCCATTAAAATGGCTCACACTTTCAGCATAGCAGAACCCCCTTCTTCTATTTCACAAAGTCATCCCTCAAACATGCAATGGCTATTGTGCTTGTGGCCTCATCACTTAGGGTTGTTAGACTCTTTGTATCTAGAACTATTTCCTCCCTTGACTGTTTCTAAAGCATCTGCCTATTGCTTCTTCTAACAATATTCTTCTTCTAACCTATTTTTGCAAGATTAGTACATGAGACAATTTTAGGTCTGATTAACTAGTGAACATTTGTTTTAATAGATATATATTAAGCATATATGAATTTTTATTTTTAGAAATGTATAACCAGCACACTGGTATAATTTCATTCTATATACTCCTTCTTGAGGAGTTAAAAATGTACTTTTCAGCCAACCTAGGCCCATCACTTTCTTCAGCTATCCTGAGCTTCTAGATTCAACAGTATCTGCTTTCTTGCAACTCAGCCTCTTCAAAACTACAAGATTGCTTTAGTCCTATTCCCAACAAACTTGGTACCCCAATATAATAGGTTTGTTGAGAGAATAGAACTATATACTGAATCATAAAAAAAAAATCCTATCAGTAGTCTTCAAAAGATACAGTGGGTACAGATGCAATATGACAGCAGTCATGTGATCTAGCACTGCATCTTCTCCCAGTAATTCTTAGCACACCTCAGTCATTTCCACGAATCTTCTTTGACCTTTTCTTAACTAAGGTTGCAACAAAGAAATCTCCATAGAGAAAAGTTCATGGTTTGTCACTACAAGCCATTTTCCCCACTCAAATGATTAATCATATTGACTTGATGGTCACTTAAGACCATAAAACTATCTCAAGCAGAGATGCCTTACATGTGCTTGATAAAAGCCAGAAGGGATTTTTATTTTGTAAACAAAGCAGAATTTAAGAGTAATTGATGAGGCCATTTAAATAGTTGCCTCCGTGTTCCACATAGCCTTTTTCTGTCCTTAAGAAGCTCCAACTTCTTCAAATTTCTTCTTTTCCCTCCCTTTCCTTTACATTGAATTAGATCCTAACAGTTGTTTACACATTTCATGATTATATTTGTGATGTAGTGATCTCTCATCTTCTTTATCACCAATACAGCTAAAATGCTTTTCACCATTCAGTTATGATGAGATAAATAATAACAGGTGATAATCATAATAGCTACTATTTATAAAGCACTTGTCTCATGTTAAGTTCTGTATTTACAACTTTATATACATGATTTATTCTGGTACTTAGAATAAAGAGTAAATAGTATTATTTCCATATTACAGAAAAGTAAAGGTAACATTTTCAAGTTTTCCTGACCGTCCCAAGATCACACTGTAGCTAAACAGAGATTTAACCATTACCCACCCATGCATAACCACTATGTTACAGCATTTCTTTTAAAACCTGTGTCAAGACTTGCACTATAGCTCAGTGGTAGAGCACTTGCCTACCCTGTGGTAGGCCTTGGGTTTGATCCCCAGCACCACAAAAAAAAAATAAATAAATAAATAATAAAACCTGCATCAACACATGCCCTCCAGAAAGTTTTCATTTTAACTCCTCCACTGCAGCCTTCTCATATTTACTTACTGGTACTGCATGCCTTGCTATATTATTTTTATTTCCTTTTTGACAGATATTTTGAGCACATATTAGCAATCAGAATGGTGGTTGTTGTAGGCCATTGGATTCACATCTGTAATCTCAGCACTTGGAAGGTTGAAACAGAAGGATGGAAAGTTCAAGGCCAGCCTGGGATACATAGTGAGATCCTGCCTTAAAAAAAAAAAAAGAAAGAAAGAACTTTTATGAACTTAGTTCCATGAGTAGTGACTTCTCATTTTAATTGTAAGCTTCAAAACAGGGAAGAATTTTGTCTTCAATCTCTTCTAGCACATCAAAACAGCCAGAATAGGAATAGTAAATTCTATATTTATGAAACACTTCAAAAATTACGGAACCTATACCCACATGTTATTTGTTTCTTCCCAGCCTTACAAGGTTTGACACTGTTATTTCCGTTTCACTGATAAGAAAATACAAGCTCTGGGCATTAAGGACTGATCCAAGACCCCATACTAGCAAAGGCTCTACACGGGCCTCTGACCCCCAGATCCTGCCTAATTTCCACCCCATTCCTCTGCCTCCTTCTCTGTGCATCCTTCATGAGACGCTCAACAAACAGCTCATAGCTTGTTCTCCATCAACAGGCTTGGGTTTTTGTCATTATAAAGCCATGCTCCTGGTTTGCTCTATATCGAGATCTTCTATCCTATATTAACTACTTAACAAAATGGAAGACTGGCTCATTTGTACAAATTAAACAAAGATTTATGTCATTGCTGGTTCTGATATCACACAGCCAAACAAATACACAGAAACTTAGGAGAATTTCTGCTACATTCAAAAATGAGCAGAGTGCCGGTGTTCACATCTGTAATCCTAGCTACTCAGGAGGCAGAGATCAGAAGAATGGAAGTTCAAAGCCAGCCTGGGCAAATAGTTCATGAGACCCAATCTCAAATCTCAAAAACCCCATCACAATAAAGGCAGGTGGTGTGACTCAAAGTGTAGGCCTTGAGTTCAAACTATAGTATTGTAAATAAATAAATAAAAATAAACAACTAGCTTTGGCATTTAGGCACTTTTGTCAATGAGAGAGAAGGGGTTTTCTTTTGCCCTCCCTAATGCTTGCCAAGTACCTGGGCTTATCAATTATGTATAAGGAAGGTCTGTGACAGGCAAAGAAACCCAGAACTTCTGCCTCTAATTATAATTATACCTGCACTTAAACCATTCAGAAGCTTCTACATATTTCTGTAAACTCTGTAAGAGAGGAAGAGGAAGCAGCTAAAGGCTCCAGACTGTAGTTTGCTGTCACAATCAATTTCTGTCACATGGTTAGGCCTGGGATTTCACAAAACTAGTTTAAAATTATTCTGCTCATGTTTTTCTCAATTACAAGAAATTGTACTTCTGCAATTGCCAATAGATTTCTTGTTAAGTGGATTGATAATCCACCTAGTTTAAAATGGCTCCATAATATTTTATGCTTGGGGAAAAAAGATGTCTACCTCATTCTAAGAATGCTTTGTACTGGACTTCATGTATTAAGTTTAAATTTTTATTAGCTGGCTACTTAAAACAGCTTATTGGATTGCTATTGCAATTGGTTTACAAGCCAGACCCTTCACCACAAGCCTGTGTGTGATTTCACCCTTGCCTACCTCTCTCTCAACCTCAGCTTTCATAAGATGTTCCCACTGAATCATATTTAACCACATCAGCATTTGATCAATTCCTCAGTCAAGACAAGCCCTTCCCTGCCTCAACACCGTAATACTGGCTTTTCTCTCTGCCTAGAACATTCCTCCTTATTTTACTCCTGCCCCTACTTCCACAAGCACAGAATCCTGCTCTACTTTCCAGTCTCAAAAACACCACCTCAGGCTGGAGATGTAGCTCAGTGATACAGTTCTTGCCTAGAAATGTTGAAGACCCTGAGTTGGATCCTCAGCACACACACACACACACACACACACACACACACATGCACACACACATGCACACACACATACACACACTCACAAAGGTACCACCTCAGGTAAACCTCTCACATATTAGTCTCTATCATGGTGTACAATATATTTCCTCTTTTCATTATCACCACTCTGGTAATAATGGTGGGTGGTTGTCTTCCTTTCATAGAGAAGATAGATGGCAAATTGACTAATTCTGAGCCATAACTTTGGCACCTAGCATAGTGCCTGGTGCTCAATAGGTGCCCTCTAAACATTTGCTAATGTCATAGGTACTGATTGTGCTCTAGGTATACAATTCCCTCTAACCCTAAACAAAATTGTTAGGAGTACTCAAAAATCTTTGTTACTAGTAAACTAAATAATTTTACTACTTTACATGATCACCTGCATAGAATAGCTCCTTAGTATAGAAGTATGAAGTAGATGAAAAAATAAAGTATCAAGCTTTATGAAGATATAGGTGGAAAATATGGATAAGGACAAACACCAATAGCAATTCATGTGACAAAACCAAATAATAGGGGTTAAAATGAAACAATAAATGAATGTGGTATTGGACAAGAATTTTTTTAAAGAAGTATAGTACTCCCTGGTCTCTTCCACATTTAGTTTTCTAAGGTGCCACAACAAAATACCACAAAGCTTGAACAACATAAATTTATTTTCTCACAGTTCTGAATGCCATAAGTTCAAGGCCAAGGTACCAGCAGGACTGGTTTCTCCTAATGCTTCTCTCCTTAGTTTGCAGATAGAACACCTCCCCACTGCATCCTCATAACCTTTTCCCTGTGCCTGTACATCCCTAGTGTCTCTTCTTCTTAAAAGGTCAACAGTCATGTGGGATTATAGTCCAACTCTTAGGGTTACACATAGCCTTAATAATTGCTTTAAAAGGCCCTATATCCCAAGGTGATCACATTCTAAAGTACTGAGGTATTAGAGCTTCAATAAATGAATTTGAAGAGAGACACAATTCAGTCCACAATGCACTTCACTATTGAATCCACTATACTGTATACCTTTAGTATTTTTAATGTATAGGCTAAGATTTGGTTGAATCCATGACCTTGATTTTCAGGATCTTTTTTTGTTTTTTTGGTGAGACTGGATTTTGAACTCAGGGTTTCACGCTTGCAAAGCATGTGCTCTACCACTTAAGCCACACCTCAAGTCCATTTTGCTCTGGTTATTTTGGAGTTGGGATCTTGCAAACTATTTGCCCAGACTGGCCTTGAACTGTGATGCTTCTGATCTCAGTCTCCCAAGTAGCTAGGAATACAGGCACAAGCCACCCACACAACACCCAACTGTCAGGGTCTTGATAAAGGAGCTTGAAGGCATTCCTAAGAGAAGCCATTAAAATGGTAAGTTTTCATTATTACTATCCATTAAGGTTACCATTTCATGATTTCCTGTGCTTTCCCTGCAAACCACTCAAGAAAGGGCCATCACATAAGCTTTAACAATTAGCTTCCCTCCCTATTCTTTAATAGAAACTCTGCTCGGGCCCCAGTATCACTTCATTTTTTTCCACCCCAACTCTCTTGTGCACTTTGACTCCCAATCATCTCTCAACGGTACTGTACTCCCATAGCAGTCGGCTCTCAACCGTCTGAAAAAATTAAAAAAAGAAAGTCATCCAAAAAAGAAACCTTCCACTTAAGTGTTAACTAATAAAGCCTTCCCAGGTGGTAATCCCACTAACTAATTATATTTTAATAGACTAGTACATGAGACCCAGTGGCCTTAAAATTAATCTGCAGTGATAAAATTTCTTTCCCCATCCAGACAAATAGAAACAATATCAAGGGAAAATGCAGAATCACTTCTAGTGACCTTTGGATCGTACTGTTCTTTGCTTGACTGTTCCCCGATGGAAGTCAAACAGGCCCATAGAGAAATCAAATAAATGTGAACAGATCCTTATGTCTCAGAAATCTTTGCTAAATCATAATTTAGTAAGCCCTAGTTTAGCAGGAAGCACTTGAGTTTCCTGGAATGCCATTTGACCTCACTAGCAACAGTCACTGACCATGCATTGCAGGGAGAAAGTAGAGAGCTTTCAAAATAATGCATTCAGCTTTCTGAAATACAGTCAATACAGCAGCTCCTTTTTAATTCATCGTAGTCTTATAGCAGGATTACTGACTACAAATTCCTAAAGTGAATATCTAGGGCAGGAAAAAGTGTTGGTATTTATTTTAATGGTTTAGGGATTACCGGCCATTCATTTTCAAATATTTGTAATTGAAGTCTTAAAATAATGGAATTTGTCAGAAAAATGCCTCATTCACCTGAAAAGCACATGTAAACTCATAAATTGCTCATGTGCACAAAGGGGTAATATATCACCCAACTCTCATTCACACAGTGCTAGGGAAAAGAAGTCATGGAATATGAGTTATCACTTGCTAGACAGAATCCAATATCTTCACATCTTACCTTGCCAGGCAGCATTTTTAAAATATAACTTTTATATTATTTATGCTTGATGGTCATTCATGACAACAGGTACTTTTATCATGAAATTTTTTTATTATTTATTTATCAAAACACCCATGAGTGTTTCTGACAAAGTCACTTTCAAGCAGTCAAACAGATCATCATCCTAGTCTTGGAGGAGCAAGCACTATTATCTGTGCAAACTATGTTAAGTTAGTATTTAGTCTCTAGTATACCAACCAGAAGTGATAGGCATGTTAAAATAAAATCAAGTGATCTCTTAGTAGGGTGGTCAGATGTTTAAGGCAAAGGAAGTATAGCTTTCTCTTTGTTATCAAAAAATTTTCTCTTTCTTATTTCTGATAAGAAACTTAGGTATCACTGCACAGACATTGTTTCATAAAGACATAATTCTGCCTTTTTCTATTAAAATTATTTTCTTATTCCAAGTCTAAATTTGTGTGTTGGTTGAAATTTCATTCTCCTTAGAGACTAATACTGTAAACATTTTGTGAGCCTTCTATCCTAAAATTTTCTTTCTCAAGGGAATTTTCCCAAAATACCACACATACTATGTTAATATCAGTTAAACACTCATAAAAATGGTCTCTTTTAGATGGTTTAGATTTGAGCTTTATTTCATATATTTGGATTTCCCATTTTATTTTTAAGACATTCTAGATTCTTGCTACTCAAGGATCTTCTTGGATGAGCAGTATCATATCTTGGAGGCTTGTCAGAAATGCAGATTCTCAGATCCCACACCCAAACAACCCCACTGGCCCACTACAGAATTCAGAAACTTCATTTTCATAAGATCACAAAATAACAGTTTGTATTTTAAAGTTTGTGAAGCACTGCTCTGGATAGTTCATGACATTTTGAAAGAGACAAGGATTGTTAATGAATCCAAACAGGTTACTCACAAGGAAAAATAATATTAAATTAACTAGTGTTTTTGAATACTTAATGTGTCCTGGATGTCCTGCTACCTTGATGCTTTTTACATGTATTAATTCCTTGGGTAAAAGGAAAAAGAGGCCTCATTCTGAGAATGGAGCTGTGAGATGGTGAATAGGGAAATTCAGGGATATTCTAGTTATTTACTGTAGCCTAGAGAAATGGTCTACATCTCAAGTTCAAGCATTCAAAATTCAAATAGGTACAGTTTACTATGTGAGGGGATGGGGGCAGAAGGAAAAGATACAGGAAAATCTTCAAAATGCCTATAAAAATTGGTATAGTGATGGGTTCAGCCAAACAACGAAGAACAATTTGGAAGGGGCCTAATCAACATGACAGAAGCATGGAATGATTTCCGCTCATCTTCCCACTTTAAAACAAAAAGACTGTTGCATATTTACTCTCTATATAAATGTACATATAAATAATTGAATATTAATGTGTATGGATCTGAGTCTTCACAATGGATAATTATTACAACCTTAACATTTGCATGAGAGTGTCTTTTTAATGTATAATAATTAGTATTTTTTCTCCTTAAAAACAAAAGTATAAGTGGGGAAGAATGTAAGTATGTTTGGGAATGAGAAGAACTAGTTTCTAATCTTGGTTCTGACCTAATATACATCATAATAAATGATAGGCCAACCTAAAATCAACTAATCTGTTAACAGGATTAATGTTACTGGTATATTTCATAGAACTTTTAAAAATGTTACTCACAACTTACTCTTTGTAGGCCAAAGTTTCCGAAATATGAGAGAGTTGGTAAAACTTCTGCTTGTATTAGTTTTCAGGGACTCAGATCAATCTTATTCTAGTATAAATAGTTTCCATAAATTTATCAGAGCCACTAAACAATTACCATTAATGTCACTGAGAGTTACCACTGTAGTTCTACTTCTGTGGAAGTAAATATACAAAGGGGTGGGGGAGGTGGCCTAAATAATGTATACACATGTAAGTAAATTTAAAAACGATAAAATAAAAATTTTCAAAAGTCAGGTTACCCAGGTAATATTATAGATAACTGTATCAGTTATCTATTGATACATAACATAATACCTCAAATCTTACCAGCTTGAAGCAACGAACATTTCTTATCTCACAGTTTCATGAAAGAATTTAGATTTCACTTAACAAGGTTTTTCTGGCTTGAGGACTTTCGTGGGGATGGAGTCCAACAGTCTTCTCAGCCTCTGGTGTCATCTGAAGGTTCTACCAGCAGAGATTCATCCACATGGTTTTGGGTGGCATAACTTTATTGCACAGTCCTTTCCCCAGCACTACCTTCCCTCAACGCAAGCAATTCAAGGGGGTTCAAGAAAAAGGAAGCCCCACACAGAAGCTGTGGTCTTTTTAAACATAATTTTGGAAGTGATATTCCATTCCTTCTGCCATATTCCATTCATGAGAGGCAAATCAGTAAGAGTAGCCCATACTAAAGGAAAGGAAATTGGATAAGGATGTAAATGCCAGCACGTAGGGAATCACTGGAACCAACTACATGTGTTTTTCTTCCTTCCAGCTTGCTTCTATATTTTCTAACATTATCAATTTTGGACATGTTTTAGTTGTGTAATAAGGAACAAAAAATATTAAAGGCAATAACATTAAAGTATTCTTATATCAGAAAAGTCACTTCTCTTTGGTGCTTTTTTAGTAAGATGATTGAATAGACTGAGCACAGGATTTATTATTGACCTTCATGGCTGCATATTAGATCATGTCATGAATCCAAGCTGGAGATTATTAACTTAACAGGGTTTTGTACAGCTTGCAAATTTTTGGCCTTGAAAAATTGAAATGGCAATCCTCCCGATGGTGACAGGAATATGTCAGTCTTTCTCAGTGACGTATTTAACAGTGTCCTTCTTGCTCTGTTCTTGATAGCATGCTTGAGAGTTCAAACCGGCTGGATGAGGAACACAGGCTGATCGCGAGGTATGCAGCAAGACTGGCAGCAGAATCCTCCTCATCTGTAAGTAGCTTGGGTGAAAGGATTGATCTGTTGGTGTCTGGGATCCTTGAATTTCATATGCCTTATCCATTGTTATCATTACAAATGGTGCTAATTGCCAAGATAATTAGTACTAAGTAATTGTTCATGTGTTTGTTGCTATATTTATGGCATCTTGATAGTCAATTCCCAGTTTAAAAATGGCCGAATTAAGGAACAGAACTTCTACAGTAGTGTGACACTTCAGGCTGGAAGCCCCACACCCACCCTTACTAAATCTCATCCCCATAGGAGAACTGAAGGATAGGGGAGGGATGAGGACTGGTTCAGTTTTCTCAATGGGCTTAAAGCAGGAATGTGAATGCTTAGCAGACACTAGGTTTAAGGTAGAACAATTACAAATGCCACCTAAAATATACTAGTAGAGGCAATAGACTGATGTTTTTCTTCATAACTTTATCTCTAAAGCAAAGCAACCATCAGTTTGACAATGTTATTCAAAATTCATCTGTGCTGCACTGAGGGTGAGCTGGGACTGATGCATCACAAAAGATAATGAGTGACAGGGGAGCAAGTGAGAAAGCCATTGTCTGCCACTGAACCTGGGATGTTCCACTTATCAGAGCCCTTCATGGGGAGCATTTAACTAATGATCCCAGATGGTAGCAGTGACTCATTGCCTTAGCTGTGCCATTACTCTCTGTGACATCAGTGATTCTATCACAGTTAGAAACCTCCATGATCTACATGGGATATGGGGCAAGCTAAAAGTGCATTAATCATAGCTCCAAAATTAGATATGGTAAAACAGATATCTTGGAGTATGTGAAATCTTAAATTCCACAAATAAGAATCAAGCTTGCTGAATAAAATTAAAGCCAACCAAAAATATGGCAAAAAGAGACTTTTTTTTAACCCTCTCAGGAAACACTCAAAACACTTAAAAGGAAAGGAAAAACAAAACTTCTGTCAAAAGTTTTCCAAGTTTTCTTGCCTTTGTGCCTCTATGGACAAGAGTACAATTTAATAAGACACAGGCCATGTGAGCCTAAGTCCCAGCTCCCTGTGATCTCATTCATACGAAGCACTTCTTTAAACATAGTTTCCTCATCTATAAATAAGTATAACTATAATTATTACACCGTCACTGCTACATGTTATTAGAGCCAGATGAGATAAAAAAAATATGAAACTGCAGCATAAACAAATAGTCACAAAACAGTAACCTACAGACCAAATGTGTTCCAATTAAATGTATTAAATGTCTTCTTTGGGTCTCCCAATGGTCTCAGTTCTTTATTATCTGTCAGTATTTACAAATCAGATGGTTTGCCTTAAAACTCTGGATTTCTCACTTTTCTTGAAATGTTCACCATTTAACCTCACCCCTACTCTTGATCCCCTTTTTCACTTTAGGTTACCTCTCAGGACCTATGGGACAAGTGAATTAGTGGTCCCTGGTGGAGTGCTAAATCTGCATGCACATGTTATTATTTGCATATACACTAACTTCTCCAGTCTCTGTTCCTTTTCTTCTTCTTGAGAACAGTGATTATTTGTGTTCTTACCTACTTATATATAATATTTTTGGATCCACCACAAAAAAAATGTCCTTCGTATTAACTTTTCCCTTTGTCAATGTCTTTGTAATCATATTGCAACAAAGGTATGATTAGCTAAAGACTCATAATTAGTAAGATGTCACAAGATCCATTTGTGTATCTTCCTAATGGAAATTCCTACATCTTACTTCACTATGTTCTTCTACTCAAATCATTGCATTTCTTATAATATCTTGCTTTTCCACCCTTCATTATTCTGTCCCCTATGGTGCAGCCAGTTTCAAATACATCATGAAGAAATGTGGAGTCCATCCATCCAGCAGACTTTTCCTCCTCTCTCACTTCATAAGTCAGATCAATGTCATCACCTTAATATTCCCTCCTTGGTTGCTTTAATATTGTAGCCATGACTTCTGTGATCCTTTTGAACAGTATGCATACCTTACTCATAGTAACAATCATAGTTACATTGTTTGTTATTGAGGACAAGAAGCATTTCTCTCAATATTTGTTATATAATAGGTGCTGAATTAAAAAATGTGTTAAATTGAAGAATGAGTTAATCAATATATTTGAGACAGCCTAAAACTTAGGAATATTTAATTCAAGTGAGAAATTTCATTCAAATGAGAAATTTCATTCAAATTCAAAACTGAGATGCTTCCTACAAGACAGTAAAATAACCAGCTAACTCAGGGAAGATGAGTTTCTTGTTTTTTCTTCCAATAAGGCTTATTATGTAGAGCTAACCTACCATTAATTAGTTTTTATTTTTATTGACTACTTTAAATTCTCAGTACTAATTTTTTAAAGGAAGTAACTTAGATGCTATATATTTTTAATCTTCAAGAAAAGACAAAGTTATTATTTATGGCTTGGTATTATTTTCCTCCTATGTTGGCTGCTATTGATTAAAAGATAAAATAAAAAGAGGTTTCTAAACCTTGGTGGATCAACAAACCCACCTTGTCAAATCCAGCCCATTTTTGTATAACACAAGCTAAGAAGTATTGACATTCTTTAGTTTTTTTGAAAAAAATCAAAACAAGAATCTTATTTTGTGACAAGTGAAAATTACATGAAAGTCAAATTTGAGTATTCATAAATAAAGCTTTATTAGCATACTGCCACCCCTGTTTATGTATTAGCTATGATTTTTCTCCTTCTACAGCAGCAGAACTAAATAGTTGCTAACAGACAGTCTACTTCCTGTTTTTCACTTTTCAGTTATTAATCCAGTTTATGACATATAAATTATAGCTTGAGATATACTTTTATAAGATTGCTACACCCACTCAATACTTTATTTGTCTGGACAATTTCTTACCAGTTAATACAAAGAGCAAAGCACTGATTAAAATTCACAGTAGGCTCAGGTAAACTTCTCTCTCTCAAGAAAAACTTGGATCATAAAGTTACTGTATGCCATGCTTAGCCACAGAAAGCCATTTAAGATCCAGAACACAGAACCTCAAAATTCTTCAATGGGAACACAGATCACTTTGTTGTTGAAAAGAAATGCAAAGTAAGATTCATAGAAGAACTTTACGAAAGCCAGATCTTTATCAAGCTGAACTTTTTCTACAGTTAGGATTCTGGACATTAAGAAACAAGCTTAGTTGGGTGCAGTGGTACAAGCCTGTAATCCCAGCACTATAAAGGCCGAGGTAGGAGGATCACAAGTTTGAGGCCAGCTAGGGTTACATATCAAGACCCTGTTCAAAAACAGAAACAAAATAAAACAGGCTGAGTTTCTCCATGTGTTTTGGTTTATGCACCAGATGCCATTTTTAGAAGATTTGCATTCATTGATAGATTATTTGTGATATTAAAACAATAAAAATTAGCTTGGAGGAGTTTCTGTAATGCATGTAAAGCAAAGAAAGTACTACACAGAGAAGTGTACTGAGCCTGACACAGTTTTTATAAAATATCCCAAGTAAGTCCTCAAATAAATACATACATACACCGCCATATATACAAATATGATATGATATGATTTATACGTATGATTATGTGAAGTTGGAGAAAGCTATGGCTACATATACATCAGTTTTAAAGCTTCTCGCATGATTCAGAATAATGGGCTGCTGTGGTATAAAGGTCGAAAAAGCAAGCATTTGTATGAATCCATCAATGTAAAATTACATATAAGAATAAAGAACTGCAAAAAAGCATGTTAAACAAAAGGAGAAAAAAGTCTTATTAAATGTCTTCAAAATTATGATTTTTAAATAAATTTATTTTTAACTTTTAAGTACTTTTTAAAATTGATACATAATTATATGTGTATGTAGAGTAGCATGATATTTTGATACATGTATAATGAACAGATCAGGGTAATTAGCATATCCTTTAACTCAAATACTCAATCATTTCTTTCTGTTGGCAACACTCAAAATCCTCTCTTCCAGCTATTTTGATATATCTAATCAAAATTCTAGCTAAAGAGTTATCTCAATAGTAAAACATTTGTAAATCCACTTATACTGAGAGAATGAAAACAATGGGGAAGGATGGCATTGCAAGTATGAAATAGCTTCCCAAAGATTCAAATATGAAAGCTGAAAAAATAATGTTTCCTGTTTCTTGTATTTGGCTGACAAAGAATTCTGTTCTGTCTATTGCATGGTGATGTTCTAGAGCTGAAGGAAAGGTGTTAGGAAAGGAATGGCAATTTAATTTTAGGTATTTGCCCTTTTCTGTTTTGATAGAAATAGTTTCCTCTTCCTTGTTTGTATATCCCATGACTTCTATCTTCCCAAACACATATAGGCTATGTTCACAATATTAAGTCATATAAACTATGTATTTTACAGCAGCCAACTCAGCAGAGAAGTGCTCCTGACATCTCCTTCACCATCGATGCAAATAAGCAACAAAGGCAGCTGATTGCAGAACTAGAAAACAAGAACAGGTAAGGCTTTGTGGGCATGCTGGCTTTTTTTTTATCCACATGTGCACTCATTAATAACCCCTGGTCATGCTTTAAAGTCTCTGGGAGTTTCCTACCTGCGTGTTTAAGACAAGACATCTCTAGTCAATAATGCTGGCTTCTGAAATGTTGATATTCATACCAATAGATCTACACATGCCTCATGAGAAAACCCTCCATGTGTGTATGTTGAATAACACATGGACATGCTGAGGGAGTGCACATGGAGATGTCTGATCATATTCTGTTGATTCTGTCTTCACAGCATATCTCCAAAATTGTACTTCCTATCTACCACCAACACCCAATCCCACCTGTCATTTTTTAAAGCATAAATCATATCATGTTATTACCAGAACAAACCCTCTGATGATTTTCCATCACACTTTAATTAGAACCCTCCTCTCATCATGGCCTGCAGGCTCTTTCTTCCCACAATTCCTTCCTGCCTTCCCAGACTCAGCTTCCCTTGCTCATCACACTCCAGCCTTATGTGGCTTCTTTCTCTGTTGCATCCATCTCACTAGTTGTTCCTTCAGCCCAGATAGCCCCTTCCCATCATCCAGAGCTCATTTCAGATGTCACCTCCTTAAAGCTACCTATCTAAACCTATCCATTACTCCCTACACCAGCAACTACTGTCTATTATGTCCTGTGTTGTATGTGTGCATGTGTGTGTGTGATTTATCACTATCTGAAATAATCCTATTTACCTATTTGCTTCTTGCTTAATCTTTGTCTTCCTCTGACTAAAGTGGAAGTTCTTTGAGAACCAAGGCCATGTCAAAGACCCTCTAGGGCCCCAAACCCGTCTGGCATACTGTGTGTGCTCTGTAAATAGTAAATACATGCTGAATGAGAAAATAATGAGTAGCTGAATCAGATCTCAAACTCAATGCTGAGTAAGGCCCATCATAGGAGCAATTTGTACATTCTCTAGTGCCTAAAACAGCACCAAATGTCACAATGCTTAATCCCATTCTTCAACATTGATGTCACTTTTGAAGTTACAGTGGAAAAGGAAGGTTACATGATAACTATTTCATGCCCACAGAATTTGACCTGAGAATTTTGGGGTAAATAAGCAAAACATTCTCTAAAGTTCTACAGATAAAAATTAAAAGGAATGTTCATATTTTTTCTACTAAAACACTTTTGGCTTAATTGTCCCAGGACAATTAGGTAAGAATACCTACCGCAAGTTAGGATGGAAGTAGCTTCATAAATGTGACTTCATGACTTCGTAGCCTGTGAAACTACCACTTTTTGCTGAATTGCCCAAGGAGATGTATCATATGTGATCCCTCTCAACTTAACAAGTAATAAGAAGCAAGAATTAAAAGGGAGAAAAGAGAAGCACAGTGAAGAATTAGGCAGAAAAGAAGGGCTTAGGTTTCTTACTTCTACCACATGAAAACTATGTTGTATATTATTGTTATTAATCCTGGCTTTGAAGCTGTCCCCATTGGACAGCTCCTTGCTGGCTAGCAGCCATAGTGTGTTTTAGAGAAAAGGGAGAGAGGGAGAGGGAGAGGGAGAGGACAAGGGAGAGGGAAAGAAAGGAGAAGGAGGAGGCCTCCTAAAGGTTGCATCAATTCTCAACATTGCTACAGGTTGGTGAGAAGACTTTTCATACATGGACACTTTGGGGACACTCCAGATCAAAATTATAGCAGCATGTCAGGGATGATCTTTAGAATATAATGCTTCCTTTTAGAACACTTGGAGGAGCCATTTAGGGGTAATATTAAGAATAACAGAGTTCTTCAAATTATATTACATTACTCATGGCCTCCTAGGCCAGACCAGTCAAAGTAAGCCCCAGAAAAGAAACAGTCTGATATACAGGATCTGGAGCCAGCCAGTGTTAGTTCAAATCACCTCTATCACCTACTTGTTGTTGAATTTGAACAAGTCTTTTAACTGGTCTGTACCTTGATTTTCTCATTCATGAACCAGAGATAATAACAGTGTCTGCATATCATAGACTTGTACTAGTACTAAATAGTACTAAAGTTTTGTTAATATATGTTATGTATCATTTCATTTTTTTCTTACTAAAACTACTTCTGTCTTTTCCTTCCTGAGGCTAAATGGCTCTGTCATGGTTCTGTATTTGGAACCCATAAAGAGAACTAACTGGAGGCACAAAACATCAGTATGCTGGCACTAGAGGAAATCCCAATTCATTGATTTTCATGCAGAGATTTCTGGGACTCTAGAAACCTGTAGAGGTGCCTGAAGAAAGGAAAGGAAGGCTAGCAACACAGGGACACATCTTTCTCTAGCTGCACAACTCCCTGAATTGTCTGACATGGAAGATGGGTATCCATGGACACTAAGGGAGACAAGAAATGGTTGAAAACCACTGAATTACAGTCCATCCTTCTCACTATATTCATGAAAGATGTCATGACTCACTGACAATTAGCCTCTTGATTCTGTGTATTCATGAAGCTTGTAGCTATAAATCAGCCTTTCCAATAAAACACCATTGAATTCTTCTTTTTTACTTATTTTGACATATGTAATAAGTACCCTACATATGCCACAGTACCCTACTGTTCTATCAAACACTAAAACTCATCCCTTACTACATGTATTTTGGGACCCATTATCCAACAGAAAGAAGTTGAAAGGTTCCCAACACAAAGAAATGTTAATTATACTAATTTGTTCGTTACATATTTGTATCCATGTATCACATTATTACATTGTACCCCACAAAGATGTACATTTATTATGTGTCAATTAAACATTTTAAAAACATGAAATGCTATCCTCTGTGCTCACCAAATTTACCTTCCATTCAGTTCTGTCTTACTGGCCTTTGTGCATTTTAAGTAGGAGACTGATACCTCCAACCCCCAAGAATATGTGACTTGTAACCTTGCTTAATGGTTTCTGATTCACTTCGGGATAATTTGCCTTGAGCTAGTCACATCTCATTTATGGCCAGCCTAATGTTAACCCAAATGGAAGGCAGCCCAGGCCCAACATCAATAATAGGTTGACACATCTCACCCCATGACAGAGGTCCCACCAATAACTCTCTATGTCACAGGCTCAATTCAGTTAATCCTTTTAAAAACATTTCTAAGGATGTCCTCATTGAAATCCATTGTTAAGGGTAAAGATGTTAAGAAAAAGGAGAAAGAATGTTGCCTAACTTGGATTTCTCTGATAAATTCAGTAAGAAGAATTTTATTCTTGATGAGGAAATGAGGTTATTTATTTAGTTTGGTAAAATGAGCACCACTTATCCTTATTTTCCCTCCAAGTGCCTCTTACTTGGTAGCTGTGGAATACTTATGGTGTCAGAGTGTGATCATAAATAATAGGAAGGTATATCTTTGTATCTTAAGCAGAGTGCTCATGAAAATTGGACACATTACCACAGTACCATATTACTTGCTGGAGAGCCGATAGGTCTGGTGATAACACTAAGTGACACTGCAGAGCATTCGTAGTTTGGATGTGCTGGAGATGAAGTCATCCCTCCCCTCACCTGCAGCATTTGCCTAGCCTCAAGTCAAAGCCTCCTAAGAACAGAGTCCATTAGTTAGTGAAGTTCTGTTCTGCTCCCAAACATGGGATGATGCCTTCTCTCTCTGTTCTGCTGGGCCTGATGTCTTCATATGTTAGTGTCCTGGCAGTTAGCCAGCCCTGGTTTCTCACTTTCTTCCTCTCTCCCAAGAGAAATCTTACAGGAGATCCAGAGGCTGCGGCTAGAGCATGAACAAGCTTCTCAACCCACACCAGAGAAGGCACAGCAGAACCCCACCCTGCTGGCAGAACTCCGGCTCCTCAGGTAAGAGAGGGTGCCCATGTCAACCCAGGAAACATAGCATCTGAGATCTGTAGTCTAACAGCATTCAGCCAGAAGATGGTCCTGAGCCCCAATAGCTGCTGACGTCTATTTTCTTGTTTTTGTTTTTATCACACACATAATTGCTGAGATTTGGGTAGTTTGGAGAGAAGTGTGTATTTTATCCTTTTATTAGACTTAGAGGAAAGACACAGTGTTGCTTAGATCAGAAACAAATCTCACGGGAAAAATTTTTAACTCGGCTCTTTTGAGTTATTTGCACTATCAGCAATGTGTTTATGTTAAAAATACTCAACAAAACAACACATAAACATCACAGGTTTCTACAATTAAAATTTTGCATCTAACCTATAAAAGAAAATCTGATTTTCCTTTATCTTCCTTCCTAATAACTTTACATACAGATCTTTTAAAAAGTAGGCATCAGATCTTCATGTTCTCCAAATTAACAGAAAAGCCTATTCTTGTCTAGTCTGCCATTATAGAATATTTGAGTTGAAAGGCACCATAGAAGGTCATCTGACTCAACCCCTAGTATCAGTGCACTTCTTAGAGTCAGAGAGCCAGAACCACTGACCTTGTATGAAGAGTGTATTTGCTCCCACTATTCCTGTAGTATAACATGCAAGTTCTTGTAGGCTTCCCCCATCAGACCGGCTTAGCACCATGCTTTGAATGTGTCAGGTACTCAAGTATATTCATGTAGCAGGCAACACAAAATTTAATTCAAAGGTATTCCCTCATGCAAATGTACTGATCTTTCACAAGGCACTTTTAACTAGAAAGAATTACATTTTTTAATCCATCAGTCTGGGTGCCTAGTACATTTAGGTTTATTTATAACTCTTTTTTTTTTTGTGATACTGAGGCTTGAACTCAGGGCCTTCACCTTGAGCCACTCTACCAGCCCTTTTTTGTGAATAATTTTTTCGAGATAGAGTCTCCCAAATTATTTGCCCAGGGTTGGCTTCAAACCATGATCCTCATGATGTCTGCCTCCTGAGTAGCTAGGATTACAGACATGAACCACCAGCACCCAGCAAATACTTCTTATAGAGTTCAAATGCCTTTTCTCAGAAACTTTTACCAAAATTAGTGCCATTTTCTTCCTTCTTAAAAAGGGGCTAAATTAAGCAGATTCTGTGTGGATGCTTCTGGGAGTTCCATTCCAGCCCCGCTCTGCAGGCTGCCGGCCATGTCTGCCTTCCACCTGGGATCCACTCACACATCCAGATCCATGACTGGAATAGACCCATCAGAGACTTGACTTTTGTAAAGGATATTTGCAGAATCTGCAGCTTAAGAAGCTACTTAATGTGGAAAAATTACTTCATTCTTTTGAATAACAAAATAATTTAATGGAAGAAATAGAAATTCTTACTTCTCTGTCTACGTGGTTTCTGTCCTACCCTCACTGAGATGTTCTAGAAATTCTTGGACATTCTACTATACTATTACCTAGAAGGGGTGAAAATGAAAAGAAGGAAAGGTGATGTTTCATGTCATCCTCATCAAAGGCATTTAAAAGCAAATGGCTGCTTGACAAATAGATCATGTAGGTAGTCCACATTCACAAGTTCAAAGTTAATCTAATGTACACAGAAATATAACTAAGTAAGCCAACATGGAAAAAGGATAGTCATTCATCTACTATGATCAGAGTAGTACCTTATTCCTTGTCTCTGCATTAAATACTTTTTATATCTCTCTCATGGATCATCCTATTCTCTGTTGGAGGGATGATGGCTATGAGTTTTTCATAAGTAGTTAATGTTTGCTTTTTAAAGTATTCTGTTCCATTTGATTGACAGTCTAAAAAGGCATCTGTGTGTGTGCCTAGGTCACTGATAATGTGTTTTCCAACAGCTGTTTCTTCCTTCCTTGGTGGAGGAGCCATTCTGGAACAGACTGATAATTTTAACCATTCATGCCCTGAGTTGTGTGTCCATGACCCCATGAACCCAAAATTCATATTAAAGAGTCTAGATTTTCTAGGAACTTCTGTGTTATTGGGCCTTACTGTCATCTGGTGGCCCAGCCTATTTGCCTGCCTTTCTCCATATTCTACATATGTTTCTTGTGCCCTAGAAGGGTATTTTTCTAGATACTGATAAATCACTTTCTCTGTACTAAATATTTTCCCATCTTGAGGATTTCACAGATACCCTGACACCCCACTAGATCCTTCCCGAGCCCCTAATTTAGAAACCAAAAAGGTCTTTCAGCTGGTGGGGGAGCAGAGGAAAGGGAGAAGGGAACAGAGGCTTGCTTTTCAAAAAATCTTAAGATTTTCTTAAAATCTCCATGACCTTAAAGATCATGTTTCCCTTTTAACTTGAGCCACAGGGAAACTGAAAGCCATGTTTGCAGCCCAGATAGACATTTCTATGTGCTATTCTAACACTTATTTGTGCACTAAACTTTACAGATGCTACCCCATATAATTGCTATAACAAAACTGGGCAACAGACACTAGTATTATACTCCTTTATAAATGAAGAAACAGAGATTCTCAGAAGTTAAAAAAAGTTGCAGACATCATGACTCGTCACCCCTAAGTACTTAATCTATATTCTTTCTAAAAATAAAAATTCTCTTATGTAACTGTGGTACCATCTCATATTCAGGAAGTTAGTGTGATTATATATTATTGTTTCATATATAATTCACATTAAAATGTTACCAGTTGTTCTAACACTATTGTTAAAAGAAAGGTTATAACACACATTTAAAATTAGAAATGACAAGACCAGGCATAGTGGTACATTTCTATAATTCCAGCACATGGGAGGCTTAGATGGGAGAATTGCAAGTTCCAGGCCAGTCTGAGCTACATAGCAAGACCTTATCTCAATAAAAAAAAAAATCTGACAGAATTTCAGAATAAAAGACATTCCTTCAAAACTGAATACATTTAGCTATAAAAAAAATATCATCACTATTTGGCCTTATTTTCCTACCTCCTTGGAATGGTGGAGTCTACACCACACATTTGTCATTGGACCCACATTTTGTAATTGCTGGTGTAAACACTTGTAGAGAAGATTGAATTAAGATGTTATTAAATCATTTCTGATTGAATTCAATGTCAGTCAATCTTAAGAGATAATAAGATTGATTTAGTGTTAACTAATACTAATACTAACTTACTATTAGTTAACTTTTCCTAATATATTTTAAATGCTTCTTTTAGTATTTCTTTCCAACAATATGAGAATTCTTTTTTCTGTTCCACCCTCCTGCTCTCCTATTTTGTAGAAGAAAAAACATGAATGATAATAACAGAAACATGGCGATTTTGCTAGTTTGAGATAAAGATAGCTACACAGGGAGGTTCCTTTGCAGTATGAGAATTTTGCTTTGGCCTTTTTCTCAAGGAGTTCCTGTGACCAAAAAGGCAAAACTTATACAGCAGTATCATGAAGAACACTGGGACTAAATCAGAAACATTATCTATTCTTGACCCAAGTCCTACTGTAGATGCACTTGGAATACCATGTACAGACAAGGTAAAAAAAATAGCTAATGGATTTGTCATTGAAGAATATTTTTCAATGGAGTAAAATTTATAAAATTAGGATGTCTTAGTCCAAGGAGACAAAGGCTAAAACAAAATACCACTAAAGCCAATAAAATTATGATGCTTCTCATCCCCTGGATTCAGAAAAGAGACAATTGCAAAAGAAATTATAGGAAGAATTGCTTCAGAATTAAGGAATAAGTGGCAAAAAAAAAAGCTAAAAGCATAAATGTATTCAGAAAAGAGAGAGATGTTTATAAATTTCAAATTCATGATTCATTGTAGAGAATGCCTATATGAAAGCAAATTTTAAATGTTTTGTTTATATCCCTAACCTGTCCTCCTATAAATATTTTTCAGATGGATGAGTCATGGACCTAACTCAGTGTGACATTTTTATATTGTCAGTTTTTCATTTCATAGTCCTTGCTATAGCTCCTTTTAATATGGTATCTGTCCCATTGAGACATATCCATTCACATATTAAAACATACATGGTTAGGGCATCCACACATTTATAAAATATAAGTTCTAATTTTTCAAATCCAAACAAAAACCTTTGGGGCAAGAAAAAAAATGTATACATTACTTATTCATTAATGACAATGAAATAATGGACTTGAAATTGATTTGCAAAGTATACATATACTTCAGAAATGTGAACCATTAATATACTTTTCTGTACTGTTTCATTTCTTCTCCCATTTGAAGATATTTCTGGTACAGAAATAGTATCAACATAAATGATAGTAGGTAGATTGTCCTTAGTGGTTTCCATTCTTGCTGACAGTTTAATAGAAATTTTGCAAAACAAACAAAAATCTTATATATTGTTTTCACTTATAGAACAATTATGTTGTTCTGACTTTTATTCTAACTCTACTTTATAAAAACAAACCAAAACCAAATAATTTAGATTGATTATAATAAGTATATATCATTAATACTTCACCTCTGAAAAGCACCATACTGAGGATGAAAGAGATTTAAAACACACATTTCATAATCAAATTTCCAAATATTAAGGTTATCCTTATTTTCTGTGAATTAAGAGTTACCTTGGATTTGGAAGATTTGTAGGATTGGCCCTTTTCCGTGACAACTTATTTCGTTTGATTGTTAAAGCCAATGTCACAGAATAGGGCCTGCTACATAGTAAGAGTTCCAAAAATATTTCATTAAATGGTTAATTAACAAAGAGTAGAAGGATGGGAATGTCTGAAGGGATTTTCATTCTGTTTGAATTCAATAGGACTTCTAACACATAAAAGTACACCTCATGCTGCATTCATTCATTTGAAGACACTCACCTACCTGCCTGGTAGCCTTATCAAAGTCCTATACATGCACCTTTTTCAAATAGTCCACGAGTCCCATAAAATTGGAAAATGTAATTAACTCGGTGACTTGAATGCTGTTTCTGATGGCACCTGCTTGTTTCTTAGACAGCGCAAAGATGAGCTGGAACAGAGAATGTCTGCTCTCCAGGAGAGCCGGAGAGAGCTAATGGTCCAGTTAGAAGGTCTCATGAAGCTACTAAAGGTAAGACTCTTTCCTAGATCTGTTACTGTGGCATTTGTGATTTTTTGCACATGATATGCAATGGTTTTTCCAATGACTGTATCCGGTTTCAATTTCCTCCAAAATGTTGTTGAAAATTCATATATGGAACTCTTTGTTAGACCCATGAAACAATATCAGTAAATTTGGAGTTCTTTTTATCCATTGCCTGGAATCAGACTGTTGAAGACCTTCATAGGGCAACTTCTTCTTGGCTTTTTTTCCAGTTCTTTTATGTCCTTGAAAGTAATAAAATTTGATTTATTTAGAAACAGTCTATATTTGATAGTTTTCATTAATTCTGACTAAATTGAACAGAGACTAATGTATAATTCAGAAAATTAAGATATATACACTAAACAGTCTTAGTGACTATAATTTCATTAGGAAGAGTAGCTTTTCTTGATTTCATTAAAATATTTTATCCCCTCTGTGTGGTTTTAAAAAGTCATATGACTCCTATGGGTCTCAAATACCAACTGTAAATAAAAATATTTCCCAACTCTTCCAAGGTAACATATTTAATAAGGTGAACTACAAAAGGCCTCTATTGAGTGCAATATTTTTCTTACTAGAAGTGGCATTCTTCTCTTAATAAAGCCTTATTTCCTTTATCAATTTACACTAAATTAGTTTACAAATCAACAGTAGATGAATTATGATCACATAGCCATAGTCAGCCCAGTAGAAATGTCAGTGCTGTGTGGCCAACATCCCTTATATAAACAATGAACCAATGTATGGATTAGAGCTGCCATGTGCTAAAATCAGGAACTGAAACTCTCCTAGGAGAACAGTGAAGGGAATATCCCTGGGCAGCTCACTGGGAGACAGTGTCCTGGTTTCACTGGGATCACTCACATCCCCAACACACCATCATTTTTTGTTTCTACTGTTTCCTTTTTTCTTTCTTCCTTTTCCCCTTTTCTTTCTTCCTTCATTTCTCTTTCCTTCTTCCTTCATCTCTCTTTCCTTCCTTATTTCCTTATCAAATTTTTGTAAATTCTGTCCTAAGTACTAATAACATTTCTTTCTTTCATTTTCTTTTGTAAAGTTTTTTGTTGTTTTTGTTTTGTTTTGTTTTGTTTTTTGTGCCATTAGTGTCCTCTTGAATAATTTCTTTCGGGAATGCTTGATCTTTATTCACCAAAATTTACTTTCAGTACATTAGACATAGAAGTGTAGAATTCAGTGTTTTGAAGTTTTTTAACTTATCTGTTGTAAGCCAGAGCCAGACCATTAATACCCGTTGCTATTTGGTTCTTATTATCTCATTTAATGCAACAGAAAAGCTCTTTTCTGCTCTCCTTTCCACATATGTCAAATAAAGAGGTCTAAACCCTTTTTCCCCCTCCAATGGGTGGCAGGAAACTTTGCCAAATATCCCCTCCAGGTATTCCTATAGCTTCTGCCACTATAGCAATGGGATAGGGGTCTATTGACCACCGGCCATCTTGGTCCCCAACAGAGCATAGCCTTTGTACCAAGATGTACAAATACTGAGATAGAGGGACAGATTGTGTTGGGAAGTGGCTGGATACATGGAGGAAAGGAATGGGTCTACAGTCTCAAATACCTAAATAAGCTTGGAACTGTAGTTACCAAGGTGGCAGAAACCCAGACCTGCCTTCAAACCATGTTGATGTTTCCCCATCTGGCCTTCCTTCACACTGTGTACATGCTCTTACTGGAACCCTGGATAATCTAACTATTATTGATTCAATCTTTCTGTAGGAAGAAGAACTGAAGCAGGGAGTAAGTTATGTCCCCTACTGCAGGTCTTAACTAACAGTGGAGGGGCCTGTCATCCTGCTGTCTTTCTCATTGCTTTTGCCTCTAATGTATGTTCATGCTTCAGTTTGAAAAGAAAAAAAAAATCATACTAATTTGCTTCCTTTCAATGTAGTGCTTGAATTGAGATTATAAAATTTAGTATTTTTTTATAACTACCATGGCTGTTGGCACCAAAAGAAGACCTATTATACCTTTTAGAAGAGGGAACAAATTATAACTTGTTGGAAACATTTTAGATCCCCAGGCGTATAAATTTCAAATTAGTTCTATGTGTTTTGGGGTTGTTGATCAGACCTCTGTCTTAATTGAAAGACACAGCTACTAGAGAGCTACACAAAGGTCAGTGTTATCTTAAAACCTATAATATACAGAAGCAAACTTCCATGTCCTCTCACATTATGCATATTCAACCCAGCTTTCATTTTACTGAAAAGCTATGGAAACTCTTTTCATAAAGTCTCTTTGCATCACATAGTTTATTAGGCCCAGTCCCCCTCTGCTCACCAAAATGTGCTCCATCATGTGAAAGACTTAATTGTTCACTTCCCATCATTTGGGGGGGTTCCCCAAGAGCAGAATCCCAGATGTTAGTTGACAATATAGAATAGGAAACTTTTAGCCTTTTTCATATGATCAAGAGCCTTTGGGCTCTGGAAGTTCACATGGTCATTACATACTTTTTTTCTGGAGATAGGGGCCCTGTGACTCTGAACCACAGCCTATGCTGGAACCTGTGTCTGACCCTGTGGTCATAATCAGAAGCCAGCAGAGGAAGCAGCATACTCAAAACAGTTAATCAAATTAAATTAAAGCAAAAGAAGAGCAGGTTTAATATCCAATGCATGTACCAAACTGCTTATGACAATATTTCCCACTTGCTAGCATTGTTAAAAAGTTTTACATTATTTCCATGGATCAATTAGAACTACAGCCTGTCCAGTTTCAACATAGCTTTTAATTCTTCTGTATGCTCTTTTCTATTATTCATTGTGTGTGTTTGTGTGTAACAAAGAATGTTTGCAAATACTGGACACATTTTTACCCTTCATTCCCATGGTCTGTAAAAAAAAGGAAAGTGTTAACCCAATCTGTAATGTCAGACAATAAAGATGATGTATTACATTATTTTGTATTTTGTGGAAAAAATTACTTTACTAAATTTAAATCAAGGTTTAATGAAGGACAGTCCTACTGGGTTAAGGACACACTACATTTGTATTCTGTGTAATTGCCCATTAATGCATATATGGGGTGTTGCTATTGTACTTCCAACACACTTAGATCATGGTAGAGAAAAATGTCTATCCCTGATAATTCCCCTTGCAAACAGCCTCTTTTCTTTCCTGTTTCTTATTTTGCATGTGCAATAGAAAAAAGGAAATACTGCTCAAATATAACCTCCCCCCTCCTAGTGAAGAGAGGCAATCATTCTATAGTCAATAAGTCTTGCTTTAGTCATTTCCCTTGGGGATCTCTTCATACCATTTCCTAAGCAGTGCATTCTTAATGACTTGTGGACCAGGAAACTGATAAATGGATGCACAGAACCAAACCATGGGAGTGCCCTTAAAGTGGCATCACTGCCACCTCATCTTCCAGCTCCTCCCTATTGTGCTCCTCTCCACCTCTGCATCTTGGAGGGTCTTCCACAGTGGGTAATGCAGCATTGGTAGGGACCATCAGTCACCAACCCCTCCCCAGATGTTAGTAATGCATTGTCTGGGTACTAGGAGAGTTTGCCTGGTTTACTCTTATCTACTTGCTTCTGTACTCAACCTTTCTTCAAAAGAGACCCAAAGCAGCTTACAGCAGAATATGTAAACAGTGACTCCATAAAATTGAGATAGAAAAACTTGAAACTAAGGAAAAGAAAATAGGAATATGCTTATCCTAAGAGACAGGGTTGTTACTCTGAGCTTTCTGGCAGTGAAGCAAAAAAGAAAAATATGATCCATGGTTTTATCAGTACAGAAATACCACTTCTCAGGAGATCAAAATTTCTGCAGCACGAAACATAAAAGAAAGTTTGCATACAGAGCTTTATAGAAAGGAGTACTGAATAATAAAACAGAAAATGCAGTCATAGATTTCATATGGCTGTTTCTTCTACTGGCCTTCAGTAAAAACTAAAGACAGAAACCTCATAAATTCCAGCCCTGTCAAGGCAGTTCTATAAGGAAATAAACAAACACCATACAAATCTATAGACTTCTCATGGTATAACATGATCTAAGGAGAGAATTTAGAGGTTTTAGACTGGCATCTACTTCTAAATTCTGTATTTATTTATGAGTCTTTCCCCTTTGGGGACATTCTCTTTTTAAAATCAAATTTAAAACACCCCACACAACCAATTGTGCTTGATTTAATAACCTCTACTTGCGTTATCATAAATCTGTGTGGTTCAATATAGTGTTTTATTATACTGGTATATATAATTCCTACTTATTCTGTTTCTTGTTATAGATAATGCATGAATTTATTCCCCTTGAGGAAAGAACATGAATTTTTTTAAATAGTGCCTGTAATATAATATGATGATTATGGAATCACAAGCAATAAATTTTTTTACAAAACTTGAATCGAAGTTATCCTACCCTCTTTCTTCTTTGCGTATCTTTAAGATTTACTGAACATAAAAGAACACTCATAAAAAGTTTAATAATGAAGGCAGCTGGGGTATAATTGCAGTAACAGTATGTTCCTGAGTTTCTGGTAGCCTTCCAGTTCCAAAGTCTAAATCCAAGTATCCAACTTTGAATTTTAAATGTAAAGTCTTAATACTAATAATTTTCATAGAAAGATTGCTGGGGTTAAAATGAAATGCAGCTGTCCTTGCTCCTTGCTCACAGTTGTTAGATCTTAAGTAAGTGAAGTAACTTCCTGATAATTTATTTAAACACACTCATAATACATGACTCATGTGGTTCTGGTGTATATTTTAAAAGATAATGTATGTGAAAGCACTCTGTTAAAATACTATATGAATGTCAGATATAAGTATGAGTATATGTATACATATACACACGAGAAGTATATATACACTTTTTAAATTTGACTCATAATTTACAGACACACACATATTCACTTTTCTTAGAGTTGACCAACAGTGTCTCCATCAAGGGAAGAAATTTGAACAGGACTTTAGTTTGTTCTGATCTCTTGTAATTGCTTTTAATAGTAGAAAACAGTGCTTTTATTTTAGAATAAGAGACAGAGCACTCTTCCTGTTTCTGGTAACATCATATATGATCCTAGATATGCTAATATTTGCAGTGTTGCCATCACCCACATCTGAGTAGTTTTTTTTTTTTTTGGAGGGGTAGAAGGTAGAGACTGGGGTTTGAACTCAGGGCTTTGCACTTGCAAAGCAGGTGATCTACCACTTGAACCACACCTCCAGTCCATTCTTCTCTGTTATTTTGGAGATGGGGGCTCTCACGAACTATTTGCCTGGGCTGGCCTTGAACCATGACCCTCCTGATTTCAACCTCCCAAGCAGCTAGAATTGTAGATGTGAGCCATTGTGCCCCATTCTGAGTAGATATTTTTAAACAGCTAATACAGAGAAGGGCTGAAAGTCTTAAGTATTCTGTACAATATGCACCATGACATCCAAGATCTTTTCTGAAGGTTTTGTATATCATATACATTTTTTGTATGAGAGAAGTGATGGTACAGGAAACATATTTTTGTCAAGAATCAAAATTAGCTTTGCATTTATTTACAGTTTTTTCTCTCTCTCTCTCTAAATTTACAGTAAAGGTTCATTTGAAAGCTCCATTTTAAACTTTAAATCAATTATTCCTTATTTAGAGGATAATGTATCTACATTGATATTATGTTGAATGGTATAATTATTATAATTTGGCATGGGGAGAGAGGTCAGACATTACTCAAAATTCTGTCTTCTGCCCTCATTATCTTCTCTATAACTGGATGGCCCAATTAACTCAGAGAATTGCAGTCCCTCAGGTTCCTACTTCTTCCAAGTATAATATATAGAATATGAACAGGTCACAAGGAGCAATTTGCTAGCCTGGGTTTCACCTTCCTTAATTACCTTTATTCATCCTCTTTGGTGTGTTTTCTGTGGAGTAGAGAACTAGTCAAAAGTGAGAGAGGGAGATAACCAATTGCAATACAAAGACTACTGTCTAGTGTTCAAAAATGTACCTTCTCAGACTATTTCTCTACATCTCTTTTTTAATTTGGGATTGGTTAGATTCTAAAGAAATAGAAATTATCTCCCTGCTTAAAATCCTTGAAAGATGATCTTCCAATTCAGGATAAAGTTCACCAAAGGCCCCCAAGCCTGGCTCCTCCCCTTCCCTTCCTCATTTTTCCTCCACTTCTCACAAGGAACCTGGTACATCAGCCACACCATACCTCTCCACAATATCTGTGATACCCTAATAAATCCCATGCCTTGCTTAAGCTATTCCAAAACCTCTCCTCTCAGTACTTCATCTTTCCTGCCTGAATATCTTCGCTATTAAAATCCAAGTCAAACAATGCCTCCTGCCTTACCAGTCAGAATTAACCACCTTCTCTGTATTGCACAACACTCTATACTCAACAGTCCCTTAAAGGATTTTATTAAGAGAAAATATTCTGTTTATGTGGACAGTTGGTAAATGTGTATTGGAAGAAAGGATGACAAGAGGGTCGAATATGCTAAATGCTTTTTTGCTACACCTTCCCAAGCTGCTAGGTACAACAGGTAGGACCAAGCTACCTCTTAACCAAACCTGGAAGGCAGAATTTTGAGGTCTTCAGAGGGGGATGAATAATGTTTTTCATTTCACCAGATGGGTTTGTTCAGCAGTTACATATTTGCCACTTTCTTTAAAGTATCCTTTATTTCTATAGCTGAGTAGAAACCAAAATAGTTCCTGAAAAAAATCAGAAAATTTATGGATCTTGTCAGACTTTTTAAAAATTGATACAATAGCAGGTTGAGTGGACACAGAGGATGGCATGTAGAAATTAATTTTTCATTTATTCTCTAGGAAGAGAGCTATTTTAAATTTGCCAAGTGTAATATATGTTTTCCTTCTTTCATAAATCAATCCTCTCCTTGGGAATTTTAGATCTATATATTGATCTGCATGGACTATCGTCCCTTAAGTCTTTGCTCCATTAATCATTGAGTAATTTCCAGGGAAGGATGTCCACAGAGATTATTCACTGTAACTCTTCTAAAGTTGTTAGCAGACAGCCATACTTGATGACCAGGCTATAGACACCATTCTACAAAGGTCACCACCTATGAAGATGAAACTCAGTAATCTGCCTCAATGCCAAGGGACAACTGCCCTTTTGTAATGGCCCTATAAAAATAGAACAAAAAGGAAGACCAGAGAAGCCATTTTCCTTAGTAGTTGTTAGTAAGGTACTTTGTGTCAAACTGGGCAGGGTCCTGACAAAGACACATGGGGCCATGATCACCCAGGAAGTCAGCATCCTACTCCCAAAAGACTGGGTAAAATATGGACGTGACTTGGGAGTTGCAAGCTACAGGAAAAATGCAGCTGAATTTTTTCTTCAACCACAGAATATTCCACCTAAATTTTTCACATAATCAGACTGCTTGAAATTGCATCAATTAGAGATTCATTTGGGAGATGGTAGCTATTAGTCATTCACCCACTGGTGTAATTTAGATTCAGTCAATTGTTTTTCCTTAACACATAACCAGAGTCAATTAGTTTTTCTCTTACAGAACCACTAATGGGAGATTTGGAGAGAGGAAGCAGACAGAAAAGGAATTAGCAAAGTTAGCTTTGATATCAGGTACTAAGCAAAGATAGGACGAAGAGTCACTGTTCATCGACAATGGCCAGTGCACCAGGAGCATGGGAGAGGCCCACAGAATGGAAGGTGGTGGATCCAGATATATGGCTTTTATACAAATGCTGCCAAAGAGAGGAGTCCCACGAATACTTTGTGCTGGAGAACCAGGCATAACAGGTCAAGGAAGAGCTGGTGTTGATACATTACTAATATAGTCAGTTAAATTTCAAAATATGGTCCATAACACCGAATCTGAAATCATTAGGCTTGTCTATGTCCTAGAATTCAGAATATTTCAGGTTTTTGAAAAGTAATACAGTGCAAATTATTTGGGATTAAAGTACTTTATAGACTGCAAGTTGCTACTTGAATATAAGATTATTTCTACTACCGTATTAGGAAAATGAAACAAAGCAATGTATGTAAAAGTGCTTTCAACACTGTAGATTATATATAAAAGTAGAGTTGTATTATTACTGTGAAAGTTCTACTACAGAAGACAATCTGGATTCCCAGATCTTCACTGTGTAGTCAGGAAGGGCTTGTTCTACAACCACTCCATCCCACCTCCCATCATCATAATCACTACCACCAAACCCACCGTGACTAGTCCCTTGCTAAAGAAGACAGGTAAGAAAGAACCAGAAGCCCTGCAGAAGGCCATGTCTTGGAAAGATACATGAGACAGGTAGCCAAGGTTAGGCATCCTGAGGATCTATCTCTTTGAGGGACACTCCACCAGCCAGAATCCTTCAAGGCTATTGCAGCCCTGGGTACTCAGAATGCCTGGGCTCAGTCACCATCCTTGCCACTTCAGCACCATCTCCTGAAGCAATTCTTTTCACTCTCTGAGCACTGGGATTCACAAATGCACATTTAGAGTGATGGTGCCTACTTCATAGGGTCATGGAGAGAAATCAATGAGGATGTATAGATTACCCTTTGAACATTATAAAGCATGAGTCAAAGGTGAAATTTATTGGTGGCATGAGAGGCTGGGACACAGTAGGAGCTAAGAACAGAAGGTTCCAAGGTAATGGGGCTGAGCTGCCATTTGCTGGGAAAACCAGACCCCCCTCCTTGAGTGGGCTGAGGAAAGCAGGCTACAAAGCATCGCCTCCCTGGGCCAACTTCTCTTCCCTGGGCCTGGACAGACCACTATAAGGTACCGCAGAGTGAAAGAATGGTATCCTCAGCCCCATGGGTACCACATGAGTTCTGTGCTCACCTCCGTTTTGCTTTGTTTTTAATTCTGGTTTTCCTCACTTTATAGATTTGACAATTATGTGTGGTACTGAACCCTGGGGCACTAACAGCATGCCATTTTACAGGACTGATGTTGTATGTGTTTTCTGCAAGCAGCTGACCCCAGATATTCCAGAGCAGTGCTCTTGTGGTGAAGGTCTAGAGTTTCAAAGGGTAGAAAATGAATCTCTGGGCTCTTCTCTGGAAGAATCCTCACTATGTCCAGCCAGACCCCACAGACTGGGCTGGAACTTCTTGTGAACCCCTACTCAGTTTTGCATGCATTCAGGGATTTCCTTGTGTGTTCTTACATGCATGTTTGAGTGTCTTCCTTTGATTACTAATTATTATAACTAGGAACAATGGGCCTCCTTGTAGAAACAAAGCCTTAAAATTCAAGGCATGACAGTCTCAGAAAGGTTTCATGCCAAAGAATGCAGAAATGAGGGACTTTTTGTTATTTTCTGCTCTTTTCTTCACTTCTTTTAAAATCCTGCTATTCTTACTCTCCTGCTAGAACACTCAAAGGCAGAGAGAAGGCTGTTTCCTGCAGGAATCAGTAACAAAAAAATTAGAGACCAAGATTTTTGTAAATCAAAACCACAATGAGGGCTCACCTCTAGTAAGGATGACTATTATCAAAAAGGCAAAAATTGTAAGTGTTGGCAAGGATGTGGAGAAAGAGAACTCCTGCACACTATTGGTGGGAACATTAATTAGTAGCCATTATAGAAAATAATATGGCAATTCCTCAGAGCATGAAAGATGCACTGCCATATGATACAGCAATCCTGCTACTTAGCGACTTATCCAAAGGAAATGAAATCAGTATATGGAAAGGACATCTGTCCTCCCATGTTTATTTCAGCTCCATTCACAATAGCCAAGAGATGGAAAGTGTCCATCAGCTGATGCATGGATAAAGAAAATGTGGTACACAATGGAATTCTATTCAGCCATTGAAAGGAAGGAGATCCTGTCATTAGCAGCAATTAGAGATGATTATGTTACACAAAATAAAGCAGGCACAGAAAGACAAGCATCACAGGGTCACATGATTTCACTCATATATGGAATGTAGAACCACTGATCTCAAAGAAGAATAGAATGATAGTTACCAGAGGCTGGGGAGAGTAAGGCAAAAAGAAAGATAGGCAGAAGCTGATCAGTGGGTACTAAGTCACAGATGTGAGTAAGAAGTTCTGGTGTCCTATAGATAATAGTAATATACAGTACATTTCAAAATCTAGAAGAAAGGATTTCACATATTTTAATTATAAAGGAAAAGTAAATGTTTGAGGAGATATATATATTTAACATGATTTAAACATCATGCAATGCATACATGTATTGAAACATTACATGGTATTCATTAATATGTGTAATTTTTGTTTTATGTACTGTTAATAGAACAGTATTACAAGACATGATACAAGCTGTGAATTATGCTCTGAAGATGATGCCAGGAGAGTCAGGTTGAAAAACTTAGGAAGCAAATATACCATACTCATTCCAAATTGCTTAATTTGATTTAAACTTTCTCCTTCATGTCTTTTTTCTTTACATAGAACTTCTTTCAAGGAGAAAATACACTCCTCTTGCAATTAACTCTGCTTAACAGTTGCTTCGTTATGTGGGCAATATCGCATATACTGTAAAACAATGCTGTACTAATATTCTTAGTTTTCAGTGTTTAACCCAAACTTCAGATTATATGTAAAAAAAAAAAAAAGTCCTAAATTATGTACACCTGCAACTCAAGAGTTCGAATTGCCAACTCAATTTACTTAAGATTTCCTCTTTGTTTGGAATTTCGGTTGTCACTGTTTTTAACACTGGAAGCAAGCCTTGGGCATGGCATATGGTATTTTCTCGGGAAAGCACATTAATGATTGCATTGTCTCTCCAGACCCAGGGAGCAGGCTCTCCCCGCTCCTCCCCCAGCCACACCATCAGCAGGCCCATCCCCATGCCCATCCGCTCCGCGTCAGCCTGCTCCACGCCTACGCACACGCCTCAGGACTCTCTCACCGGGGTAGGGGGAGATGTGCAAGAGGCGTTTGCACAAAGTAAGTGCTTTTTAGTTATTGTTGTTGTGGTCAACTTTTACATGGCAGAGAAGTCACGAGGTCCGTTGAGTGGTGGAGAGCAGTGCGACCTGCACGTGGACACTCTACTAGAGTATCCCATGGCTCCTATCCGGGCCTGGCCATCTACACTGATGTTCCTCACCTTCTGTTTTACCTTCCTTTGACTTCTATTGTCCTGCCCCACTTTTTTAGTAATCCTTTGCTTCTGAAGTAGTGGGCACTCCTTTCAGAAACTTTCCATGGAAACTGTATAAATATAATCCATTTGAACATCACAATTCCACATCTTCTCTTTACATCAATTCAAGATTGAGATTAATAAACCCAGCTCTTTTGTGCTGACGTGATGGAGAAGGGCATGTAGTCATTGTATAGATTCCCTGTAAAAAAAAAAAAAAAAAAAAAAAAGCCCTAAAGCGTTGCACCCTTGCCTCTGTAATATGGGCCTACAGGGTTAGGTCTCCATGGTCAGCAGGGAGCAAAGAGAAATGAAGATAGAAGATAGGGAGGTTGCTGGGTGCCACTAGGCAAGTGATTCAAAATTTTGTCTTACCATCAATTACCAATTATACCCTTACAATCAGACCAAATGGCTGCCAGTAAAGCTTTGGTCCTTTCCAACTCACTGCCTACATGTAAAAAATATGTTTCCTACATAAAAACTTCTTTTTCATACAAATCAGATCGTGCATTGTATTTTAATCTAGAATTTGCTTTTTTACTTAAATTTGAAATATATCATGAACATCCTTCCTGATCCCCACACAAAAATCTAAGGAAAAGAGACATTTGACTCAGTTTTGAGGCAAATGGAAGCATAAACAAAATCAAAGGACCAAAAAAAAAAACCAGACTTGAGGAAAACAGGTCCAACGTACATGGCCATCCTGTTTCATAATTTCAGCTATACACAAAGCATGTAGACATCAGTAAGAAAAAAACATCCTCAAAGCAAAAATAGGTAAAACATATGAACGGACAGGAGAAGTATAAATTTCCCTTAAAGATATAAAAAGCTATTCAACCTCACAAATTGTAGAAATATAAATTTTAATAGTTATCACCTTTTGCCTAGCAAAATTTTTAAAAAATGTTTTTCTTAACATCAATAATATCTGAGGGTAGCAAAAGTGTGTGGAAATAGACACTGTCATGTGAACATATGAACGGACAGGAGAAGTATAAATTTCCCTTAAAGATATAAAAAGCTATTCAACCTCACAAATTGTAGAAATATAAATTTTAATAGTTATCACCTTTTGCCTAGCAAAATTTTTAAAAAATGTTTTTCTTAACATCAATAATATCTGAGGGTAGCAAAAGTGTGTGGAAATAGACACTGTCATGTGTGTCATTTGGGAGAATACAATGGGCTCTCTATTCTGTTATGGGGGACCAGAGGGAATTCACCTTAGGGCTTTGCCTTCTAAACAGTGAATACAATTCAACTCAATATGATTTTAGAGCTATTTGTGTAATTTATAAAGTTTCTTTTTTAAATTTTAAAAGAATATCCTTTCTCTAAATCATATTTTTTAAAAGTCTACAGTATTTTAAATCAATTTTTGTCTTCTGTTTTAATGTTTTACCTGACTTTTGTGGTTTTAGAATTTAAATGTATTTTTTTTTACTTATTTACTATTGCCTTCTGAGAAATGACAATGAAATGTGGCCTAAAATTAACCCCTCGCTTATAAAACGTCCATACTGCATAAGTTCATATGTAAGTCAGGTATTTGGAATCTTGAACCATTTTTCCCAAAGACACTAAGATAATTAGCCCTTTGTTCCATTCCCACCATGCCCACTCCTCGGGTAGCCCACAAATAATCACTTACTTCTTAGTGCCTGGAATAATCTTTCTTACCATAGCCTACATTACAACAAAGTCTAAGTTCCAATTCAAGGTACCAGATGTGCATCCACCCATGCCTTGGCAATAGGAGCAAGACTCCCATCCCTTTCCCACACTCTAAGAGCATGCAGTGTGTGGACTTCCCATTCCCAGAAAGTACCTCTCCTGTTAGGGAGACCTCATAGCCCTGAGAGGAGACAGAGCCTGTGCTAAAAGAGACCCAGAATCCAGTGTGCTCAGCCACAAGTAATGGGAGAACAATACCAGCAGCTGGAAAATCAGGCTTTTCATCTGTGTGGATCATTCTTAAGAAGGATGGCCACACCACATCTGGTTTAACTGGACTGCTCCAGTTTATGCCATGTCCCCTGGTCTTATTATTAATGCAAATCCCTTTCACTTTCAAAATTGTACTGATTTGGACAGTAAGTTATATGAGCCTCCATCTTTAGTCATGTCTTCTTACATCAGGAGCTACTGTCCTAAGCACAGTGTGTGTAATTTTTTTCAGGAAATGAACCAAAGCACTTCTTAAAAGGAGAGGTTTTAGAAGTTTTCTTGCTATAAGTTATCAATAGAAATAAAACAAAAAAAGCATAACAACTTTGGATGAAGGAAAAGTTTTGATTTTTTTAATTATCATTTCTTCTTCACTGAAGGTTCTAGAAGAAATTTAAGAAATGACTTGTTAGTGGCTGCAGATTCCATCACTAACACTATGTCCTCTCTGGTGAAAGAGCTAAATTCAGGTGAGTTCCTGCTGCCTTCTCATTTGTCTGCTCACCCCAGAGGGATCTCTAAGTCCAGAAAAATCTCCTGGAGACCTGCTCAGTGTCAAATATAAAAAGATATTTTAAAAGTCTATGTCATATTTTGTTGGCATATTCAGAATTTTTGGTAATGTTACACAGTTTTTAAACTTTCACAGCACAAATACACAAATATCTTACCAGCTACTAATATATTTCCATCTATTCCTTCAAGGTGACCTAACAAGATATTTGTTTGGCAGGTCTATGGTCTAATAGTTGAGATTACAACAATTACAAGAAATTAAACTTCAAGGTGGTCACCAGTAGCTTGCACCTGTAATCCTAGCTACTTGGAAGGCTGAGGTTGGGAAAATCCAGTTACAGTCCAGCCCAGGCCTGTAACTTTATTTGCAGGCCACAAACTATCTAACAAGCTATTCTTTATGTTTTCAATTCTGCCTGCTAGAGGTGGGGAGCGAAACAGAGAGTAATGTGGATTCTGAATTTTCACGGACTCAATTTGAGGATCTGGTACCATCACCAACCTCTGAAAAGGCTTTTCTAGCACAAATCCATGCCCGAAAACCTGGATACATTCACGGTGGAGCTACAAGCACTGTGCAAAGTGACATGTGAGTACCCTGTGCTTGGAGATGTTCCCTCAGTAGTAGAGCAAGCTGTGGAAGCTCTAAGAAAATAAAAATTCAAATTTTGAAGAACATATAGATTTTGCACCATGGTAAAGTTATAAACCAAACCCAGGTAAGTTGGGAATCATGTAGTATTGAAAAACTGCTCCAACCTTTTTAGGACTCTGTTAGTTTTGGGAGATTAATTATTCTGTCTTCTGAATATACTGCCTTTGCACTTAGGACCTCTGTGAGGGGAGAGAGGTCTCTCTTCACAATGGATATAAGCAACAACAAAATAAACATTTGGATTAAAATAATACATGCATAAAATCTCATTAGACATTCGGTTTGGTTGACTTGTTGAATAAGTATAAATCTAACTCTCAGAAGACTTCTTTAGCAAAGGTTTTTTTATTTTTTTCACAAATGACTGGCTGGGAGTTATTTTACTCTATCTGAATAGACAATGCAGATAGGCAAAGGGAAGCAATCTGACTTTTCATGGCTCTGAGTTCCAGAAGCTCACAAGCTGGACTTCCAAATCCAGAGACTATAGCTCTAAGCCATAAGAAACAGTGGCTCATGGAGCCAAGCTTTAACAGCTGGAGGCTTATTGCTCTGCATTTGGACTTGTAAGTCTTAGAGTTACAGCTCTTGAATTTTGGGTATCCAGACCTCTGGCTCTTTAACCCTTGATCATTCTTAAACTCTTTAGTGACTGGAACTTTTCATCCTTGTAGTCTCAGTGATTGCTGTCATTTCTTCACAGCCTCTTGGCTTCCATAGACTCAGCTTCTCTACCATCTTTTGCCTTCTCAATACTTCTGCCATCTTTCAGAGTATTAGCCTCCCAGTGTTACAACTCTGAGCTTCAGGGATCAAGGCCCTTATCTCTCACTGCTCTCTAAATCCCTTAGCTGCTTCTCAGTGTTTCAGCTTTGAGCTTTGGGTGTAGGGCCCTCAGCTCCAAGCCACTGTCTGGAACCCTTCAGCTTTCAGTTGCTTCTTTGCTGCCACTGCAGGGGCTGGAATCCCCAAGTTTTTTTTCTGTTTTCTGTGCAACCCACTCTACCCATGGTAAAGACCCCAAGTAGCCAATAGACCATTCAAAAGAAACCTTTATGGGGCCTAATGTTGCAACATCAGGGGGTAGCGCATAGCTGAGAAGCTTCCCAAACTAGCCCAACAGGATTGAGAAACAGCCTTTTATATACTTGTACTTGGATTGTAATCCCCCCAGTCACAGCACCGGATGTGCCTGGCTTCTAGTTCCACCACTCACAAGTCTTACACATGCACCAATCACAGGCTTTATTTATGAACCAGTCACAAGCCTCCCATTGCATCAATCACAGGCTTTTTTTGTTTTTTGCTGAATCACTAAGAAGTACTCCCCTTCCTGTCCTGAGTGAGAGTAGCTGCAGGGTGAGCAAGATCTTCTCAAGTTCACTGAGGCTTGACTTGCCCAGAATGGAGTCTTCCAAAGCCAGTGTAGTTGTTCAAGTGACCATGACTAAAGCAAAGCCTAAAGCAGGAGTCCTGAAGCCCAGCAGCAGCTGTACTTGCAATGGCTCTTGCAGCTGGAGTGGAGCTTCCCCAAAGTATGGCGTGTTCAAAACTATCAAACTAGCCAGGCATGGTGGCACAGGCCTATAATCCCAGTTAGTCAGGAGGCCAAAGCAGGAATATCATGAATTCAAGCCCAGCCCTACAAAAGTTAGCGAGACCCTATTTTAAAATGAAATACAAGCAAAAGGACTGGGGGCATGGTTCAAGTGGTAGAGTATTTGCCTTGCATGTATAAGGGCTTGGGTTCAATTTCCATTACAAAAAAAAACAAAAACAAAAAAACCAGACTGTCCTCAATTGTAAAAGAAGGGAAGAAGCTTCTTGGCTCACAGCCCAAGGCAGTCAGGCATAAGGGAAGGTCTGTCAGCTGCCATTCAAATGGTCTGTTCCGAGGGTTTTGCTCAATCACAGGGAAAAAAAAAATTAAAGGCTGCTTACAATAAAGGTCTAGGAAATTAATATTCTTGGCAGTATTTACCAATGCCTAACCCCTAGTTAGATTCCCTTCAGGGAGAGTTGTGCCCTCTGATATGATTCATTTTCACCCAGTTAAGTCTCTATAGCTTGACCCAAGTCAGCAGGATCAGTGACGTCCTCAATAGACTTGCTGTGATCCTAGAATAGCTCAAAGTAGTCAGCAGAGGAAACCAATGCTGAGAACCAAAGGCAAAGCTAGGACATTGCTGCTTGGGAAGGAGAAAGCAAAAGGAAGAAAGGGAAGAATGAGGCATAGTAACGGGAATTGTTGAACACCAGAATGACAACAGAAGGGCGATGCTATGTGAAAAGTACTTCAAAGTAGTCTACAGAAATAAACTGCCTGTTTTAAAGACCCAGAGAAGAAACTAACCAGAGCCCCTTCTGATATTCAGACTGTCAATCCAAGTGGTGAGTAAAAGACCAGCAGTGATGGGGTTGTAAAGAGACCTGGTTTGAAAGCCAGCTGTGAAGCCGCTCCCCTGTGAGATCCTAACAAAATAGTCACAATGTAATTTAAAATGGCAATATGAAACTGATTCTAATTTTAGTTGCTTTCTTGTCTTTTCCTCTGTAATTGAGAACTATTTGATTTGTCATTCAAAATGGTGAGTTAACTGTCATCTGTTTGGTCTCGTACATCCATATCTGACTTTTTATTCTCAAGCATTTACATAGTACCTACTTTTAAATTTCTTTGTTCCCTATTAAAATACTCCTCTCCCCCATCGCCTGTGGTCCCTGGGATGCCAGGGAGCTAGACACGCTGTCAATAAGTAATTTGGAAGTTGAGAAAGGGCATTCATTCACAGAGGCCTCAGAGACCCTATTCGGCTTGTCCCAAACCTCCAAAAATAACAAGAGCATATCTTACAGATATAAATAAACATGAACAGTAACATTCAATTTCCAGCCCCAAAACTTCCCCTTCACCAGTCTTTTCATGTTAGGTGATATTTTAACATCTGAACTGTCTAAAATGTACTCTGCTTTATCGCATATTGAGTGTAGTTATGTGATTCAGATAATGATTTTATGTTCAGTCCCATGAAGCACTTTACACATCTGGGATGAACAGATGGAAATCGAGTCCCACGTTAGTGAGTCAGGGCTTTCCTATCTATTTACTGGATTTTTCAGATTCAGAGCTAATATAAATTTTTCTAATATAATAATGCAATGTTAATGTTTAAGGTGAAGCGCTACAGGTGAAGCTGGAGCTTGAGAGAGAGAGGGAGTGTGTGTGTGTGTGTGTGTGTGTGTGTGTGTGTGCAACACAAAGAGGGTAAAATTATGAACAAATGTTCTTATGCATTATTTCACTAGAGGGCTCACTCTTCTTATGGGTTCTATTTTTAAAAAACCTTATGTTAGGAAAACTTGTCTTTCAAAAGACAAGCTTGCCTTTTTAAAAATTGTAGGACATTTCAAAGCCCAATCATTCCTGTAAACCCTAGAAAACCCTAAGACAACCAATGATTGCCAGACTGCCATAGAGAGCTGTGAAAATACCTCGATCCTACATTTCGCCAAGCCTCCAGTTTTTATAAAATGCTTTCACCTACGTAAAAGAAGACATGAATGTGAACTGGAGGACTAAAGAGAAAATAACTGTACCAACAAAACTACAGCCGGCCCATGAATTCCTCTCACACTTCTATTTTAGGATTTGGTCTAAAATGCCATCTGTGGTTTATTCACAGAGTTACAGAAGATGGTGATCCCTATGTGCGGCCTGAGGATGAGAACTATGAGAACGAGTCTGTCCGGCAGCTGGAGAACGAGCTCAAGATGGAGGAGTACCTGAAACAGAAGCTGCAGGACGAGGCCTATCAGGTGCAGGAGCTAGTCCCTCCATCCCCACCACTCTCCTCAGCCCTCAGTAGCTGGGTCTTCCATGTTACTCCCAAAATTGGTGCTTCCTTCTTCCTTCTGTCCTCCCTTTCCAGAATATTCTAATAATATCCCTAGACTGTGTTTTTCAGACAGTAAAACTTTAACTACTTCTTGTAGCTGTCACTCACCATGTACTCTTATAAGCTGTGGTCTGTATAGCAAAAAGAGGCTTTGTGACATTTGTAGAATATGATAACTAATTATCCAAACTCCTCTAGGATCATTAAGAAAGATGCTTTTTGGACTGGCAGTGTGGCTCAAGTAATAGAGTGCCTGCCTAGCAGCCAGTACAGCAAAAAAAAAAAAAAAAAAAAAAATTAAAAGTGCTTTTTTTTCATAAATTAAAAAAAAAAAAGCCAAGTGTAGTGATGTATGCCTGTGATCCCAGCACTCAGTAGACTGAGGCAAGAAGATCAAGAACAAGAGCTCAAGGCCAGCCTGGGCTACACAGCAAGAGTCTGTCTTTAAAAATGAAATAAAATAGTAGTAGTAGTAGTAAATAAGTACACACAGAATGGAGCACAAGGAAATTGAATGTGTACAAATATACTTCTTCCCTTGGACTATTTGTCCTCAGCCTTCCACCCTGCCCATTTCATGCCTAATTTAATTAAGCAGGATACTGACAAAACTTACTGAGAAATATTGGTGGAACTTCAGGTCCTGTTCATTATGGTGTGGACGGACAAATCTTGAGAAGGACTGGAGTATATTAACTCATCTGAGAACTCACAGACCATAGCATGTACAGTTAGGAATAAATGTGATGAATCACTCACTCCTCCTAAGGCCTGCATTTTCCCCATGGGATTGTTCTGCTGCCCTGTTTGTCTTTCTTTGTGCTTCCTTTCTCTGTAATTCACAGGTGTTTTGTTGGTTCTGGGAGCTCAGGGATGTTTTCCTGATGGAGATCTGCTGATTCCCAACCCCAGTGGGTTACTGTTTTCCTGTCATGCAAGCTTTCTCCACAGTCTTAGGTTAGCAGTGGCCCTCTGTTACTCTGTCAGTGAAGGACAGAGAAGCAGAGGATATAAATTGTCTTCTGCTTCTCATATAGTTATAGAATTTGAAATATTTTCCCAAGAAGAATGTATCAGGAGGGAAACAGAATCTCAACAACATTAAACAAAAGTGTTGCTTCTTTGGAATGTTCTATTAACCTTTCAATTTAAAAACCACATTTCAGAAGCAACCAAAATGTTCTAATTATACCAAAAAAAAAAAAAGTAGTATGTTGAGCCAGCAGCTATGCTACAAAAAGTCACCTGATTGGAAAGCCATAGAGTTCTCTTTCTTTGCAACCTCTGGCTCATCCATAGAAAGAAATTAGGCTAGAATGAAGCTGGCTGTGTCCAGGAACACAGAGGAATGGCATTCCTACATGCATCTCTGTGACAGGCTCTGCACATAGAGAGACAGATGTGCCTAAATAATCAATGGTTTGGTTCATGCTGTTAGAAGTACCTATTAGGCCTCACTTTGTGAACTCATATCAGTTTAGTCACAACAGTAATTGAAATTCTAGAAGTTCTTCTTTGTAAAGGGAGGCAGCCTTTCACCATTCCATACCCAATATTAGATTTGTATTTATTTTAATGAATTAGGAATTTAACCTTACATGTGTAAAATGAAAGGGGAGTCTATATGACTTAAGATCCAGTTGGAGTTTTTGCCATCTCTGGTAAGTCTTTGGCTCCTTTTCTCTCCCCTTGCCTTTCCCTGCCTGATGGCTTCAAGGGAAGGTTCAAGGAAGGAACATAACATCCTCAAGACACATACCCTTGAAAATGTTGAAGTGGTTTTCATTGAATGCGCTGTGAGCAGTTGGTGATGGATGGACTAGAATGCTACTTCCATTCATTGGACTCTCTCTGTCTTTGTGCATGGCTTCCAGCAAATAATTCACCAGCTTGACTGCATCACTGACTTGACATGTCACCCTTCTTGTTTGTGTCCTTTGTCACCCACAGGTCAGCTTGCAAGGTTGAATGCAATATCCTTTTATCACTCTCCTCTCAAGTAAGTACCCTCTTGTTTAGAAGGAAACATGGCCACTATACGCTAAATTCTGGTAGCTTGCAACCTAAATTCACTGTCACTCTCTTATAGAAATCCTCCTTCCTTGCTTATTGCCAAGAATCAGCCCCATCTATGGGGTGTTTCATTATAGCTCAGTGTAAATTCCCCAGATATCCTTGGAAGTTGACTTTTTACTGTGTCGATTAGGAAAATTGGCATGGAAACTTTCATAATACCAGAAATGCCTCTGCTTAGCAAAAGAGATGCCTCTTTCTCCTCTCAATGGCATTAGAGTTGCCACCTCTGTATCACTTGAGAAGGAAAAGACCAAGGTAGCTCAGCATCTCTAGGTGGGTCAGCTTCTTAGTCATGTTGTACTCAGGGTCCCAAAGACCAACTATGTGGACCTTTCCAAGTCACAGAGAAAATAAGTATTATTAAAGAAACCAAAAAAAAAAATCAAAACAGAGAAAAGAACTCTACAGTCTTATATTTTGGGAATGACTAATTCAAATCCATTGTGGAATTCAGCTGGATATAAGTTTAATTTAAAATATCATTTATGTACCATGTGGTCCCATCCTAAATTCCACCTAAATGCATGTAAAATTGTCAGGTAGTTCTTTGTTTTTATTTTTAATAGAGAAAGAAAAACACTGGCAGGCTACTTTGAGGGTTGTGATCTGAAACTCTGACTCTGACTCTGTTAGACCCATTTTCAAATATGGGTCTCACCAAATCCTAGCAGCATAAACTTGGGCAAATTATTAAATTGTATGAGCCTCCTTTTGCTGTGCACAACATGTCATAATACTTACCTCATAGAGGAGTTGAACTCTCTGAGATATCATTTTTAAAGAACTGAATAGGTTTAGGTGCAGACTCATGCCCATAATTCCGCTACTTGTGAGTCAGAGATCAGGGGGATCAAGATTCAAGGCCAACCCAAGCAAAAAGTTCATGAGACCTCATCTCAACCAATAACACCTGGGCATAGTGGTCCAAGACTGCTATCCCAGCTACACAGGAGGCATACAAAAGATCAGGGTCCAGGCCAGCCTGGGAATAAACACGACCCTATTCAAAAAATAACCTAAAGTGAAAAGGACTAAGGGTACAACTCAACTGATAGAGCACCTGCTTAGCAAATGCAAGGCCCTGAGTTCAAACTTCAGTACTGCCAAAATAAAAAAATATACATAAAAAATGTAAAGAACTTGGCAGAGTGGCACGAACATTATAATTAATTATGAACACACATGTATGCCTGCCACTGTGCTCTGCACTTTACAAAGCAGGTCAGTACCTAGGTGGGCTGTAGTATGTATGTAAGTGTGTGTGAACCACCCAGACTGAGAACCAGTTTGCTCTCTGTACTTTTATCATCCAGGCCAGTTCATGACTACATGCAACGATTTAAAAACCTTAGACTCCACTGTCCCATAAGTCCAGGTGGGTTTTCTGGCTCCAGCTAATGGCTGTTTAGATGTAACCCCCAGCACATTTCAAAGTTAATGTACTTCCCACAGTAATCTGACTGCCCTGACTCAAGGACATGGGTCTACTTTTAGTTATATAGACCTTCTCTACTGTAGAATCCCATACATCTATAGTGCACTTGATAATAAACTCTATCAACTCTGGTTGCTAGTTTTAAAAGAGAAATATATTTCTTAAATGATACCTCAGTAATAAATACATGCTAGCTCGAATACTACTGATAATCAGTCCTATTTTATGCAAATAAGAATTGTAGAATTAATTGCTACAATGACATATTATTGCATAAGCTGTGAGGAAAAGTTTTACCACACTCTACTCTTTCTTCCTTGGATTTGATAACACAACACCACATGCTCCCCCTAATTCACTATGATTACAGTGAAAAAAATTCCCAGGAGCAGTTTCCGAAAATAATCACTCCAGTTGTAACAAACCTAGTCCCAAAGGAACAGTTCCTTTCCTTTAATAACGTTTTCTTTCTCTTAGCCCAAACAATTTGATCGTTTTGTTTGTATAGTATTTAAACATTGGTAGCTAGCTCTTAGAAAAATATTTCTTTTTAAAAGCCTGATAAAATGACCTTGACATAAACCCATGTAAAAGCCAAATGTTTCAGTACCCCCAAAAGTTCCTAGACCATTTTTTAATCTTTTGTTGCAAATTTGGCAGTGAGAAGTGAAACAGTTATGACCTCTGTCATTTACTGCATCAGATATCTTGCCTGGCTAGTTTGCTACAGCACTATAAACATGAACCAGAGTGTTGCTGAGGCAGCCACTTTGGCAAAATTCATTTAAAATCTGATAGAACACTACAAAAACTAGTAGCTTTTCATCTTTGTAGCCAGTTCAAGTCTACTATAGCTTTTCTCAATGTAGTCAAGAAATACAATTGAAATTTTAGAATTTTATATAATTAAAATATACTTGTTTGGTCTTTCTGACTGTGCTGTAGGACCAGAAGTTGTCTTAGGGTCCTGAGCCAACCTCATTGGTTTGACATCAGTCAGGCATCTCTCAAGTCAGAACCATACATGGGTGAGAAGGTGGTTCCCCAGAAACAGAGAGCACTTATTAGATACTTTCTCCAATAGATAGGGCTTTAGGTCTGTTTTTAAATAAATACACATTTATTCACAACAGAGTGAATGGAGTACCATTCACTAGTTTACTGCTTTTCAGCTAGCCACTTTTGAAGAAACAGCATAAATAGTGGCTAGTATTCCGTTTAGTGTCCTCCAAGACTTCATTTTTGACTTGCTCAACCTTGGATTTATCCCTTTTCCAACCTGTGGCCACATGAAACACCATTTTCCTTCCAGTCACATGCTAACATTAGAAACTGGGAAGTTACCAAGCAAAGTGGATTTTATTTTTCAAATCAACTTAGCATTCTGATGGTAGGTTAGTGACCTCATCTCCTTGTCCAGAGAGCAGCACACATATTTCTGTTTATGTTGCTTTAACCTTCCAGGTGCCTCCAGGGTACCATCAGGTACCCCTAAGAAAGAGACTCCACAAGGAGAACTTCCTGTCCTTTCTTCCAGAAAATGCAATAACCCACAATGTCCTAGGACATTTGTTCCTGATTTTCATCGGAAAGAAGTACTGCGTGTGTGCGTGTGTGTGTGTGTGTGTGTGTGTGTGTGTGTGCGCGCACACCTCGGGAAAGGGAGGATCCTAAGCTTCATGACCCTAATTTAGAAACAGTTTTCATCTTTAAAAAAACTACAAATTCCTTATTCCCAGGCAAGCTATAGTCAGACAGATGGTGACAGTAACATGAAAGCTGGTGGTGATGGAGAGCACTGTACCCACTCAAAGGAGGAAGACAACAGCCTGGCAGCAGCCTCGCCCTCGCCGGAGAGAGGAGCCACTCCACCCTGCAGCTCCCAACAAACCCCCACCCCTAAAAAGATGTGTTCTGATGCCTGTAGTGCAGCTAACTTTTGTCCTAAGATTTGTAGTTCCTAAGTATGTGTTTTAGGAGGGAGGGGGAAGAAAACAAGACTTATGTTTCAAGCTGATTTATCAGCTCCATCTTCTGTAACATGCTCATCCCTGGTTGAAAACAAACACAGGCTGAGAACCCACAGTGCTGTTGTCCATACTGGCAGTATTGACAAGCATTTTAAACCTTTGCACATGGTGTCGAACCTTTCAGTTTACAATGACAATATTAATACTGTTTATAGCTAGAAGTTTGATTTCTGGATTCTTTGAGATTTTAGCAAAACAGTTTATTACACACTGTACATTTTTTTCCACAGCAATTGGAAAAAAACAGCCACCCTGAAGGATGTGGCTCCTGAGTGTACAGACTCAGAGCCCAGAAGCCAAGAAGGGTTTTTGACTTGGTTGACTCCAAGTCTCTGTGAGCAACAACCAAACCCTAGGAATAATTCATTCTGTGGGGCTTCTTTCCATCTTGAGGTTGTTTTCTTTCAAGACACTCTAATGAGTCAGCCATAGAGGTTAATGTAAATATTTTTTTCCAAAAAGGTATCATTCAAAAAAAAAAAGACAACATTCAAATTATATAGAATCTAGTTTTTAAAATCAGCACAGATCTTCTTAAAAACTGTGAACTATGTTTTGAAATACTCGTTACTAAAGCTGTTTATAAACCACAGGTGCCATAAAATCCCCAAATGGACTAGTTATCTATGCTCTTCCATGGTCTTATTCCTCTTGTTTTAGCTTTAGGAAGCATGTCTTTCACAGCACCGCTCATTCACAAGTTCCCCCATCGGGTGGTTTGGAGACCTTCAGCTTTACACGTACAGGCTTAAAGTGCGCTTGCAAACGTTCGCTCTCATTGTATTTCTGAATGTTTATTGCCTTAGCTGGCCACCTGGTGTTCTGCATGCAGCATTGTGTGGTCTGTGAAAGGAGACAGGCTCTTCTACGTTGAGTTGGGATTTTGCACTCAGTGAGAAGCTGAAGTGCAAAGGAACTGTCAAAGACAGGAAGATAAAAGTCCCAGTGGATGGCCCTCTTTAATAGGACCTAAAGACCTCCCTTGGGGGATCCTGGGGAAAATGGAAATGTAATCATTTCTTTTTCAAGACTTGATGTGAAGAAAAGCCTGCAATATACTGGATATATTATACTTAAATTAGCAACTTCTTTGGAATTCCTGCTTTTCCTTTAAACGAAAGAAGAGCATCCATTGTAGAACAGTGTGGTTCTCAAAATGTGGTCCCCAGATGAGCAGCATCAGCATCACCTGGGAATGTCTTAGAAGTACAGATTTCAAGGCTCCACCCCAGTCCTACTGAATCAGACTCTGGGGTTTAGGCCTGCCATCTGTGCTTTAATCAGTCCTCCTGATGATTCTGATGCACACTAAATGTTGAAAACTACTGCTCTGGAATAGACATACAATAAAGTCTCTGAGAAAGCCTTACTCAGAATAAGTAAGTAAGGTTCTGAGACAACTTTAAAGTTTGGCAACTCAAGTTTGCTCCTGAGGCTGGCAAACCCCTCTCCCTTTGCACCTACCTAGTCTGTAGTTGGTAGGTGGCAGCTGGAAACACACATTCTGACATCTTCAGGCTCCCTCTTCAGAGGGCCATCAGATGTGTGTGCCTCTGCATTTGGTTAAAAACCATCCCCTTGGCTGCCCTTTGTAACAAAATCACCTACCCTGGGGATAGTAAGGTGCTTGATTGGCATCAGGAAGGACCCCATGCCATCCCCAGATATATTTAATCGTAATTCCTTCCAGAGAACCCGCCTAACAAAAGTCCCTGAGCACAGGCTAGCACCAAAGTGGCACAAACTGCCCAGTTCTCTGATTTCTTTGCACAGGTGGATTTTATTGCGGGTTTTGTTGGTTTGTCTTAATGTTCATCTCTCTTCCACTGCCCATCCTCTGTGAAACCATACCTCTCTAGATGGAGCAGGTGGCCATTGGTGCCTCACACTCAATACTGAAAACCACTACATCCCAGCTACCTGCATTACTGTCATCTCAAAATCTCAGCCAGGTAGTTCTTGAACTCAGTACTCAGACCCTGCAAGTGGCCTTCAGCCACTGACTGGACTGAGCTGACCTAGGTTGTCTCTTTGTCTTTCTACATCCAAATATGTGTCTAAGATTTAAACTGTTCTGCTGAAAACCATCTCCCTTCTCAAAGCTTTCATTGCCAACCAACTCCATCACATGATTGTTGTCATCATGCAAAGCCATTGCAAGGACTCTGGAAACTACCACCAGTGACCAATTTCTGACTAACCAGCCACCTTTTCTTTCTCTTAGCTCCACGTCAGCACTGAGACCAGACTCAAGCACCCCTGTCCTGTACCCGAGACAAAATGGCGTGTGTTGTTTTGGGTTTTCGTGGTTTTGGGTGGGTTTCTTTCCTTGGCTCTCCAAATTTACTTTTGGGGACTATTCTAAGTACCCAGCAGGTTTTGTCTGTCTTGTCCACTATATACAACTATATCTTATGGGAGTTGTTTCTTTCTTGTTTCACAATGAATTGCACATCCGTCTCCATCAAAGCTATTAATGAGCACTGGTCTAACGCAGCTAACCCTCCCCCATAGCGCCATGTTTGTGGAGGAGGGTGAAATCTACTGTATAGGATTCAGGAATCAGTTGTGGTTTGTCAGAACGGAAGTCGGGGTAAGTTTGGTTGGTCAGAGGGAGATGTGCTGGAGATGTGAAAATGGGTCACCAGACGATCTACTATAAGCCAGGGAAGGTTCATTTGTAAGTAGTAATGTGAACTGAATTGCATTAAGAGTGTGGCCTTTGTTGTGATATACTATGTATTTTCTTATATGCATGAGCCAAAATGTTGCAACATAATTTAGCACTGATGTCTGCTTTTATTTTGACCATCTTCGTCTACCCTTATTAGTTCTTGGCTGTTAACTGTAGATAGAGCTTGTAAATACAGCAACATTTGGTTGCTGCATTCACTTTGGTTTGATTCCAATGCAAGGAGCCACAAAAAAAAAAAAAAAGAAGAAGAAGAACTCCACTGTGTCCTCAGTAGAAAGGGCATTTTTACTTTTGAACCAAAAAGAAAAAAAATCAGAAGCATTACATGTTGAGGCTAATTAATCAGACTTTTTAATTATGACTACTGTAATTTGACACCATTTAAAATAACCCAATTCAGAAACACTAAAGATTTCATAATATTCATTGGTATTGTAACAGAACTATTGTATGGGATTTTTTCTTTGTATTGCTGTTAAGTATTGTTTGTGTGTGTGTGTGTGTGTGTGTGTGTGTGTGTGTGAGTGTGTGTGTTGAAACCTTCTGGGGACATGTTATATTTTGAAGTGATTAAACTATTTAATTGTGTGTCTATATTTTGGAATGGAATTATTTCTTCATTAAAAATGTTTTTAAAAACACTATATCTTGTGTGTTTTATTCTCTGGATTCAGTGAATATTTCTTAGAGCGGCATGGAGTCAGTCTGTTCAAAAAAGAAAGACAGGTCAACACTTGCCTTATGGAGCAGGACCTACTGATGAGTATCTGAGGCAAGAGAGTTCACCTTCTCCTGTAAATAGCTGAATGGCTTTGGGTTTAAAAAACAACAACAACAACAAAAATATATATATATATATATATATATATATATGCTAAAAGATTAATATTCTAAATTGTGGACTTACAGATGATATTTTTATTTTGTTTTATGCTACCGTATCTTTTCCAGGCTCCCTACCACAGATATTTAGAGTCGGTGAATGCATGGATGGGTGGATGGATAAGAAACACCTGAGTTGGGTGGTTTCTTTGATTTGGTACCAAGACCACTTGAGTGCCAATGCCTTTGGAGGGTGCGTCTAACAATGAGAATTTTCTCTGCCTTCAGTGAACAGTTGTCTTTCCGTTGCATTGTTAGGTCACAGATTATTGAAAATTATGTGCATGCTTCATCTTAAAGAAAACAATAAAAATATTGAAGGATTATAAGTGATTATGAGTGTAGTTACATAATGATAATTTTTTGTTTCCTCTTCCCCAGTGCTAATTGGTTTAGTAATAGAAACATAGCATGTGAACCAGTAATTCAGCCACACATATTCTCCATCTCTAGGTCCATACTCTCATAAATTAGGTAAATAACACCTGTGGTGGCTTCTTCACTTTGTAATGCACTGATTGGGCCAACCCCAGAGAAATGCTGCCAAGGATGAGTGGCAGGCAATTTAACATAAATGGCACAAGGCAAATGGTGTCTCTGACATTCTATTTTTACTAGAAGACTCTTTGTGGCTACTGTAGCTTGGAAACATGTACACCCTGAGAATATCCAGGTAGAGCCAATTAGACTAGCCTTCTGATCTAGACCTTAAGAGGCAGACACCTTTCCCTCCATTAGTGGAGTAAGTGGGAAGAAAAACAGGCTAAGAAGTAAGGCGTACAGGTACATGTGCTTGCTCTAGGTGGAGGGAGTCCTCCATATACTCAAGTCTTATCTAGTGTATGAGGCAAACACCTTATGGTAATAAGTGTTTGTTTGCCAAGAACTGTCTGCATCTTTGTACACTATGTGCCAAATAGCATGTATTTGTAACTAATTTTTATTTATCTTTTTAAAAATCATATAGGAAAAAAAAGTGGTGTTACAAACCAAAAAATACAATATGTTCCATTTCTAGCCTAAGCGTATACTACAATTGATTTCTGACACCAGCCACTCAAGAGTTAGAACAGACGCCACAGGTCAAGAATAAAATCTCCTACAAAAGTGTTCCCACTAAAATGGCAGTCATTATTCTATGGGACCATCCACACTTCTGACTAGCCAGTTATAAATTCAGGGGCTCCAGTGACCCCCTTCAGGTTAAATAATTCCAGAATTCACTGAAAGCACTGTACTCTTCATTAGTTTTCTTTAAAAGATACAGACCAGGAATAGCCAAAAGAAGATACATGAAGGGCAAGGTCTGGGAAGTGAGAGAGGACATAGAGCTGGCATGCCTTCTCCCTAAAGAATCTGGTTATCATTGTCAATGTCCCAAAAAGACTCCTGTGTTCACCAACCAAGAAGCTCCCCTGAGCCTTTGTGTCCAGAGATTTTTCAGGGTTCCATTAAAAAGACATGATTGATTAAGTCAATTGAACTCAGTCTCCAGCCTCCCTCCTCTTCTTGGAGGCTGGCCTAGCCCAAAGTTTCAGCTATCTAATCTCATGGTTGATATTTCTAACGACAAGTCCCAATCTTGAAGCTATCTGGGGACTCATGCTGAGTCATCTCATTAGCAAAAAATAATTCCTGTCACTCAAGAAATTCCAACAGTTTTTGAAACTCTATGCCAGAAACCAGGTGCAAAGTCCAAATATTACATTCCGTTGCTCTGTGCAATGGAATAACTTGCTGTTTTATGTTCCATGTAGTTACCTTCACTAAAGATCTTTCTTCATACATGTTTAAGTTACTGGGTTTTTTTGGTTTTTTTATTGTTTTATTATTCATATGTGCATACAATGCTTGGGTCATTTCTCCCCCCTGCCCCCACCCCCTCCCTTACCACCCACACCGCCCCCTCCCTCTCCCCCCCACCCCCTCAATACCCAGCAGAAACTATTTTGCCCTTATCTCTAATTTTGTTGAAGAGAGAGTATAAGCAATAATAGGAAGGAACAAGGGTTTTTGCTAGTTGAGATAAGGATAGCTATACAGGGCGTTGACTCACATTGATTTCCTGTGTGTGTGTGTTACCTTCTAGGTTAATTCTTTTTGATCTAACCTTTTCTCTAGTTCCTGTCCCCTTTTCCTATTGCCTCAGTTGCTTCTAAGGTATCTGCTTTAGTTTCTCTGTGTTGAGGGCAACAAATGCTAGCTAATTTTTTAGGTGTCTTACCTATCTTCACACCTCCCTTGTGTGCTCTCGCTTTTATCATGTGCTCAAAGTCCAATCCCCTTGTTGTGTTTGCCCTTGATCTAATGTCCGCATATGAGGGAGAACATACAATTTTTGGTCTTTTGGGCCAGGCTAACCTCACTCAGAATGATGTTCTCCAATTCCATCCATTTACCAGCGAATAATAACATTTCATTCTTCTTCATGGCTGCATAAAATTCCATTTTTCTTAATCCATTCGTCAGTAGTAGGGCATCTTGGCTGTTTCCATAACTTGGCTATTGTGAATAGTGCTGCAATAAACATGGGTGTGCAGGTGCCTCTGGAGTAATGTCCTTGCATTTCAACTCAATGGTTCCCTGTAGCATTTCTTTCAGGGCAAGTCTACTGATAGCAAACTGTCAGCTTTTGGTTTATCTACAAAAGCTTTAATTTCCTCATTCTTGAAGGTCAGTTTTGCCAGATACAGAATTCTTGGTTGGTAGGTGTTTTTTTTTTTTTTTTTCCTTTTAATATGTCCACTGTCCTCTGGCTTCCATAGTTTCTGATAAGCATTCAATTGTTAATCTTACTGAGACACCCCTGTACTTGACATTCCCATCTCACTTGCTATTCTCTGTCTTTGGCTTTCCAAAGTTTGATTATAATGTGTTTTGATGTGCATTTCATTGAGCTTATCCTACATGGAACTTACTAAGGTTCTTGGTTATATAGAAACAAACTCTACAGATAAAGTTTCAGGGAGACAAGAGTGACTGCAATAATCCAAGCAAAAGTAATAATAATAGCTTAGACTAAGAGTCCCATGAAAGTATTCATGTTGTACATATGTTTGAGGGTAGAACAGCCAGGTTTTATAGGTAGGATTGGATGTATATGAGAAAAAGAAGGAAAACAAAGATGATACCTTAATTTGAGAGCCTAAAAGAACTGGAAGAAAGGAGTTTCATTACTAAGGTAAAGGAGACTTGAATGAGCAGGTTTTGGATGTTTCTGGATATAAAATAATTTTTTGATATAAAATATTTTTAAGATGCCAATTAAGCTTTCAAGTGGAAAGAGGGACTAGTATGTGGGTAATCAGACTTAGACCCCTAAAGTGGAGTCTGACCTGGAACTGTCAATCTTGAAATCATCCCCATAGAGACAATAAAGACTGAGAAGAAATGGCCAGAATGATAGTAATAAAATCAGCAACCAAATGATAAAAAAGTTGCAAGATGAACTGTGTTGAATGCAACTTATAGGTAAGGTAAGAATGAGGAATTGAGCTATCATACACATGTTGAAATGAACTGTTTGAAAAGCTCTTATGATCGTGATAAAATTTTGAGGAATACTGAAAATAAATTCACATTTGTTTTCCTCTGAGGGCCTTAGGGAAGTTGTTGTGACATATAATAAATCCACAGGGTTGACTCTGGTTTCCATCTCCATACCCTCACAAGCCAGCTCCCCGTTCTCATTCCCCTTTAGGGATATCAATCCACAGACAATATACTTATTGTGATGGGCTTATAACAACCAAGTCAAAGTAAAAATCAGTCCCCTACTGACTCCCAAATAAAGTTTTTTTAATGAAAAGGGTATATGATTCTTATTTTTGGAAGAGGAGACTTTTTTTATTACTTTTGGACTTTCATCTATCATCATTATTGTCAAAGAAAGACTAAATTATAAAATTCTCTTGTCTTCTGGATATGCAAACAACAAAATTTTTAAGAAGACCCTGCCATTTTGGGCAATGTATTAGTTACTTTGAGAGCTAAATTAAATGCATACCTGGATATATATGTGAAGCACTTTGCAAGACAACTGAACATGGTAGAAACTCAACACCTCAGGTCCTTTTTCCTTTCCCCTTGTATAGCTTGCAATTCTCATTCATAAAACAGGGACAAGAGATATTTTGTTTTCAGAAAATTCACACAAAAATAAATTTAATTTAAAAATAAATATAACAAAATCTATTCGGCCTTATTAGAAGGCCAGGTATGGAGGTACATGCCTATAATCCTAGCATTCAGGAGGCTGAGGCAGGAGGATCTTGAGTTCAAGACAAACTTCGATACATAGCAAGACTTTCAAAATAACAAAAACAAATAACAACAAAAATGGAAAAGAAAAACCTCATTAGCAGTGAAATGATTAGAACCCATTGAATAAGCAGAGATTTTTAGTAGAGTCAGAAAATGTCAGTGAAAGTGAAGTATCTGCTGCAGAGGAAGCATTTATGAAAAGTGAGGAAGGGAGAAGAGAGATTCATAAACATTCTTATTTCACCACCCAGTAACACCTGGTCACAAACTCCTTCAAATAAATTAAACTTTTAACAAAAATAAATATAACTAAAAATCTGACAGAAGATAGTTAATCATGTACATCTAAACAATGCCATGTTTTCATAATATGAATGTGAATACATAGACATTAAAATGACTATTAACTGATAAGAATATAAAATGGTAGTGCCTCTTTGAAAGAAGTAAAAGGTTAAACATAGAATTGTCATATTTTTAAGAAAAATTAAAATAA